TAATCGCGTCAGACATTGCCTGACAAGACGTCGGTTTCGAAATATGGCCAACAATGCCACAGAAGTAACAAATCGGAGGGCTTCTGCCATCAGCAGGCCTTGACCGCTGTCCTTGATAGGCCAATCTTGAAGCATCAGCAGGGACGTAAGCAGGATCATTTCTCATATCCTTCTTCGCCATGCCTGACTGTAGCATATTGACCGTTAACTTCATATCGTTGTATTGACGGCGCATCTCTTCCACCTGTTCTTCCAAATTATTCTCTTGACGCCCTGAAGAAATGGCAGGCTTTTCGGCCGAAAAACCACCTTCCCAGGCGACACTCTTCCTTTCCTTCGTCGACGTCAGCTTTGTCGACGTCACCTCTTGACTGCTATGTCGATCAGTCGTTTTGATCACCCTCTCATACTTATCCTGCGCTGCCATCGTGCTGGACACCTCATCGGCAATCCAGTCTAGCCGCATAGGCCTAGACGGCCGATCGAAGTCGATGATGCCCTTTTTGCAACTCGATGCCGTAGCCAATTAGGCAACCCGGTTATTAACCACTCACATCTCTGGATCTCCTGAATGACCTCATTGGCCACTAGCACATCAGACACAGTCTTGAACTCCGTCATAAACTGGCGAACCTCATCAATGGTGTCTCTTGGTTGATTCACTAACTCCATCAATGATGCCCTCGAAAACCTCTGGCGCTCAGAGTCATAATCTCTGTATCGATCACAGAGCATGTCCTTAAACGCTTCCCAATCGCGAGATCTCCACAGCGGGTCATACTCTACCCACGATTGGATAGAGTCCTCACAATAATCGGCAAACAGCTCACACTGCCTAGCAGGGTCGCTGATACCACGCCTTTCACATAACTTCTCAAAGTTCCGAAGGAACTTTCTCGCATCTTTCTTATTAAATAACGGCGCACCAGGTGTACCAGGATCTGGCATCAGGGCATTGCCCTGGCGGTTCATCATCAATTGAAACATACCACTTGGTATCCACATCCCTCCTGGCGGTGGCATTGCCTGATAGGCAGAGGACGGGAAGGGTGGTAGTGGTCGCGACTGTTGCTCACTCGCGTCTGGCACATCGTTTCTTTGTGTCTGGCTGGCAGACGCTTCGCTCTCTGGGCGAGGAGGCTCTCGGTAGCCTTCAAAGGGTGAGGGAACATCGGCCTGGACGACGGGCTGGACATAGCTCTGGCCATCGCCAACATTAACATTAGTGCTGTCACCCATTGTGACAGCCTTCCGATCAACAGAATCAACAGAGGAGATTGAAACAAAATCAGGAAACATAGACTGCTCCGGCTTGCTCGCACGAGAAATGCCGGTAGTAGGAAAACAGAACTCTCCCTGGTCTTCAGGCTGACCAGGGGGAAACAAACAATCCGAAAACCTCGATATTTTCGGCCCAAAAGCACAATTCTGAAGTAAAAAATGAACGACAACTTGGGTGAAAACTGTATTCACACCCGAAATCCAGAGGTTGTAGATGCCTGGCCAGATCTTCTCTGCCAGGTTGTGTAAGTCAATCGGTCTCATACACAGTACTGACTGAAGGTCAGTTCTCCTGTGTAGCCGGTCTGCAAGCAGCATTCGCAATAGCTGCTGGTACTCATCCTGCCGGAATCCCATCTTGAATTCCTGGCCAATCATATCGACCTAGAAAATGTTCTCCCCCAGAACAATGTAGGGGATTAATCACAAATGCCAAGGGGTACCTCTTCTCATACAAGGCCCCAATGAGCATCAAATGCTCAAAAACCAATAATACGTACCACTAATACCAGCAATTGCCGGAATTCGAATGGTTTTCAGGGTTAACGCGATCGCCCACCCTGGACACAACTTTCCTTTCGACGTTTCTCGCGATTTCCACACTCTGCGCCCGTCGTGTTGTTTATCTGCGTGTTCAGCCACCCAGAAAATCAATCCCCCCTGCGTCGGTCACCATATGAAGAGGGGAACGCTCGATGGCTGCACGCGCTGAGACGTGCGGGTCGATTCAGCAGAAAAACCACCACAAAACACACGCGTAGCAATCAGGAAACAGCGAGAAGCCCAAATGTAGGGGTCAGGTCGGGGAGGTGTAAGAAGGTGTATTCTAGAACTAGCTATCCGGCCACTGTATACTGCCGGCTATGTCACATAGTCTGGATGGCACCCCTGTAGTAGGGGAGGGGATCTCCCCACTACACTAGTTAACTAACGTGATCAACACGGGATACCCTAGTTATCAAAAAACATGTCCCGACGCGTACCCACTATCTTCAACCACCCACCATGCCATCCACACGTGTTCAATCAGGCCGAGATTCGACTGAACGTAATGGCAGAACCTTACTAACCATACAAGCATATAAAAATGGCCAATTTAGCTCATTATTTGCTACTGCAAAGGCCTATGATCTATCGCTATCTATACTACACGCCCGCTATCATGGCCGATCTCCACGAGCTGCCACACGCCCTCCCTGTCAAAAATTGAATAGTTTCGAAGAATAATCGCTAGTACGGTGGATTCTCTCTATATATTCTCGTGTTGCAGCACCTAAGCTCTCCTATGCGAGAGATATGTCCAATATTCTACTGGCTGGTCGTGGAAACGTCCCACTGTTAACTGTGGGGTTAACTGGCCATCGTCATTCATTAAACGCCAAGATAAACTACAGACATGTTATTCAAAGCGATATGACTACCAACGTGCAAAATCTGAGGAACCAGTAATTCTACGTGGGTGGTTACAAACAATTGAAAAAACGATCAATGAGAATGGTATATAATCGGATGGTATATATAAATTTGATGAGAATGGTTTCGCGATGGGCCTTATATCAGCACAGAAGGTGGTTACACGTGCTAATTTCTATAGCCGTCGTTAAGCTTCTATAGCTAGGAAATCGTGAGTGGGTGACTATGATTGAATTAATTAGTGCTGCTAGTTTTGAACTACCACTAATTATCATCTTTAAAGCTAAAAACTACAACACTAGTTGGCTTGAAGGGCTTCTAAAAGACTGGCGAATTGAAGTCTCACCTAATGGCTGGAATTTAGATGAAACCAGTATTAGATGGTTAAAAAAAACCTATTCATCCTATAGTCACAGGTTCGGATGAAAGGGAAATATTGCCTTCTGATCCTCGATGGCCATAGTAGCTATTTCACACCTCAATTTGATCGACTATGTGCTGAAATCTCGATTATTCCACTCTACATACCAGCATATTCATCTCATCTTCTTTAAGCTCTAGATATTGGCTGTTTCGCTGTTCTTAAACCTGCCTATAGTCGCCTGGTTACTAATCAAGCACGGCTAGGATATAATCACATCGACAAGCTAGATTTCCTAGCAGAATATCCTCAGGCACGTTCTGATACATTTAAACAGAAGACTATTCAAAATAGTTTCGCAGAGGCAGGTCTAGTCCCTCCAGTTCCAGAGCGTGTACTCTCAAAACTCAGTATTTCACTCCGAACACCAACACCGCCACCTAGCCGCCAAAGCAGCCGATCTAGCTAATTCAGCCCGAAAACACCGAAAACTGTCAAACAACTACAAAAGCAAGCTTCTTCTCTCGAAAAAATACTACGAGATCAGTCAAGAAGCTCCTCTACGCCTACTAAGGGGTCATGAATCAAATCATCAAAGGGTGCATTACTAGAACAGGAAGTCGCTGATTTCCGAACGTTAAACGAGGAAAAACGTCAAAAACGGCAACGTACGAATCGCCTAGTTCGTATTGAACAGGGTGCTACAGTCGGCGAGGGCCTACCACCACTAGCGCTGCCAGCGCTGCCAGTTGAAGGTGTTGAACACCCCTCGCCTACATCAGCTGATCAGCCTATTTTACCCCCCTACCGGCCCAACGTGCACCCCCTACATGCAGCGGCTGTAATCGTGTTGGCCATAAAATTAATCGTTGCCCTAATAAGTAGTTTCTTGAATTAGTGGCGTTTTGGTTGTTGTATCATCTTTTGAAAATGTAGTGCTGCGGGCGGTATCCCGTTCACCCGTGTATCCCATTCACCCGTTGATTACGTTAGGATTTAATTAATCAAGAAGCTACATTTCCTAATAAAATCTTCTTAAGCAGGTCAAGAGTCGTTCGAACTAGAAACCATTCGGTCTATTTTTCAGCAGCGGGTCTAGTTACACTAGACTCAGAACAAGTACTCTCAAAGCTCAATATCTCTCTAAACACTAACACCACCACCAAGCCGACCTACTAGACAATCAAGCAAATTCAGCCCAAAACAGTAGTTCAGTTACAAAAACAAGCTTCTTCACTTAAGGTCTTACTTATGGAACGATCAAGAAGCCCTCCTATACTATCTAGGATTGCCCTTGATCAGATTATTAAGGGCTGCTATCTCTCAATGTATAACACCGTGCTACTAGCGCAGGAAATTGCTGATCTACGCGCTGCGAATGAGATGAACCGGCAAAAACAAGCACGAAAAAACCGACTAGCTCAATTCAAACAGTGTGTTACGGTTTGTGGGGATCCACCACCACCAGTGCAGCCAGTGCAGCCAGTTGAACGTGTTGAACAGCCTCCGCCCGCACCGGTTAACAGCCCATTTTGCCACCCCTATCAGCCAAACGGGCACTGTCTAGATGTAGCAGCTGCCAGAATGTTGGCTATTCAATTAACTGGTTCTCTAATTGATACTTTTTGAATTCAGTGGTGTTTTTGCTGGTCTAATAACTATGATCTTCAAAATTTAGTAGTGCGTGAGTACATTGCTATGAGTTACTTGTAAGGTAAATTCTGACTATTTGCATGACATAGACCCTCGAGCTTCTGGAAGGGAAGAATCTCTTCAATCCGACAGATCGTGTTCATGGTCAATATGCACTTTCCGTGGCTTTGGCGCAGTATATTGGATACCTTGGTCCTTCTCCGCTGAATATCATTCAGCGGAACCCCCCTTTTCTCGGTGTATTTTGATGCTGACGGTAAGTCTCGTCATTCCCGATACTGAATGAATGGCCATGACACGGAACTGGATCTCCGATCCCCCGATTACAAAGACGTCTCTGGAGATCTTTGTCACGACAACTCCACCGGAAGAGGAGAAAGATCAGTTCCTGCGCTTCATACGTCAAATCCTGAGCTGGGATCCGGATGTGAGAGCTACATCGAACGAGATTATACCTGACGAATGGCTCATGCGATCGAATGAAGAACTGCTCTAGAGAGGCGATCGGGTCTACAAGACTACAAGATGCAATCTTTCAATGTTAGGACAGTGTCGTAAATATGAGATCGTCTGCTCTGCAGATACAGATGAAAATACGTTATAGAAAAAGGATGAAGTACCAAATCAGCTATCTTCACGGTTCATCACAAAAAATCAAAGCATGACGGCGAAGCGGTTGGCAGAGCCTCCAGACAGAACTTCAATAGCATTAATATTTATGGTATTTCGTTGAGATCTCAGTTGCTGAAGGTACCCCAGAAGATAATCGAGCTCGCTCTTAAGCAGCCTCGACCTATACTATGTGAGATGTTATCATTCTAACGATTCGAAAATGGGAGCCATACCTTGTAGGACTTGATGTTTGGGCAATCGCCTCGGGCTTCGACGCAACCGCCGGTAAGGCCCATGGGGTGAGCACCGCCGCAGTCATTCTCGCAGTAAAGTGTGACCTTCCAACTTTCGGTGCCGGTCAAACTAGCAGAGATGAGGTCGCCATTGTGATTGAGGTTCGTGCAGCCCACTGCCACATCGTCTCCAGCTCCTGCAGAATTACCCTGACACGAGTAGCTCTCGAAAAATCCGACAGTCCACTCGGCAGATACCATAGAGGCAGCAGCGAGAACGGAACACACGACTTGAGTGACACGCATGATGACTGGCGTTTATTCTTAACTGTTGGAGGAATGCGGTATATCTTGAAACTTCAAAGTGTTGCTTGGACTGAATAGAAGAATGCAAGGAACCCGGGTGATATGGACGCTTTTATATGTTTATTTCCTCTCAAGTAAGCAACTTCACTTCCAAATTTCTCCGCTGAGTTTCTATTCGATAATGAAAAGGAACTCGCATGCAGAAAGCTGAATGCTACCTAACTCCATCAATCCACTCGCCAATTCCTTCCAGAAAGCCCGGCTAACCCAGTACAGTCAGTGAAGACGATGATCTTGACATTATTTTCATTCTTTGTTGCTGCATGTATAGCTTGCCGAGGCTCTTGCGGCCCCAGTAACTCTACGGCCTTAATATAGTTAAGCGTACCTAGCAGCTCGCACTTCCTGACTAAAGTGGAAACAATCTTGCAGATCTGTCTCAAATGGTGCAGATCGAGCATGGAACTCGTTCAACAGAGAAGGACCACACAAAAAAACATCTCCGAGATCACCTGTGGCTATGCTATCGTAGTCCTTAGGGACCAGGAAATTTCCTCACACCTGCTGAAACAGCTTCTGACCTCGCTCAAATCAGAATGGATGTAGTCTGCGAGAAAATACGCGCAATGGGAGCAAGCATAATAGTTCACCCTCGATTGTCTCCTATCTCATTTTGGGATAGTATACTACTAGTTTCAAACACTCAATCTGACTCGGCTGATCTTACTTGCATTTGTCTGAATTACCTCAATATCCACGGTACGCTTATTCGTCCATGCGCGAAGAAATGGCAGGCGGTCACTCCGGGGCGGCGTGGGTTCTGCCTCCTCCCTGCCCTCGCTTCTCTGCTCTCACCATTCCTCCTTCCTTTCTTCTATCTCTTCCTTAGGTAGTCAGATACTCACGATAGACTCGTTCACTGTTCCCTGGCTAGCTCACATTCATTCATTCATTCATTCCATTCATTATGTTCGTCTCTTTGCTAACCAATAATGTGTGGTCAGACAGATACACTAACGTAATTCCCGGTTAGGCCGCGCACCCTACCCACTACTAAGATTCAAAAGTAGAAAAATCCACAAACTTGATTAATTCAAAAAACTATTGATTAGGGCACCGGGTAATTGAATGGACAACGTTCTGGCAACCGCTACACCTAGGGGGTGCATGTCTGGCCGGTCGAGGTGGCAAAATAGGTGATCTTGATCTTCGCGAAGGCATCGGCAAGGCATCGGCACGCCACAGTGGCAGCGGCCGTGGGTAAAGCGTGTCCAGTTCATTCAGACTGTCTAGGTTCATGGTCTTCAAGGTTTCTGCCAGCGGGATACGTGCATACGATCCAACATTGTTCCTACGTTTTTGGGCCCGCAGAAGTGCCGGCCAAATCGGGTGGTAATGAGGCAAGAGTGAAGTATGGCGATCATGCGCTATGCTCGGTGGCGGAGACGAAGATATGTTGGAAGTATGTGAGCCTCCACTTCCAGTGTTGCGGTCGCTACCGTCCTGAATGCCGACAGAATGCGGATCAGTGGTGTTCTCTGTACTGTATTCAAGTGCCGCAGGTGCATCCTGTCCCGTAGCGGATCGTGCCAGGCTGTCGATGCGTAGTCTACCACGGGTGTGACACAAGCTTGGTAGAGATGTCGCACCAGCTCTAGACGGAGGTATCGCAGTCCGCGCAGTGCGATGACTGTTTTGGTTGCTCGTTTGACAGCCTGCTGAACATGATCTTTCCAGCGAAGCTCCTGGACAAACACCACCCCCAGTAGCTTGGCCGTGGTCGAAGGCCGTTTTTTTTCCTGGTGAGGTGTATAAGCTCGGTCTTCTCGGCTGCAAAGCTGGATCCGGTGAGCCGCGCCCATTCTTCAATGCGAGGAATATTCTCGGACTGGATTTTTGCCAAGTTGGTCTCAGCCGAGCTTCCCACTCACCAGCGAAAGTGATCGTCAATGAACGCTGACGCGGCTCCATGGGCGTCAATAGGCTGGTCGACCAGGTCGGCGTTGAAGAATGCAAACAAGATGGGGAACAGCGGGTGAAATCGAGGTATCCCCTATAGAACGGTCTGACCGTTCCTGTGCAGTATCTTCATGGTATAGAAGCGCATAGATACGAATTACCGAAATTTAATTTTTACATCCTCCTTTTTGTACAGTACATGCGTTAAATTTTGACGGGCCTTTTGTTGTAGTTAGGGCATCTCAATAATAGTATATACACTATGATTCGTTTGAGGGTTTAGGAGTAGCAAAGCCTCCGAGCCATCGTGATTTCTGGTGTTTTGTCAATGTACGAGGGAAGGCAGCAAGGCGTGCGACCGAAGCAAGAAATTGCCCCGGATCGAAACGTTGCTTTTTGACCTCGATGAGAGGTTTATTCCTAGTATCCTCTGGAATTGTGAAAGAAGACAATGAAAAGAGGAAATGCCAATCTTTGATGGCTTTCTTCAACGATAAACTCTAAAGACTTTGACTATGAGTTCATTCGATTACTTGTTTTAGCGACTCGCCGTAACGGCATCCGGAAATTAGTTCCTTCAACGCCTACCTCAAAATTGATGCCTCCAACCCTTGCCTGGAACGAATCGTTTAAACGACACTCTATTATTCAACGACTCACAATTCCTCACCGACTCCTTTAATGAATTCGTTCAACTAATACTTGAAAGTTTCCAAAGAATTAGTCCGTTCAACGATTCTCTCCGTTAATATTTTCAACGTTTTTCCCTTGATCAATTCTTCCGACGGTCCTCTTGGTCAAGTCCTTCAACCACTGCCTTCAATTAGTGCCATCAGTCTTACCGCCAAAGCCATAACGCCGGCAGGAGCAGTGAGAGATATAGGGAGTTGGACGGGTGCATTCTGTACAGTATGTTATTTGTGGCAGTGTCAATCTAGTTTGCCGGTGAACCTTCCATTATACGCTCGAAATTCCGTGTATATCGATGATGGTTTATTTTTTAATACCTATATGGCCCTGCTCTGCCAGTCCTTAGAAGACTAGCCACATAAGGACAAAACGACTGGACAAATTTGGACGTGACCCAACAAGGACAGGAAAAAGGGAATGAGAAGAGCTAACAATTTCGCGACTTCGTTTAGGTCAAAAAAGTTATCTGCTAGCTGAACATGCGCACGTCCCTTGAGGCATGTACCTTTTCCTGCGCTTTGTAGATGGCACACATCCCCAGCCTTGCAAGTTCCGTCGTGAATCCATCAAGGAACTTTAGGTGAATGATTTCGGCAGGCGTGAGATACCGAATTGGAATCTTGCGCATCAGGGTGGGAACATCAGAGAGGATTTTCGCGTCGTGATAACTGCTTTGTTGAAGGGGAACTTTGAGAATGTTGCAGAATAGTGTTAGGATTGCAGTTAGAGCGTAAAAAAGAACAACCCTGGTTATTGGAGACAGAAAAGAGTTAGTAATAAGACAATGTTCTTACAAATGTCAGACTTGAGCCTTACCAGAAACATTCCCCCTTCAGTATAGGTAGAGTGGCCTGGAGGAGAGAGAGTGATGACCGACTGGCAGTAATGGAAAGGTTGATGCTAGAACTTATTCCCTCAACTCCAATGCCAGAGTCTGCTTTTGATAGTTTGCACCTATCGCTTGCTTCGTGAATGATGATCACACAGTGGTAGTATGCGAGTCGCAGCATCACTTCCTGAGTGTTCACGGTCGCTTTGGGCGGCATATCTTGCCAGAAACATAAGATCGGTCGAATATCTGGATGCAGAGATAGCCTCCACTGCTCCAACGCCGCATCGAGGTGCCGAATGCTCGAAAGTATTTCGGAATCACTTTTTAAACGTGCGCTGGCTGAATAAAGTGTATGGTACGCTTCCGACTTCATCTTTGATAGACGAATATCCCAAGGGAAAAGAGGTTGCGTAGAACTATCGGGCTTCATGGTGTCTCGCCGTATATTAGTGTTCTGCAGCCGCACATAATCCGCTGGTAGTGAAAGGTCACATTGCGTGTCATCGATAGATGGGGGCTGTCCCATCCTTAGACAAATATCTTTGTCGAAGGAATAGCATAGCCAGAAAAGGTCTCGCAAATGGCAGTTGAGGTCACCCTTATCATATGGAGGCAAATAGGCAGCTGAGCTTTTATCAGTCGGGTGTCTATGGGCACCCAGCATATAAATGAGACGGGTGGCAATTGAGACGGAGACTCCAGCTGGTTGGAGGTCACCTAGAAAGTATTGAAATTGGGCCTGACGTTCCGTTAGCCATCATTCTGCTTCCACTTATCCGGCAGTATAGTACATATAGATGGGTATTCAGTGGAGTCCACATACAAGCATAATGAGTGATTGCAGTCCATCAACTGTCATCTCTTGGATGATATGCGGTACTAGCCTCTGAGCAGCGGAAGCATAGGAACCGCAATCCACTGCTCTCTGTGCGTCATCATCATCGAAACCAAATAAGGTTATGAGTGAGAGAAATGAGTAGGCACAAGACTTGGCGCTAGCATAGCCAAAAACATGGAAGGGGCCGTATGCGAGATCTAGTGTCTTCGTGAAGAGCGACTTGCTGATGACGGGGAACACCAGGCTCTGAAATGACGATGTATATCGCATAACGTACATTTCAAGGATACTCCGCCTTGGCTGATCCGGAGCACAGTTGGATGGCATGGTGACGTCCTCGTATAGTCGACGTGGGTTCGTCCATGGAAGCTCAAGCGCGCTTAGTCTTTCACGACTAACTTCCTCTCCCACCTGGCCCTCAATCCATCGGCGTCCTTCATCGGAAAGAAGTTTGATACCATTGAAATATGTGACGTTGCTTTCGTGGGAATTTGGCGATCTGGGCGTCCCAGGATATGCAACTGGGGCCAACTTGGCTTCTGAGGAAGTTAGACAGGTGTGTGAATCGCCATTTTCAAAATTCCTTATTTCTGAATATATGAATATACGAACCCATTTTCGTGGATGGCGCTTTGTCGAGAAAAGGCAAACTAATGTGGCCTCCGGCCAAGTAGATCAGATGAAAGCTTGAGAACAGCGTACCCAGGAGAGGGAGCGGAGGGGGAGCAATGGACTTGCTGTCATTTGTATACCTTGTCTGCGTTCGTCGGGTGATCCGATTGTAAGTACAAGCCAGGTTGTGATGCTTGCACCAGTTGCATTGCGGAAACTCCGCATCACACTGTATCTACTGACCAGAAACGTGGGCACCAGATTAGCGCCATTGCATGAGAGAATATACATTGTGATTACAGCAAGTGGAATTTATTGTGTTCAGTCCAGTTAAGACATTTTTGGGGGGCATGGGTCCAACATTACCTTTTTCCTCGAGCATGAATCACAAGCCCTGCGCCTACGACTCCCTATTGGGCGAAAAGAACCCCATTTGCTGACCGACGCAGAGGCCTTGGACATTGCTAGACGCCTTGGAGAACAGTTCATTCAATATGCAGATTTTTCCTGGTATGGGGAGAAGCATGCCTCGTCATCACTGGAAGCCAGAAAGAAGCAACTAGCAAGTCTCGACTCTCGATAGCCTGCTTTGCCTTGCGTTCCGGCATTACATAATCCCCCTTGTGTTCGCGCGGCGATTTCCCGCCTCGCCGATGAGTAAGCGGGGATGCGTTATGAAAAGATACGAAAGATACGCGTTTAGTACCTGAATTACGCGATTATGGCATTCTGTCAGGATGAGGAATCGATGTACTGGCTAGTACTGAAGATGTCCAAACAGAATAAGATGATTGATTGTAGGTTCTCCGATCGGTTGAGCGATCTCAGGGGTCTTTATAGTTGAACTATGGCGTGTTATGACACCATACTAGGTGGAAATTGGGTGAACGATGAATAAGCCAATCCCGAAGGGTCCTAGTGGTATTTGACCACCTTCTCAGTTTGTCACACCCCCTCAGCGTTCGCACAATCTCCAAAAATCCTCTGCTAATCGAGCAGGTTTCCGATATCCTCCATGCCCATCAATTGAACGAATTCTGCGTGCTTTTGACGCGGCAGTAGCTTGGTGAGCCCATCCGCAGCCATGTCCTTTGTTTCGCTCCATCTGATGAGAATTCTGCCTGCCTGGACCTCCTGACGGAGCCAGTGGTTGTGTACATCAACGTGACGTAGCTTCGTGCGCAGCTGAGGAGCTTCCTTGGTGAGAAGCCGGATCGTCTGCTGGTTATCACATCTGATAGCGAGCTCGTGCTTTGGATCAAAGCGAATAGATTCAAAGAGACGTTTCCACATGCTAATATTCCTTGCAGTCTCAGAGATCGCCAGTAGCTCCGCTTCGGTAGTACTGGTAGTCACTGTACGCTGTTTGCTAGCTCTCCAGTCAACTGGTCCTCCGAAAATGATGCATATGTATCCCTCCGAGCTCTTCCGGTCAGGATTATCAGCGAACGAGGCATCACTAAAGAGAGTGACGGCTTCGTTGTCCTCAGATCGGCGTGGCCGGTAGGTAAGGGCAAGAAAACGGGTGTGGTATAGGTAGGATATCACACGGTTGATCGCTTCGAGATGCTCCGGTCCCGGGTTCGTGAGGAATTGAGCTAACGCGGAAGTTGCTTTGGCTGCATCTGGCCGTGTGATGGTAGTGGCATACTGAGTGGAGCCTACCTTTTCCTGGTACTCATGAATCTGTTCCTTCGTGGCCTGCCCAGCGTACGGCTTCAATGTAGCTGGTGGTAAGGGTGTATCGAAGCGGCGATATGTGGTAAGGTGATATCTGCTGGCCATAGAGGAGATGTATGAGTCCTGACAGAGCCAGAGGGCCATCTGTTGTCTGTCACGGACGATACGAATCCCTAGGAACCACTCAGCTTCGCCTATGTCTCTCAATTCCCATGTTACATTGAGTTTTTCTCTAATGTCTGCCGCACGCTGGCGCTGAGATGGGTGATTGACAATGATTATATCATCCACATAGAAGAATATGATAATGCCGTCCGATGCGAAGAGACAAAGGTCTTCTTGAACGACAGTGAGACCTAGCTGAGTCAAGACCTTTGAGGCCTCGCGCTGCCAGAGCCTCGGAGATTTCCGTAAGCCGTAGAGAGCTCTTAAGAGCTTCCAGCAATGTCCAGACTGTCTGAATCCCTCTGGCATCTCGGTTATCACTGTGTCATCCAGTGAGCTATTGAGAAAGGCGTTGACGGCATCAAATTGGCGTGTTTCAAGGTCAAATGCAGCGACTAGGGCAAGAACGGTGCGGGCCGTACGGGAAGCGAGGGTAGCTGAATATTTCTCTTCTGTAGAGAGCTTCTGGAGATCTCCTCGCACACAGATTCTCGCCTTCAGCTTCGCGAGATATCCATCGCTATCGAATTTATAGTTGAATACCCATTTCAACGGAAGCACCTGCACGCTGCGGTCATTTGGACGCTGTATGACATCAAAGGTGCCTTTTCGTTCGATAGTTTTTACCTCAAGGCCGGCGGCTGCTAGGAAACCTTCGTTGAACGGGTGATTTATCATCTCTCGCCAGTTCCGGGGTTCAGGGGGAAGATCATCACGGTGAGGTCTCGTGTGTGAGTGAGATCCGTTGAGGCCAGTTGCAAAGGCTGCGAGTATACCCTCTTCAGCATCCTCGTCTGCCGAGAAGGCTAAATTGCTGATATCTCTTGATGTTCGTTTACGTGAGCCTGACAGAATGTTCCGAGTCGAGATATCTCCCACGATGTCTCTAGGCGCAATGCGAGTCCCTTGTGTAGGTGTAGCGGCTGAGAGCTCTCTCTGAAGTTGTTCAGTGAGTTGATCTTGAGAATCACGAGTTGGTGGTTCCGGAAAGGCACCTGGGATTGATTCTGGTGGTATGCGAGGCATCGAGGCCTGTATAGGCTGAATGGATGGCGTGGGTGACGGTGATATCATCTGTTGAGGCTCCACTAGCTTTGGAGTGGCTGATTTCTCTGGCTGAGGTATATCCAGACTTGGTCCAGAAATAACCTGGTCAGAATCCTCGTTGTCGTCGATAACGAATGGCATGGATTCCAAGATATCGCTGACAGGCTCCTTTTCTAGCTCTTGAGTGTTAAAGAACACATTCTCATCAAAAACAACATCTCGCACTGATCGTACGGCTCCTCTGCGTGGAAACCACACCCTCCAGATATTCGAGGCTTCATAGCCAACGAGATAGCCTATTTCGGCGCGTGGTTCCATCTTTGCTGCGTTCGGAATAACTTGCTTCCTCACATATGCTCGGCAGCCGAAAATCCTCAGATTCGCGAGGTTAACACGTTGTTGTGGCTGATTAAGGAATGCCTCTTGGTAAGGGACTATCCACCGGCCGTCTGGCAACTTCGTGGGCGATCTGTTGATGATCCATATCGCGGCTCTAACAGCTTCTGGCCATAGATTCTTCGGAAGGCCTGCATCGGATATAAGAGCACGAGCCATGGTGATTACCACCCCCCCAGATCGCTCCGCGAAGCCATTCTGTTCCGGGGTACCCACGACACTGTGTTCAATGATAAAGCCTTCATTTGACAGGAAATCCTCTACTGTACGACCCGCAGAGCGTTCGTTATCGTATCGAAAGGCATGGATCGGAAGATTCCACTGCTTCTTGGCTAGGGCCACAAATTGACTAACCGCGTCTTGACAGCCGTTCTTCTTCTCATGAGTATAGGCTGCATGGAGGCGTACGCCCTCGAGGTAGAAGTGCGTCATCCAGCGATCTCCATTATAACCTGGGTCGATCTGGACAAGATCAAAGTGGATACGCCCATACTTGCCGTACGGTGTTCCAGTAGTCCTGCGAGAGATCTGACGTTTGGCCTTGGTTAGCTGACAGACTTCACATCTCTCAGGGTTGTCATGACGGTTATCTTCGCAGATCCCATCGATTTTGACTCCATCAACCATCTCTGGTAGCTTTTCAATCTTCTGGTCAAAGGCGTGGCCTAACCGACGATGCCAGCGCCGCGCTGAGGCTACTGAGAGATGGGGCTTCTCCGAATGCCGTACCGAAAATGCTGCTCGGTGATTCGGATCATATATGACTGTGTAGAGACCATGATATCTCCCTATCTCAAGAACAGCCTCTTCGCCTTTAAAGATCGCTCTTTCAGCAGATTTGAAGCAGAATCCTTTGTCTTCGATCACAGAGAGTGAGATCAAGCTTGTGTGGAAGCCAGGCGAGTACCACACGTTATCCAGGGTAATAGGCACTGTAGCGCCTGTACGAGGGTGTCTCCCAGTGATCCTGACCTGCCCATAGCCTATCATCGGCGTCACTGTTTGACCGGTTTTAACGGTGCTATTTCGCGGCGTATAGGTCAAGAACTGTCGGCGGTCGTTGCAGATATGACAGGTGGCTCCGGTATCAAGAATCCAGCTGTCTTTGAGAAGCTCATCGTCCACTGCTGACGCTGCGATAGCTCGAGTATCATTAGCGAAGAACGCTAAGGACGGATTCTCTGGCTGAGCCGAACCAGCAAGGTGAGCTGATTTAGCGTTTTTCTGCTGTATTTTGGCGATTTTCTCCTGATCTTGAGGACTCATCTGCTTTATGTATTCAGGAATGCGTTGAACAGTTCCCTCTCTTGGCTTCCATCCATCTGGTCGAAGTGATTCGTCAAGATAGAAGCATTTTGAGTAGTGATGCTGAGGATGTGCGTTACCACACGGACATTTCTTGCGATAGGCCTTTTCTGCAGGCTTAGCCTCAGGTTCACCATTCAGTGAAGCTAGAGCTATCTTGGGCTGCTTCCGTCCTCCAGAGACTGTAAGATCTCCACGGCGGCTGCGATAGCTAGCTATAACTTCATCAAATGTGACAGATTTATCCTTATCTGCAAGCTTTTCGCGCCAGGTTATGCACCAGCCATCATCAATTGGTTGTATAGCGTCAAGAAAGTCTCGTATCGCGAAGTGATCTCCAAGTGAGCAGTCAGGTATGCCCGCGATCTTGCCCTCTTCGAATAGGCTAACCCACTGAGTTAACCAGTGGTTTGTATCACCTGAAGGCTTTTGTTTGATCATCTCTCTCCAAGCACGGCGAAGTTGTTGCTGTCGATTCTGAGGTTTTGGTTTGAACGTTTCAGATAGCTTCAGTAGCTTCTTCCGCGGTGAGTCCTCTCCCACAATGAGATAGTGATGTTCTGTGGCTAGCGAGCGGGTGATAAGGCCATTCAATCGTGACATAGTCTTTAACAACCTCTGCCGGCGCTGATTACGACGATCGTACGCTTGAACAGCGAACGTGTATCTCTTCAGCTCAGCATCATCTAGCTCCATAATATCTCTCTCTCGTTGGCGGTTATCCCGGGGTAGTGAGGGCTCTTCCTGAGCCTCGGGCACTTGTAGGACCTCCTCGTCCGTCTTCTCAGGATCAAGGTAATCCCATACATCTTCTGCAACAGCCGCTGACTTGATATGGCCTATCCAGACCCTCCACTGCGCTTCCGACTGAAGCTTTTGGTCAAGCGGGACCTGCATCAGATCTTCCCTCGCGATATCAGACATCTTCGCACAAGATATAGCTCAGACACTCGAATTCTCCTCATATAACGTTTCCGAAGGATGTTTGTCGGTGCGGATCTCGCTGTGTGCTGAACGTAAGAGCTCACAAGGGGTGGCTAAGCGTTCAGGGGTATCCGACCGTGTTAGGTGCTTCGGGGATTCGTTGACTGCGAGATACAGAGCAGGTAGGTGATATATCTCTCTCATACAGTCAGGCAGTCCGGGCTCATAACTGTCAGGATGAGGAATCGATGTACTGGCTAGTACTGAAGATGTCCAAACAGAATAAGATGATTGATTGTAGGTTCTCCGATCGGTTGAGCGATCTCAGGGGTCTTTATAGTTGAACTATGGCGTGTTATGACACCATACTAGGTGGAAATTGGGTGAACGATGAATAAGCCAATCCCGAAGGGTCCTAGTGGTATTTGACCACCTTCTCAGTTTGTCACATTCTTTCGGTCTAGCGATATTTTCCCTCTATTTTCGGTCAACACATTCTTTCAGGCTAGTGGTAATTGTGGTCCACATTAGAATATATTTTTGTTCCGACAAAATGGGGTTCCATACAAAGTTGCCAAGATGCCGTCGCATCAGTGTGATTTGAATTTGTAAGTGGTTACTACCCGACAGCGGGGCTGAGAAAGTCAACTATATTTATGTATGATAACTATTCATACCCCTAAGTAGAAAACCATGGCTCTATAACTAGCAGATAGTCGAAAGCCCGTCCGGAAGAGTATTGAAGATATTTATTGACGATTGAAGATTAATGAGTGTGTTGAGGGTCAGTTGAAACGATAAAGAGGATATATGGCCCGTTACATAGCAAACCTTCTCAAAATGGCTTGAAGTACCTTGCAATGATTACAATATATGTACCCACGACAATGATTATTGAACGATTGAGAGCTGGGTTGCATCCGCGGTATACTAATATTCATCGATGTCCGCAAATTGTAAAATGTACAGAGTAGACAGCACCAAGACATCGATGGCCAAATAATTGGTGGGTGATGAAGAACGAGAGAAGCACCAGAGTGTCCGAAAGTAATTTCACGGAGATACGTCAGAGCCTGACGAATGACTTATTTACTCTCTGACCAGTGGCAGTTGATTCTTGTCGAGAAACTCGGTCCAGGTTTGGAGCTTCAAACCAGGTATCTGACCAACCACAGTTAGTGTGATACCTTGAGCAGATCCTGCCCTGTGTCCTGAATATTGACGTACCTGGTTTGCTTGCACGAACTCTCCATTTGCGTAGACATTGCCACACTTCTCGAAGATCATCAACTGCTCTGCGAAATCGAGAGCAATCTCCTCAGAAAAGCCATCGCGAGATTGAAGAATCTTCTGGAACTGGCTAGAGCTAACTTGCCGGTACTGAGTTGGGACGTTGTAGCCTGAACCAGAGAGTTAGAAGCGTAAGACAGTTGAGATATTTTCGTCCACTTACGCTTTCCAATGATGGCTAGCTTTTCCGCCTCCGACAAGCCCTCACAGTAAAACGCAACGGTCTTTTCCAAATAGCGCGAGCCAGCCTCGAGGATGGCGCGCACAAGCTTGCCAGTGTCAGCGATGGCAACATTGGGCATCACGGTTTGTGGACTGTGCGGGAAGGTGAGAGTATAAGTTCCCGAGATGTCCTGGAGAGTATATATTAGTTGCCAGTTCGATCCAAAAAGGGAAATCATTGTCCTGAGTTAGGATCACTGGAACTTGTTGGAAATGTCGCGCGAACGCACCTTGACTGGGAGATATCGGTCGGGAGTGGTCAAGCAGTTTTCAAAGTAGTTTGGGAAGAGGATAGTGGTAGTCTTCGCCCAAAGAGCGGGTTGTTCCGTCTGAATGTATTCTGTCACCAAGCTCTTCCCCTTCCAGTGATGGACATTAAGGAATTGGCCACCCGAGAGTTTCACAGGGTCGGGAAGGGCGCTCCAAACAAGACGCTTGAGTGTGCTAGTCTGGGCTGCAGCATCAGCGATTGCCTTTCCCTGCGCAATCTCGACATCAGTAGACTGTGTCTGCCAGAAGTCGGTCAGCGCATATACGACATCAGCGCCCGAGAACGCGGATGCGAGCATTTCACGGCCACCATCCAGGTCAGCAGTGTATAGCTCCGCCCCAAGATCAGCAAGAGCTTTGGCGGTTGGCTTTGAAGGATCACGAGTAAGGGCTCGGACATGATAGCTGTCCGGATGACCAAGAAGCTCCTTGGCGACAGCTCCCCCCTATTTTCTTGCCCATGATAGAGCAAAGGTTAGAAATCCATTCTTCGACGAACGAGGGACTCTCATGTGCGCACCTGGGAGCCAGTGGCGCCAATGACGACAACTGTTTGGCGAGCCATACTGCCTTGATGTTTTGAGAGGGGACGAGCAAGTATTTGCAAAATTGAATTGTATGATATCGATGATATGATACTATCTTGATCAGAGGGAGAAGAACTTTATATACCTGGGCTTCTTGAAGCAGAAAATCAAAAGCTTTGGTTGGCGGTTTCTGGCGGACGAGCGAATGCACGGATGCCCGGAGGTTTAGGAATATCGCGGAAAAGGAAAATTTCAAGATGCAGTGTCGAGTGGAGAGCGTCTCACTCGATTGAGCGGAGCTAGTGTGAAGAAACGGTGAACTCTATGTGGAGCTCGGCTTCCCGAAAGACCGGTATCAGAGATCTTCTCCTTCGCTTGATCTGCTTGGAGATTAAAATCCGATGATTAAGCGGTGACGGAACGCGTGTGGGGACGCTATCCAGTAACTCTATTTCGGGGTACTCCAATGTAGCTTGGACAGATCAGTAGATTACAAATCATGCAAACGATGTAGTCAGGTGTTTGGAATTCTGACGCCGCTGAATCATCGGCAATATAAGTGGATCATAGCATAGAAACTTTCGGAGGTCGGAATGGTAGTTATCCGCAGATCTAGGTCTAGTTCTTAAATATCAAACGCATAACCGGATACGCACAATTCAAAGCCCCCTAACCACATTCCAACACCTTTCGGCCAACACAACTTTTTACTTGAACTTGATCATGAAATATAGAGTAGTCCTTATTACGGGAGCCAACCGAGGCAAGTGCTTTGCTCTGACCTTTGAGGTAACGCTGGTTAACCGGCTAAACAGGAATTGGGAGGGGCTTCGCCACGGCGTACCTTGCTATTCCCAATACTACCGTCATTGCAACAGTACGAGATGTCTCAACACAAAATGCATCTGAGTTATATTCGCTGCCTAAAGCGCAAAACTCACAGTTGATTGTCGTGGAGCTTAGTCTAGATGCTCCATCAACTATTACTGAAGCGATCTCACAAGTTGAAAAACAGCACCGCGTGGATCACATTGACATAGTCATCGCAAATGCCGGGATTTGCAACCATTGGGGACCAGTGTCAGAAATGGAAGATGTCGATATGATCTCCCACCTCGAGGTGAATACGCTGGGGCCACTGAGGCTGTTCAGGGCAACGGCCTCATTGTTGAAAGCCAGCAAACAGCCTAAACTTGTCTATCTGTCCTCCGAATTGGCAAGCATTGCTGGTCTAGAGAAGTCGTCGTCACTGACCACTGCATATGGAGTTTCAAAAGCGGCAAGCAATTACCTGATCAAAAAGATACACGAAGAGAATGAAGGCTTGATTGCTTTCTCAATTGACCCGGGGTGAGTAGGATAACCTTTTTGAATCAGCTCGGACTGTCTGCCCTGAGGCAATATCAACATATGTACAATTGTCCAATTGTGTCTAACAGTTTCGAGGTTTCAGGTTTGTCCAGTCTGACATGGGCAACCGTGGCGCGCGGTACGGTGGACTACCGGAGGCTCCAATGACCATCAATGAAAGCGTGGAAGGAATCATTGGCCAGGTAAGCCAAGAAGATATTTTCTTAAAATTGGGGCTACATGCTAATTGGCTTCTTCTGGCTGGCCAAAGATTGAGAGTGCCACGAAGACCACAGAATCCGGGGAATTCATCAGATTCAATGGAAATACCTTGCCGTGGTAGGAGAAATGGCACAATGTCGTAGGGCATGATAATATTCGGAAGAGCTTCCAGCCACGAAGAAAAGATATAGAAATGATATCAGTCCAATATCCTACGAGAGAAGATTGGCGTTGTTCACTGCCAGTGTGCATCGAGTTCAGGTCTCATAAGCCCCGAAAACAAACAGAAGTGTCTCGTGCCCAGCTACTGGTGTAGTGGATAATGGCAGCTGGTCAGAGAGGGGTCCTTTCATTTGGGATTGATCAAAGAAGCATGGCGCTTTTCTGCCCAGTTCCCATTATTACGCAGTGTTTTCAGCATTGCATTGAATGGAAAGAGTCGAAATGCTTCTTTCAAAGCAATATGGTGAATATTAGCCGGAGATGCAAGTTTCATGGAATAGGCAGATTATGCCGTTCATGGATGAGCTGCAAAACAATTTTAAACCGAAGCGCCAAAATTTAGATCTCAGGTAGATCTGATCATTAGTGACCAGCCAGACTAACTTGTTAACGACAGCAAATTCTCTAAAACCCGATGGCCAAAGCTTAATTTAAAAAAGAAAGAAAGGGCCGGTAGCTATAGGAGTCAGTGGCCATATTCAGAGTTACAGAGCGGGGAGTGTCGCTGAATGCCAAATGGAATAGGAGACAATGCAACTAGATACAAGTAAAAACATGCCTCCGATTCAATGGCAGTCTCAACGGCTACCGAGAAGGTAGGCCCTTGCATACATAGTGACACGAATGATCAGGCCTAAAGTGTAGAATAGGTATTATCGATGAATGCATCAACTTCAATCTCGACATGATGCTCGGGGAATGGTAGGCTTTCAATTCCGATCATGGTGAACAGCGGCTGATGTCTCGGACACCACTTTCGGATGTTTTTCACAATTTGCTCTCTAGCCTCTTCGCGTATGCTCGCGAGACCAACGACGAATGCCCGTACCTTGACAACATGATCCCAACCTGTATGCTGCTCTGAGTCAGACCATATATTCGCCTTTTTGAGTGTGTGCATGATGAGATCGTTCATATTAGAGAATGCCTTGGCAACCTCTTCGTCAAAGTTTGATGACGTCTTCAAAGTCAAAGGGTTCATTCCGGCTATAATGTTGTCAGAAAATATTCAAAGTTCATATCTTCTCTGATGAATTTACTTTGACCAGTGGTCAAGATACGGTCACCAATGATGCAGGAGTCGCTGAATCCATATTCCTCGCGGCACTTCTCGCCGAATCCCGGAAGAGAGTAGTAAGTCAGAGAAGCCATATGGATAGGGTCGATTGATGATAATCTGACATTCGATCAATTTCCAGTTCTCTACTTGGAACGAGCTGTATCTTCATATTTATAACTCCAAATAATCCTAGCCGGTGCTCGTGCAGGAACCCGCGCTTTGTCAGCGGAAAGCTCAGTATTCGAAGGGCAGAACAATAGGCCTCGGGGCCCTCGGGCCCCGAGGGTCTCGTTCCAATATATTCTGAAACAGGCCAATTGGCTATTTATGTGGTTCATTAGTTATAAAGGTCAAGTCTGTGTCAAGGTTGCTCGATCATAACGCAGAGGTCGACTCATAGCTGAGATACAGCGACCTTACTATTGGTATTCTTCCTAGGTCGCTAAATATCTTCCTTATTTCCCTACGCTCTTGGCCTCCTAGAAATGTCAAAGTGGTCAAGAACGTAGACTTAGCTGCTGATAGGTTAACAATAAGAATGACGACGCAAGCTTTTGCCATCATGGTATAATCCCATGAGTGTGCAGCCCGTTTGAGAGCGTTCGATGAGCAAAGGTTGTTGATTTTCCGATAAGAAATTTGCCATAGCGAGCCATCCATCCAACCTCGTCTACTGAGAATACCCTCTGGATATGAAATTCCGTGCAATAGCCCCAAGTCGAATGTGTCCCCACAAAGTGCGACGGTATGTACTATTCATAGGGTACCTCAAACAGTACAATGGATTTCGTCATTCGAAAGCAAGTTTCAAAATCTAATTATAACGTATTTCGAAGATTAATTCCTGTTTACACATCGGAAAAATTGACGTTTCGATTGACCAAACGTTGAGTGGTGTTTGAGAGTGGAGTGAACAGAGTGAGGAGGCCATAAAAATACCCGTGCATGCTCGATACTACTTTACGTAAGGTAATTCTGTAACTACGGGATGGAACAATTACTCGATGAAAACTAACATAATTATGCGTTTGGCAGACTTCCGAGTTCAAATTTGTGTTTGATGCACTAGTTATATTGAAGTCTATCTTCCGAAATTCAGGCTTCATGTTTCGACCACGACGTGCACGCGGTGGAACAGCAGATACATGCTTTCTCCCCCAAATAGTCATACTTGAATTGGAAGTACTACTGGACCCGTACACCACAGGCACCGAAAAGCATAACCCACAACGCCCACAGTGTACGATGTGATTTTCAAAGTCGCGAGGTCTCATGTGCATATTTCTGGAAGCGGACAATTTCCATGGCATCATTTGATTATCTGCTTCCCAAGAAGACAGGTATTTTCTTTATCCAGGACACCAGGTTGTTTTCATCCACATCAAAAGTCTTTCAAACCCGAAGCGAGTTCGCAAAGCAGGATTGGCCTTCACCACCAACATTCCCACATGATATTACGATGCTGTCAGTCGATGAACCTCCTCGAAAAAGAATTTGAGGACTTCCGGTTTTACAAACGGGGTTACACCTGATGACATGACAAGTCAGAATTTCGAACTGAATAGAGATCGAGTGGGTTGACACTCACCATGACCAAGGTTGACAATCCACCCTTGCTTGCCTTGTCCAAAGCCCTCGACCATACGCTCAACCGCCTCTGTGATGGCCGCATTACCTCCGTACAGGATCCCCGGGTCAGCGTTTCCCTGAATTGTGGCCCGACCACCTATAACCCCAATGGAAACAGCCGGATCATGGAGCCAGTCGAGGCTTATCACCTGATATCCCGACTCACAAAGGTCCTCCAAAGCATACCATGCTCCCTTGGCAAATACAGACATAGGAACGGGTTCCAGGCCCATTTCCCTTAGACTTTTCGGAAGATTGGTTGCAATATAGCGTAGGTATGGGAGAGAAAAGGACTCGAACGAATTAGGAGAGAGTTCCCCGGCATGTGAGTCAAAGACCTGGACAAACTGTGCGCCTGAAGCAACCTGAAGAGCGAGAAACTCAACGCATGTGCTGGCAAGCTTTTGCAATAAGCTGCGTGAATCGTCGGGATACCGATAAATCCACCTCTTAGCCTGTACATACATCTTACTTCCTCCTCCTTCAACCATATAACATAACAATGTCCATGGTGCACCGCAGAAGCCGATCAAAGGCACGCGGCCTTTCAACTTCTGCCTTGATAGCGAGATAGCCTTCGAAATATAGCCTAGTTCTTCCGCAACGTCCACTTGCTTCTGCATAACTTTTGCGAACTGTGCCTCATTCGGTGATTTCAACGGTTCAGGGAAATGCGGCCCTTGTTTATCGATCATCTCAACACGCATGCCCAGGGCTTGGGGGATAACTAGGATATCCGAGAAGATAATTGCAGCATCAATCAAGCCTTCATAACGATCCACGGGCTGAACAGTCAGCGTGGAAGCGATTTCTGGACTTCGACAGCATTCGAAAAAGTTGCGATGGCCTTTTGCTTTATGGTATTCTGGTAGATAGCGGCCAGCTAGAAAGAAAGTTAGTCGGGCATAAGCGAAGACCAAATAAGAGACTCTATGAATCGAGAAATAGTTCATGAGTAAACTTAGAGTGGAGATGAATCAAGCGTACCTTGTCGCATAATCCATATGGGAGGACGGGAAACTTTCTCGCCTACGACCGAATTAGTCGTCCGGATATTCGTGATTTCGTGAAGTCCATGAGTACCTCTCGCTGCTCGAAGCAGAAGATCATTCGTCAATGGTTCGAATTGTGCTTGCATTGCTGGAAGCACAGTGAAGGACAGTCCCAAAAAGGCTTTCAGAGTGAAGAAAGATGATTCCAGGAAGGAAATTAAAAAAAAATGGAAAGCCTGAGTACAGAATACGAACATTCAAGAAAAAGGACAATTATGTCGCAGTGACTAGATTCCAAGATTGATTCATTTGGACATAGTAGACCGCTGGGGCTTGGCAGTTCGTTTCTTGCAAGAGTAGTGGGGTCTTATCCTGCGTCGAGGGCCAATGAAACAGAATAGCGCTGAGTAAGCGGGGTGCCAAGCTTTGATGTGGATCCTCAAATTGGCTTGTAACTACTAAGCATGACCAATCGAGAATGGGACGATTGATTTGCATTATGTATTCAAAATTGTAATTAACGCTTGTCCATACTCTGATGTTGAAAAGTTTGCATATCTGGAGCCCACACCTCATAATACTTTTATAATATAATGCGGAACTATCCCGCTTGCAAGAGATTACCGAATTATTTGTAAACAAGAAATCGGCTGCTTATTCGAATTTTTCCGTGGATTTCGTCACCATTTGAGCAAGGTACATCATTGACCCGGAATATTCCCCTTCTATTACAGCCTCGAACATACGAGCAGGGGCCCTAGCCGTGTGGACATGCAGGATCACTGTTTTCGAACTCCCCTCCTCCATAAGAAATAACCTTCCCCCAGAGCCAGCGTCCTAGCCAAAGACAAATGTACCATTGTACCTCTAATCACGATGCCTCCATAGTACCCCCACATACAGGTGGTTATTCTTCTTCAATTTGAAGACAACTGGATACGTCCGTTAACGCCGCCTGTGAGCGATTCTTCGAGTCGCGCCACGCATCTCTTGCCCAGTCATTAGATTTTCCTCTCGGATGTGTAAAGGATTTCCAGTACGACGTAGACGAAAGACATCGATTGGATGTATGATCTTGGATCGAAAAGGCTGCACTATATCAGCGACTGGCTTTTCAACGGCTAGTTGTGCAAAAAGATCTGCTGGCCACCGAACGCTGCCGAAATTGGAAATCTCCCTGTCGTCGTCTACTTTCATGGGGGACCGTTCAGAATTGGGGACAATGCGGTAACACAACATCTGCATGCAGACTTCGGTACCCTGGGACGCTTCATGCCGCGTTTCTAATGACAAGACAGGCTAACACTAAGATTCCAAGTCCGATCGTCGCCACCAACAAGAGGATCGGGAACCTGGAGGCGTATCGACTGCTGCCCGATACTCGGTTTCCGGACGGAGCGGAGGACATTACGGCTGCCCTGACCTAAATTCAGACACACGTGCATTATTACGGAGGCGACCCGGCCCCATCTTCCCTCTCGGCCAAATGCTGGCGGTGGCCGTCTCGCCATCTCGCTGTTTTCAGATCAGTTCCAACAGCTGCTGCAGCAGGAGTCAGGACCGCTGGGTATTCTCTTCCTAAGCGCATCACTGGCTTACGACCTAACGCAGGGGTCTCAAAGGTAGAGTATGGAGATGTACTATGGCACGCGGAATCAGGAGGCGATCCAAGCCCGTTCAGCGCTGGGCATGCTCCGTAATCGCTCGACAACCCAGGCTGAGACTATTATACCGGAGCTGTTCATGGCGTTAGCTGAATACGGTTTTGACGAGTGCGTACAGGAGAATATGAAGTTTGTACAAGCGTTCGCTGCATGGTGAAGACGTGTCCCCCGGGTCGAAGTCCGACCGGGGCATAATCAGGTGAGCTATTGTTTGTCTATTGGGCTTCCAGGAACAAGTTTTGCCCCATAATTGTGGAGTGGGCGAGGCAATGCCTGAGGATATCCCAATCCTGGAAGAAGTAAGTGTACCTCTGTATTGTCTCGTCATTTTGAATCAACACCAAATTAGAGTCATATTCCAGCTGGTACTGCTTCATATGCACCCCCTGGAATGTAGAATGCGTTCTTCATCGCCACCCTACGTCTATCAATTTTTGTAAACCAAAAATGAAATATGACTATGTGAGATGTATCGGCCCAAGTCACTGGAAGACTTCTAGACCCCGAGAGAAGGCACAGGGTCTCTCCCAATTTCCAGAACAATACATAATAATAACGTCAAATAACAACGCTTTTGATTTGGTTGAAACCGCTTTGCACTTCTCATGCACGTGTATAATTATTTTACTTGTACGAAAAAGAAAGTACGATGGTTAGCGAACTTCGAAGTTACTGTCTAAATCACCAGCCGTCATACTTGGGGTGGCGGAACTGAATGGAATATCCCAGGATAAATCTCATGAGTATGTAACATTAAAAAGCCCTGGCCTTCAGAAGACCAGCCGAATCTGCGATTGAATTGTCATGTTGTCTCACCGAAGGACCTTCCTACACCTTCCACCGTAGTTGGATCCATTCCTGTTCCAAACGGTTCCGACGTTCTGTTTACAGTAGAGGATCAGCAGATGAAAGATACTGTGCTAAGAACGACAGCGCTCTTTTGCTGAAGAATTGCACGATCTGAGTTGGACTTATTTCGTTTGAACATCATAAGTCGTGTTGTTTGGACGTGTTTCTTACCGACCCTTTCGTCACTCTCGCGAAAATCCGTATTCCGATGCGGATAGGTCATCTATTGATTCCACATCCGTGGGATTCCCCGAAAGGTTCTTCTCGGCCAAGAGGCCCTTAAGAAACTTGTTCTGCATCTCTAAATGGGCCAAAGTAGCTTGCAAGGAAGCTATCTGGTGATCTTTCTCTTTAACGATGTGTCTTAAAGAGTCTTCACGGTCCCGTCTTCTAGCTCTGTAGCGGGCACAGGCGGCCGTATTGCGCCCTCGCTTGTCAATACTATCCTCTGGTAACGATTGACGAGTTTTGGCGTGAGACATGGAACTGGAATCGCTTTGAAATTTGTCAAAAGTTGAACGACAGACGACCTGATTGCCGTATAGAGATCGCGGTGAATTGGGGTATCTGAAATAAAGAATTTGAGGAAAGAAGGCCGCGAATGTCACTCAATTTGCCGCAATTTAACCTCTAGAATGCACTTAAAGTATAAAGAAGTGTGTTGGAGTCGCGGCAGATCATCTTATCGAAATTGCTCGGACCGATCCGTTCATCAAGTGCATCGAATGTGGACTCAGGATGGCTAAGTGGAATCAATGGATTTCCAATATCTTAAGTCATGATTGCTAATAAAAAGCATATTTTTCGGTGAAAGTAACTCGAGCACTAACCGCACCGTAGGTTTGACTATAATTGCTCAACTCGATCCACCCGGGCCGCGGGTGTCTTGAACAGGATTTAGTTAGGCTTCCCCGATGAGTAAGCGGCGAGGCATGTAAAAATTAATTGACCATCATCACTAATCGATATATTCCTGTAAAACTGAATAGTTCCAGGACGAATTGGATGACATGAGAATGGCGCACTGAGCCGAACCGACTGGTAATGCTGATCTATACCTCACGTTTCTGCCACAAGTTGACCTGTTCAGGCAGCATGTCATGGGGTAGCAAATTAATAATAAGAATTCGTTTTTTATATCCTATCATTTTCTTGTCACTTTCCTCTCCTCCACACTCGGTTGTTCAGTAGGTAGATTTCCGGAAAGACGGCCTACCTACTCCGAGTCGATGGGAATGGCAGTATATCAACCATTGCTCCGTCCAGTTGCTTTGAGAAGAGCATCGTAATATCTTGAACCAGTGTGTCTAACATAACCTGAGAAAGAACCAGTTCAATGGCACCCTCGTGTTCTCATAGGATATTGACAGCCCCTTTGATGCTACTGTGATTATCATGATGATTTGATCCGTCAATACTGAAGGTAGCACTTTACTACGTCGAGCACGGTGATTGGTGACATCCAAATTTTCCATCTGGTGTGGATAATTGACCAGCTAGATGCATGATTGGTATGCGAACTAGCATGTCTCTATTGAGATATCGAAAATTATCCTCAAACCAGGTTGAGGAACAAGCAATAAACAAGCCATCTGAGGTGCATTCCGTTTATGGCATTACATATATGTTCCTGATGTTCGACTTCATCTAATTCTCGGCTATTTAAAAAGATATGAATTTTTACTTGAGTATGTCGAGGTAGTTAAAATTACGAGCGGCTGTTTATCAAGGTCTGGCCAGCCCTCGTCACGGCCAGCTGCATGTGCTCCCCTTTGCACCCCTTTGGTAATTTTTCTATTCACGCTTTTCTGTTGTTTGCGTAGCAAAATAGAAACCATATCTCAGACAGCGTATCGACTCCATCCTCGAATCACACTACCAAATCTCCAGAACATATAGGGGACAGGAGTCATCAAGGAACTGATAATCCCGAGGATTGTCAATGTCCACTGGACACCCATATTTTTGTAAAAGGAAATTCCTACAACGGTCATCCCACCAGCTGCACAATAGCGTGAGACCGTCATGAAGCCCAGCGCGGAGGCTGCGTAGATCTCGTAGGAATCGATGACGTACATATAGCTCGAGATAAAGAGGCAGATGCTGCCGAAACCGAACAGAGAGGAGCCCAGAATTGGTGACCAGATTGAAATATCTTTCTGTGTGACGAGCAAAATAGTCATTAGCCATCTGGAGTCACGAAACTGGAGCGATATCAACAATGCTGTGTTCAATTCAAAATTAACTCACATAGTCAGTCCAACCCATCCAGAAGAGGCTTATTGGAATTGCTGGAGCTCCGATCATGGCATACCAAAGCCTCTCTTCTGGATCGATGGACATTCTCTTTGGGGTGGGAGGGTTCTGACGGCTTGTATCGCTGTTGTTTTCGTTGCTTCGTACATGGTTGTCGCAGTCGCCGCTCTCCCCTTTCAGACAGTCGTTCTGATACTTTCGGTATAGTCCAGGCACACACACGACTGCCAGCATAATGCCCACGTACATAGCTACCCAGATAATGTTCGTGAGCTCCTCGGATAGGTGATGAACATCGGCGAAGATATATGGATAACCGTCAAAGAAGGTAAACAGCACGATATAGAGGATAGTCATGTATAAAGCCAACAAAAGAATAATCGGCTCTCGAACAGCCAATGTGAATTGCCGAGCGCAAGCCAGACCTATCCGGTTCAGTAGTGGTGTTTTATCCAGATCCAGCTTCGACTGATAGCGAGGATCCCCACTCAACTTGCGTAGGTGCTTGGCTTTCCATTTTAGAAGCAGAGGGCCGTACGTCTCTGGCTGAAAAAATACTACCAAGGCCAGGACGAGGCCTGCCATGATAAGAACAATCCAGTTGACCCACAGCCAAGAAAGTGTTGAGTGGCCCATGTAGGACGCAATGACAGGGCTTAGGATAGCACCTCCAAACGATAGAATCGCATACATAGGAAATGCAAGGGTCTTTTCGAGCGGATTCCAGACATCTGCGACCGTTCCTCCAGCACAAGTGAGGGGCGGGCAACCACAGACTCCAGCGAGGAACCGGAAAACCAATTTAGCTCCAACATTGGGTGATATTCCGGAGCCCATGATGAAGAACATAAAGAGAGTTGTGGCGATCGTGTAGACGGCATTGCGGCCCAGGATCTCGGAAAGAGGTCCCGACACTAAGGATCCAGCGGCAAAACCGAGCAGGAAGATTGCGGTGAATAGTGAAGCGACGACTTCACTGACATTATATGTGGCGCTGCTTTGGGAAATAACGGCAGATTCGATGGAGGATGATGCGCTGACCACGAAAGCAAGGGCGGATACGATGATTGTTGCCATAATTCTTTTCTTCACACTGAAATTCCTGGGATTTAGAGCATCATTTTCTCCCTGCCAGTCGACGAGAAAAATTTGAGACGATTCTCCACGGTGGTCGGGATTGTCAATCAGCTGAATTCCATACGATCGGAGTTCCTGTGAAATTTGATTCCTTATCTCATGGAAAGGGCTTTCGCCGCTCTCAAAGGCATTCGAGTGTCGCCCAGGGAACTCATTCAGCTGCTTTTGAACGGAGGCTTTGATGGCACGATACTGGAAGTATGCCTGCATGATGATGACATAAGCAGGTATGGGAGGGTTTTGCAGCGTGGAATGGGTGAAATAAACCTCGTAAATGTAATAGAAAGATGACACTAATTTTTCATTAATGTATCTGGCGCACCATGATTACCTCGGCTACCAACATTGAACAGTATCCACACCTTAAAAGGTTTTCAGCTTACTTATGATACCTCATTTTTCCGGATAAGACTCTTCCGCGGGGCACTTCGCCCAAGAAAGGAATTAAAGTAATGCTGGTGGTCGAATTGTCTTGGTGCAGGATGTTCGGCGGCCCGATTAGTAAGCGGGCTGATGTCGAAACCGAGCGTGTCGGCGAATTTCATAGGTCAGAATGAGATGACAAAAGTCTGAGTAGAGAATGTGCCGCCTTACCATAGAGTTTTGTATGAGTGGGTGCATTGACTATGCTAGCAAAAGTTACCATTAAGTTACTAATGACAAACAATTTACAAATCACTGAGCTCATATTCTGACAGCTAATAAAACTTGTCGAGCGCAAGATTACAAGCGCAGAAGCCTTGGGACCCGCCTTACCCTGAAGTCGGGTAAGATGCGAGGTACCCATAGCAAATGAAAATTTGCTTTTATCACAACCGTACCTCGCCTTGGGATTATAGAATCTCTAGGTGATTGATTACTCTATTAAGTTATTTCTGCACACCCAAATATGATGGTCCCTTGATAAATAGCACTACAATATCCTTTGGATTTGGCCGAATATGATATTCGACCACTGGATGCCTTGGGGTTATACTCATCGTTATGTTATATTGGGGCGGCAGTGGGTTCTCCTGTATTCATTACTTAGTCCTTAGGGCCTTTGGCCCGCCTGGCTCATCGAACGGCAGTATAAGTTATAACCGGAGTGGCGATCCCACCAGGTCAAGTAAGTTCACACCCCGATGAATAATCGGCGAGAAACGCTGTCAGCTATCATGGTTGGACGATATTTACAGGTAAGTGGAACTATCACTAGTCGAAAGTTACTGTATGTTTGTTAGGCTCCCTCGGACATCCATAGTATAGGATATTCTGCCCGTCCGGATTGCAAAGTTGATGGGTAGCTGTCTATTAACATCTTGCTAGCCCCTGCCATTCCCATCAATCACAGCTAAAAAATCCTTTTTGGTTAACCGGCCTTCAAGGCGAGTGTCGATAGTGTACCCTCGATTAGTCTCCACTCTTCGTCGCGCCTTTGTCTAACTCGGATTTCAAGACCCAAACAAGAACTGAAATATGCGTGCTGCTATGCCTTTCAGCTTTTGGCTTGTACATATCATCATAACCCACAGGTACTGCAGCCTGGCCTTGGCCGCCGCTCTGCTTGCGCAATCTCTCTATGAGAAAGAAAAAGGGATAATCGCAACAACAACAGGGAAGACCGTTTGAGACCATAGTCCAGGTTTGTTTACTATATAATTCGACCCCAAATAGATTATATCCAACTCTTCCAAACCTGCGAGCTATCCTATACGCTATATAGTAATATCAAGTAGACAATGACGAGCTAATGCCGCTCATTCCGACCGTATGGAGGGGCCACACCATATTCATGGCTGCGGGTGGGGACTTTAAGCTGACAATGAATGCTAATTGTCAAGAAATATATGCACAAGCAAGCAATGATCATCCTACCAGATTTTATATCCGTAGAACCGGGATTATTCGAGCTCCGCCAAACTTAGAAGTTGATATCGAAGGTTATACGAAAGTATGCGATCGGTAACAGGACTCAAGTGGATCTGATTGTGGTATTTTCGGGCAGTGCTTCAGATTGTAATCTATAAAAATGTCCGCATTACCTTCTCGCTATACTTCACCACGTGCCACTTTCTATCTACAAATCTTTTAGTCACGTCGGCCTGGACATCCTGCTTTTAAGTGTTGTTTATTCACAGTGACACTATGACTGCGCCATCAACCCTCCCAGCCGGCTCTAAGCTCTGGGTAAGAGTCCCATTGTCTATTCTGACTGATGAACGGACAACTGACAAGTCATAGCTTCTGGACTTGGGAATCCTTGATATTGACGCGTCATACGTTCTTTCGGGGGCAAATGTCCCCCCCCGTACATGGTGCAACGCAGTCTCATGAGACCCGCCCATGCCTAATGATCGCAGGTCTCCTATATCACCCAGACAAGGGCCTCGTGCTTTTTGACACGGGATCTCGGGAGGATATCATCAAGTCGTGGGACAAGGAGTTCCTCGAATGTGCTCCACGTGTGTGGGAAAGAGGCATTCATTCTCTGCCTGCAGCTATCAAAGCTACCGGTGCAGGTCAGATCAGTGATGTCAAGGCAGTCGTTCTGAGCCACCTTCATATGGACCATGCTGGAGGGTTGGAGCATTTTTTCGGCACCGGTAAGTCCATCGTGCTAATCTTGCGGATGGTATGATAAATAATTTCTAGACGTCGAGATTTGGTGCCACGAGTCCGAACTCAAAAATGCTTTTTGGTCATCCGCCACTGGCATTGATGGCGGCCTCTTCCTTCCGGATTATCTGAGAGCAGACCTTTTGAATTGGAAGACTGTCTCAGAGGAAAAAGTGGAGCTCTGGCAAGGATTTACTCTGCACAGATGCCCTGGACATACTGAAGGGTCCCTGGTCCTAGAACTCACGTTTCCAGTCTCCGGTACTGTGATTCTGACTGGTGACGTTTTCCATGTCAAAGAAAATTATGAGGATGGACGACCGCAAGGCTTCCTCATGAGAGATTACTCTCAGTGGTTCAGAAGTCGGAACTACGTGAGAAGGCTAGTACAGCGGAAAAATGCAAAGGTTTGCTTAGGTCATGAGAAAAGCTACTTTGATATGTTTGAGAAAAGCCCTAAGTTTTTGACTTAAACAATTGCGGGCTCGTTGCAGCAAAGGCTCCTTTTGGCCAGAGGCAGATCATTCCACTGATGAATTTCGTTTATGTTATCAACCTACAATTGTTAGCATATTATTTCCCGTTGTCGATGAAGTTTTATTTTTTTATCTTATGAATATCTTTCCATTGCTTTAAATTCCTTGCCTCATTAAGAAAGTGCTTTCGGTGTGATATTATTCGCGTATCTACTGTATGTTTAGGATACATGTGATTGAACGTGGCCATACATAGCGCAGATCTTTCACAGAATAGGATTACTGTGGACGACTTTGAGACTTGAATACTATGAGGAGGGTGCAAAATCCAAATTCTGATATAATTCAACATTTTGGGTTGAAGGCCAATGTTCTGATTTCGATTCGACATTATTGAACAAAACTGCCCACCGCTCCGTTGAATCAAACCCATATTTCTCGTGGAATCTGCTTCCCAAGTCAGGTAACGCGTGTTAGTTGAGGATACCATGTTGTATGTCGTAAGGGAGTAGAGTCCTAAATTTCTCACTTGGTCATCAGTATACCAACTGCTGTGCTGTTCTGCACCAGAGAACGTCCGATTGCGGTGTGTTAGAACGCACGTGGGTCATTGGTGCATTCACGAATGAGATAGTAAGATGTCTGAATTGGAAACGTCCCCCTTACCATACAATTTTTGTATGGTAAGTAGCATTCCGAATATTAGACGACGTTGCGCTCTGATTCGCGTGTACATTTCGGCCCACAGCGAGTTCCGACACAGTGTCCGCTTTGTCAGCGGGGAACATGTTTCCATGCATGTGGGGCCGCATGTTCTGTCTCCTACATCACCATGGTTTTGTCCCATCGTTCCTTCAGGGCTAACAGAGGGGCGAAATAGGTCCATAGCGATGAGTCATGGCGTTCGTTGGAAAAAGCGGGGGACCATTTCAACAACTAGTTCAGTGTTTAGTGTTGACTACTGCCAAGTAACCTATTCCATACTGCCAATGGAGCAAATCAAGCAGTCCTTCGCCAAAGCGAAGCAGCAGAATCGCGCTGCTTTGGGAGCATATGTTACCGCAGGATATCCCACGGTGGAAGAGACGCCAGATATTCTTCTCAGTCTAGAGAACAGTGGTGCAGGTGCGTAACCATTGCCCTACCTTCACGATGTGTGGTTGAATGAGATCTGACGTTGTAGGAATCAATAGACATGATCGAGCTCGGTATACCATTCACAGATCCAATTGCGGACGGCCCAATCATCCAGGAGGCCAATACGATCGCTCTTGCCCATGGTGTCACAATTTCGGGGGTGTTAGACATGGTCAGAGAGGCGAGGCGTCGGGGCCTTCAGATCCCTGTCCTTCTAATGGGGTACTATAATCCAGTACTTAGCTATGGCGAGGTGAAGCTGTTGAAAGACTGCAAACAGGCGGGCATCAATGGATTCGTACTTGTCGACCTCCCTGTTGAGGAAGCAATTCCTTTCAGGAAATTCTGTGCGAGCGATGGGTTCGTAAAGGAAAAACTTTACATTCGTCTGAATCTAAGCTGACGATTGACCCAGGCTTTCCTTTATCCCTCTCATTGCTCCTTCTACGCCCATTTCTCGCATGAAATCCCTATGCAGCCTAGCTGATTCATTTATCTACGCTGTTTCGAGAATGGGCGTGACCGGTGCTTCTAAATCACTGAGCTCGAACCTTCCGGAATTTCTCGATCGCATCCACACCTACAGCCGTGATACGCCAGTTGCACTTGGCTTTGGCATCAATACACGAGAGCACTTCTTATCGGTGCAAGACATGACTGAAGGGTGTATCATTGGCAGTCAGATCATAAGTACTATAGGCGCCGCGCCTTCCGGTCAAGCCGCTAAACATGTGGAACAATATCTTTCTGGAATTACCGGACGCAAGCTTGAGAGGGGTCACAGCGGTGTAATTTTGCGTGAGATTAACGTGTTGGAGCCACGCATACCTGCTGCGAGACTCAGGGCCGCCGGAGAGAATGCGCGTCCCGATACCGCGCAGTTGTCTGACGGCCAGGTTCCTGTTCCGTCCACGCGCTTCGGTGGTTTTGGCGGCCAATACGTGTCGGAGTCTTTGATGGGTTGTTTAGTTGAATTGGATCAGGGCTTCGAGCAGGCACGACAAGACCCTACATTCTGGGAAGAATTTCGGTCCCATTACGATTATATGGGAAGACCTAGCTGTCTCTATTTTGCTAAACATCTCACGGAGAAGATTGGTGGAGCAAATATTTGGATCAAGCGCGAAGATCTCAACCACACTGGAAGCCACAAGATTAATGATGCCCTAGGCCAAATCCTCCTGGCTCGAAGGTTAGGGAAGACGCGGATCATTGCTGAAACGGGTGCCGGCCAGCATGGAGTGGCCACTGCCACTGTCTGCGCCAAGTTTGGAATGAAATGTGTGGTCTATATGGGAGCAGAGGACGTCCGCCGCCAATCTCTGAACGTGTTCCGTATGAAGCTCCTCGGTGCTGAAGTGGTGCCGGTGACGACCGGCAGCCGCACGCTTCGTGACGCAGTTAATGAAGCTTTACGCGCCTGGGTGAAAGATGTCGATACTACCCATTACATCCTTGGGTCTGTTGTTGGTCCTCACCCTTTCCCAACAATGGTGCGTACCTTCCAATCGGTAATTGGTGAGGAAACGAAAGAACAAATACAGGAGGCTATTGGTAGGCTCCCTGATGCAGTCGTTGCATGTGTTGGAGGAGGTAGCAATGCATCTGGCATGTTCTATCCATTTTTGAATGAGCCAAGTGTTCAATTGTTGGGAGTGGAAGCTGGTGGTGACGGTCTCAACACATCTCGTCATTCAGCAACCCTTTCTGGAGGTAGTAAGGGTGTCCTTCATGGAGTATACACCTATCTCCTTCAGGATGAGCACGGTCAGATCTTGGGAACCCATTCTGTCTCTGCTGGTATGGATTACCCGGCCGTGGGGCCTGAACTTAGCTCTTGGAAAGACAGTGGGCGCGCCAGTTTTATCGCTGCTACCGATGCTGAAGCCTTGGTTGGTTTCCGCGCGCTGGCAATGTATGAAGGTATCACCCCCGCCCTGGAGTCCTCCCATGCTGTATTCGGCGTCATTGAGCTAGCCAAAACGATGAAAAAAGGTGAACATAATATTGTTCTCAACCTAAGTGGGAGAGGTGATAAGGATGTTAACACCGTTGCCGACGTCCTGCCTCGGCTAGGACCTGAGATTGGATGGGATTTGAGGTTCTGAGCTTCGATGCTTAGTGAAAAAAATCTTGCTTGTATGTTCGAGATACCTACTTGAGAGAGTATTTTGGAGTATTGGCTATAGAGGGCGGTTATGTACTGTGGTGGGGGACTGGGTTACGGCTACTACTAACTATTACTAGTAGTAGGGGGTTCTGGAATAGTCAAGTTTAGGGAATTCTGCCTCGGTGTCAGAAGCATTAGATCCTCGCAGCCCGCTGGCTGCCAACAGGCTCATCCTCACTGTCATGTTAAAGAAAACCTGCACATATCTCCTTCCATTCATCGATTTCGGTTCTCATATTCTAAGATGCATTCTGAGGTTTTATCTTGACCGTCTATATTGCAACATCGCTATCCTACCATCACCAGGCAGTGGGTGGTTGGTAATTTTCTTCGTTTCCTCTGCGCGTATAGGCAACCTTCGTGCATTTCCCCATCCTCCAAAATAAAGATAGGCGAATAGAGAGGCGATTTTTAATTGATCAATTTTTTTAACTTTATCTTATCTAAGGAATCCAAAGAAGTTAACTTGTTTGCCTCCAAATTCGGTGAATATACTACAGATACTGCTATCTTACATCTGCTCTCCATCGCTCAACTCTTTCCAGCCCTAAGACGGCGATTAGAGAAACATGTGTGAAATCATCAACATCTCCTGTTTTCTGACTTTCTCGCACTCGCTCCAGGGTTCCGGCCCATCTCTCTCAGCTCACCCGCAGTCGCCCGCGCGGCGGACATTATACCGTCCTCGGAGTACATAATCTCGTACAAAGGGGTCATCAGGGGTGCCGGGAATCTACAAGCGAATCCTTTGGTGGCGCATCGAGCGCAAGATGGGGCCCGCCTGTTGCGCCCTTCGTCTATGCCTCAGCCGAAGGTACAATACATCTTCGCGTTAGACCTATATCAAGCCTTTCATGTGAATATTACCCTCCTGGGGTCAATTATCGATGCAGTACAGTTCTTGGGGCCAAAAAATTGTGTGCTATCCATTGAAGAGGGTCGGTCGACGGACGGTACATACACCATCCTTGCCGGCCTGAAGCAAGAACTTGCGGCTCTTGGGATTCGATTTTTTCTCACTCAAGCTTTGTGGCTCCAAAATCTGCCGGCGAAAATTGTTTTACTGCATTAGCAGCTCTACGCAATCTCGCCCTTGAACCTTTGTTCCAAGACAACAACTGGACCAACTGGCTGAACAAAAAGCCGAAGATCGTATTCGTGAACTATGTCGTGCTCTGCCTTAAGATATACTGGAACTTCTCTATCAACGCTCCTCACAACCCGCGACGATGATCTGCGCATTCGATTGGAATGGTGGCGGCGGCTCATTCTATTCCAACTATCGGAATCCGCGCCGGATCCAGCTGCTCGGGCCAGGTTCTCGTGCAAATTGATATGACTGGGAATTTCCCGGCTGGACGATTTGTTCTTAAGTTTGTGAAGACATATGTGGATTTGGGGGGACAAACTCTTCTAGGAATTGAGTACAAGCGGGAAGTGAAAAGCAGGGAATTCCCTTCAAGAGAGTATACTTACTCGATATCACGGGATGCGTTGGAGTTCCAAGTTTTTGTTAATGGCAAGTCACGGAAAAATTGAAGAACTTGGGATTCGAAGCTCTGAAGTCAGGACAGGGTTTCAATGAAGCAGTCAAATTCGAGAGAGAGCACTACCAGTGAATTCCTATAACAATAATGTGAGGTGGTTGAATAAGTGTTCTTAGAAATCTAGGAGTGTGGCCGTAGCCAGCAACAATTCACATTATATTGCATTTTTCTAGATAAGCCCATTATCCTGACCTTGATTCTCATTGCCGAATATTCGATTCAACGTTGACGGCAATGCATCCTGGATACCTTCCGGTGTGCCCCATTGCGCACCAGCAGCAAATTGATGGCTAGGGGTCCCTAAAATACCAGAGCCATAATGGACAGACTGTAAGCCTGGCTGCATTTGTTGAACTTGATTTGGAGGTTTGGGGGTGGATGTGAATGAGGAATCTTGGAAGAGCCAAGGCGGATTTGCGAGAGACATGATCTCTTGGTCGAAGATGGTCCACGAATCGTCCGCAGTTGGGACGGGGACGTTTACAGCAGATGTCGTGTCTGGTGGGGTGTGCATGGCTTGCATGCTAGATTCGAGGCGTTCTGATAGGATGGTGTGAATGCTTTCGGAGGATTGGTTGCTTCTTTCTAGGCTGCGGAGATGGCCTTGGATTAGGTGGAGATCTAGATTCTTGTCAGTCTCGAAATGACTTGCTTGTCAAACAGACACTCATACCGTCTTGATGCGTCATGCCATCCTCAACGCCCCGAAGCAAAAGAATTGCAGCCCAGGTGATCATCTGATATGTCAGAGCAAGAACAATTTCTGTCCAGAGAAGATGAACTCACAATAAGATCCCAGTTAGACCAGATGCTAGCGTCGTCCTGTCTTAGCCTCAGCACTGCTCGTGCCGATACGAGCAGCTCATGTCTCTCGACAGGAGTGATTTTGGCCGAGCTGAGGTTGAAGCCTCGAGCGGGGTGGTAAATAGACAAAACATAGAGTTTATGGAGGTGGTATTGCAGAAGAATCACGATTCCTTGTCGATCGGAGGGCGATGGTTCTTGAATTTCATCCTTGATGTCAAAGCATGTAATCAGAATTGAAGGCATGAATACTCACGGGATGCTCCATTATATCGAACGAGCCAGTCATCAAGTTTCCGTGCCCAGAGGCGAATCACCTCCGAGTCCTGCTCAGTGAATGATGTCTCGACGGCTGGTGGACTATCAGGCACGCTATTGTTTATTGATGACCAGATGGTAGGTAATCCTCTGCCCACGAAATGGCTCAGGCCATGATGCATCATGTCGGAAAGGCCTTGGTATGCATTTCCCTGGTGGTTATCCACACGTTGTATGCCCGGCGTAGGCGGCTGGCGTGGTAGCATTGGATATGACATGTGCATAGAGGCATGCTCAATATCGATGACCTGTAAAGTCAGTGATCTAGAATTAGGAGCGTGGACGAGACTTTTACCTGAAGACCAGAAAATAACCCCCTCCACTCAGGAGTCGTAGAATCTAGTTGAGATGGGCAGTGGTCCAACCAGAGACGATAAGCCATTGCAATCCATGAACCAGTTGCATCGATGTAAGCTTCAGAACTCAAGCTCGCCATAATGAGGCCAAGGATGTTATTGAACGCTTTTCGCTTTGGTGGGAGATAATCTGAAGTATCAGTCATTCGACTATCCCGCCTCGTAGAGGAACCAGGTCTGAGTGTCGGAGTTAGAAGCTCATTAATTGCACAGCACGTGGCTGTAAAGTATCCTGCATCGAATGAGGCTAGCTCTGACGACCGATGATGAAGAGCAGAAATGTACAGAACAGATGCAAGTAGCAAAGGTGTCGGAGACGCAAATGCCTCTCGGTCGCTGAGAAAGTGAAGCAGTGGAAGATTATTCAAAAATCTGCAGTTAAAATTAGACATGCACAAGTCATTCCACAGTTCAATCACTTACGAGCTCCATAGTCTCTTTATCGTTGGACGCGACCAGATATTCTCATCGGGAGCAGGTCGTGTGATGGATCTCAGATGGGCGACAGCATTCCAAACGCCTTGCAAAGGTACAGAATCTGAGTCTTCATCAATACTCATATCGCGAGAGTCGTTTCCTTCTTCTGGGGCTTCTTGGGTGATTCCCAGTGCGGCCTCGATGCGATCCAGCCGGTCTAGAATCGCCTGCTGATCATGCATTGATGATCGCGGAGCCAATAACTCGCTCTGGGCCTCATCGATGAATTCGTGAATCGCCGAGGCCTCGGTAATTGTCAGTTATTCAGATAGCCACTCATGGTGGATTCTATCCATCACATACATTAGCTCGAGGCTTGAAGATACAGGCTGTCTGGGTGTGTCGACATCGACGACAGGGTGGCGGCCCTGAAACCTCACATTTCATCTATGGGGTGGTCAATTGATTGTCTTGGAGACAATGCATTGTGCCTGGTCGGGCGCATACCTTCAGTCGCCTACAATTGACTAGGCCCACAATTAGCCACCCGCTTCACACGGAGAAATCCCGGAACGAGCACTCACCACAGGCTTTGGTGGGCTTCGGGCCCAGAACCATCTTGGCCTGCTTGTCCATGGCGAACCGAGCCGGTCACATCCCACGAGGCAATGGGATCTCAGGAGAAGTGAAAGTTAGATTCGTCGTCTTATCGAGGAACACGTGATTGCCTGAGAGTTTGGGTTGGGGCCGAGCACGGACCGAGTGAGATTCCGGGGACTCCACAGTATCAAATGGGGCGGCTTGCTAGTACATGGGACTCGTAGATGGATGACAGAGAAAATACGCTGTAATTTCTACGATATTTCTATGATGGAGTGGGATGTTCTCGCGTTTTTAGTCCGTCCTGCGTAGGCTGAAAGTCAGGATGGGTCTGATAAACGTAGATAGAAAGTGTGCCTCGAAGGCTCACATTCCCGTTGCTCTTGCGCTTTGCATCCTAGGATTCCACATCTCCAGCCAATGGTGGTGAATGGTTGGAGACGTGATAGCTCTTGTGTCCAGGACACGTGAAGATCTTTTTGAGCGCTTGGGGGTGAGGGTAATTGAAATGCAAAGGGGAAGGAAAAGAAAAGTGATCGGGGGTTCATGCAGACAATATAGTATACAAGGTATATGTACAGGGATTGCATACCCCCGGTGAATCTTGGGACATGTCACAGATGCGGATGGTAAATTACACGGAAATGATCAATCAAATCATTTCCCAGAGGAGATCATGATGTTTTTAGACAGATGTGGCGTCGTCGGGCTGACCCATGGACAGTTTGCGGACCTCCCAGTCGGCGCCAACCCAGTCCTTCTTCTCGCCCAGGACACAGGAAGCTTTGCGCGAACCATTCACCAGGAAGCGATCAGCAACCTCGTTCACGTCTTTGGCAGTCACATCCAGGACCTGTTCTCTCCACTTCTGGTCCATTTCGTGTGTGACACCGCTCAAGAAGTAGCGAGAGCCTTCCTCGTCAACACTCACCGGGGCGTCGAGACCTTGGAAGATACCAAGCTTGGCCTCCTCGATCTCTCGCTCGGACCAGGTACGATCTCTGGCAAACACTCCGCTGTTCTGGAAAACCTTGAGAGAGTTCATAGGGTTGGGATCCCGGTAACTCATAAAGGTAAAGATGCCCTTAATAGGTCCATTGCTAGCGCCGGCACCGTAAGCACCACCCTTCTCGCGAATTTCAGGGTGAAGATAGTTATGTGTAAGCAATTGCGACAGCACAGTCAGGGGTGCGCTAAAGGGGTCGACGAATGGCACGGTCTGGGTGGCCTGGCCGGAGTAGTAGACCTTGTAGGGAAGGTCGTAGAGAGCCTTGTCGACCGACTTGAAAGTGGATGTAGATCCAGAGCCGTTTGGAGAGAAGGTCTTGGGCAGACCAGAGAGCCACTTCTGCAGGGCGGACTCGTTCTGTGTGGCGCTTTCAGGCTCGCAGACCATACGCACGCGGAGGTTGGAGGTTTTGGAGAGCGCAAAGGCCTGGATGAGACGAAGCTTCTCAATCAGTTCCTGCAAGCGCTCGGGGGAGCTCTCGGCGTCGCGGAGAAGGTTGGCAGTAGCCTGCAGCTGCTCCAGACCAGACTGCTGTTCTTGAACCCAGAAGCTGCGGGAGAGACTGGCGGCGGCAGCGTTGACAGCAAACCGGTGGCCAGTTCCCGCAACCGAGTCCAACGCTCCGTTGGTTGTCAAGCGCAGAAGCTCTTGTATCATGGCGGGGGCGGCGGTGCTAGTAAAGTCAGTCTCCATGACCAGAGCAGAGAGCATTTCCAGCATCTCTGGAATGTTCTGATCAAGAGCGAAACCGGTAAACTGAAGGCCCTCCTTGAACTGGTCCAGTTGGGTGGGAGAGTTAACAAGGAAAGAAGAAGTGGAAATTCCACCAGTCTTCAGCTTGATCAGGTCCTCCCAGTCCTCCATTGATCGGTTAGCCGTGCCCAACCGCATCACGCAGTCGTTGAAAAGCGGCATCAGAAGACGAAGGTCGTCAGGAAGCCCATCAAACGCATTGACAGCCTGGAAGTATGTCAAGCCGTTTGTGGGAGCCTCACGCCAAACGACTTCAGCATCGTCAACCTTCGACTCCCGAACAGGCTTGCGCTCCTTCTCCCGCGAAATATCCTTCACATGCAACGTCGGAAGACAGCTAAGGTCCGCGTTATGCGCATCCTCTTGCACCTTTAGCAACTGCAGCTCCTCTTCGCTGAGCTTGGCAACGGCATTTTCAACCGAGCCATGTTGCTCAATGAGCTGCGTGAGCTTGCTCTGGCGGCGCACAGCTTCCTTATCATCCAGGTCTTTGTTAAAGGTAGGAGTTCCGACCATGGTGAATGTCATGCACTGGTCGTTGAGAAGATACTTCTCAACCAGAGACTCAAGGTAGCGAGGCTGGGCATAGCGCCTCTTGAACTCTTCGATAACATCATTCCACGCAAGCTCCTTCATCGGGTTGGAGCCATTGAGCCAAGCGGAAATAGTCTTCTCCATAACACCGATACCAAAGTTGGCAGTCTTGTGTCGCAACGAGAGCTCCAGTTGGTGCAGGAAACCGCGCACCTTCTCTTCGCTAAATCCCGCTGAGACAGACTCACGGAAGGCATTTTGAACAGCCTGTTTGACCGCGGGGGCTTCGGTTTCGCTCACACCAGTCACACCGACCGAAAAGACCGGGGTTTTGCCCGAGTTGTCCAAGCCGGTGTTAGGAGTGAAAGAAGAACCCAATCCACTCTCAATGAGCGCCCTATACATGGGAGAGCCATAGCCATCAAGGAAGAGAGATGAAATTATTCCGACGGAGAAAGTCTCAACAATGTCAGTCGAGTCACCCATATACCAAGAGGTGGACGTCTTGTGCTGCTTGTTCTCGCTGGCAAACGTGTCAATGGGGCCAGGAACGGTCACATTGAGAGGGCCACTGCTGAGGTCCAAAGGCTTCTTGACGTCGGTATCCCTATGACCCTTGTCAAATCCATCCAAGACCGCACCGACTTGTTTCAGATGACGTTCCAGTTGCATATCTCCGTATGTGAGGATCTTGGCGTTGCTCGGGTGGTAGTTTCGCTTCGAAAAGTCGGACAGTTGCTTGTGAGTGAGGTCGGTAATGTATTCAGGGTCACCTCCGGAATTGTTGAGAGCCGGAATGATGTTTTCCTTGAATTTGATATAGTAGAGGTAGTTGGCATCGGAGATTTGACCCTTCATCTCATTGTACACAACACCCTTGAAGACAATATCATCCAACTCAGCCTTCTTTTCAGGCTCGCCGGGGTTCGGCAACAGAGCGCGCGGATCCTCAGGTCCCAATCGCCACCCCTCCTGACGGAAGTCCTCCTCCTTCAGAAGTGGGTGTAGTGTTGCATCGAGGTACACGGACAAGAGGTTTTGGAAATCTTGCTGGTTTGTCGTGGCAAAGGGATAGGTGGTGTGGTCTGAGGCCGTGAAGGCATTCATAAAGTTCGACAGGGAACGTGGGAGCATCTTAAAAAATGGGTCGCGAATAGGGAATCTTCAACAACAGATTGCAGGTTAGCCACGCTTCGTCTGGAGCTTCAGGCGATATGGGACCTACTTCTCGCTGCCGCATAAAGTTGTGTGCTCCAGAATGTGCGGCACTCCCGTCGCATCCGGAGGATTGGTCTTGAAACCAATACCAAAGACATTGTTCTTGTCGTCTCGAGCCACATGCATATAGTCCGCCTCGGTCTTATCGTGAGTCAGTCGCACTGCGGTCAAGTGCAACTCCGGAACATGCTTCTTCTCTTGAACAGTGAAGCCATGCAGCTTCTCGCCGACCTTGGGGAAACCATCGATGTTCGTCACGGTGGAAGCTGACCGAGTCGTCTTGTATATTTGCGGAATCGCAGAATGTGTCTTCAAAAAGCGGCCGGAAACCGGTTGGCGCAAAGCTGGGCCGCGGGCCCTCGCCAGGCCCATGGAAGAGCGCAGCATTATGTCACGACGAGTTGAAATTGCTCAACAATAGTTCATCCCCGTTTGATGGCACTTCACGAGTCTGAGAGGGATTGCTATGCTTCTTCTCGTCGTCGGTAATGAGAGGAAAGATCGGTGACAAAACAACGCTGATCGGGCCGAAAGCCCCGGGGGCTTATGTCATACACGCTAGGCGCTCAAGCCCTCGTGACGGCGTATCTCAAGGCAGAGAGTAACTTGCGGACAGATGGAACTTGAGCAGATCAAACACCGACTACCTGCGACACTTGTGAATACTCTTCCCAGCAAGGAGGAAAAAGAGGAAGCTTGCCCGCTGCGCTGTGGCTGGTGCCGTTGCGGCTGGGTCGATGACTAAGGACCCCCTCGTCCCGGTCGAGTTCTGCCTCCGAAGAGGAAACCGCAAGATCGCTCTCTCCAGAAAGTGCTACGACACATCGCCAGAAGGACCCCAGAGGTGATCCGCCTACCGCGCTCGCCTTGCCTCTGGGTTCACACGTTGACGCTACGCACCAACCCCTCCGATTGAACCCGCTCTCACCCACCTACGTGTATCCCGTTCCTGCACAGTTTTTCCGGTCTTCAGGCTGTTCACGCGACTAGAGACACGCCAGAAAATACTGCGACGAAAATACAGGCCTAGCCTGGGAACCGCGCAACATGTCTTCCACCGCTATGGCCAAGAAGAACAAGGGGAAGAAAGTCGCCGATCCAAATGAGACGTCAAAACTACTAGCCGCCAAAATCTCGCAGCTAGAGCAGGATGCTGCCGGAGAGAAAGACCAGGAGCAGGAGATCGGTGCGTGAATTTCTCTTGGATACCCATCGATGATCACCGGGTTTCGGTGTTTCGTCTGATGTTCTATTTCCGTCTTAACTAACTTCATTCGGATGAACAGAGCGAGAAGTCAAGAAAGCAACCCGCGATCTCAATCAGCTCCTGAGCCAGTTCGAATCCCCGATGACCCGGCTGGAAACCGTTCACAAGAAGTACACCGAATTGCTCACAGACATGAAGAAGCTGGATCGAGACTACTCCAAGAGCAAAAAGCGTGCAGACCAGCTGCAAAAGGACCAAGATAAAAGCAAGAACGAGCTGGGCAAGACTATGACCATGAAGGATAAGCTAGAGAAGTTGTGTCGCGAGCTGACAAAGGAAAACAAGAAAGTGAAGGTCAGCCGAAATTGTTTCATCTCATCGTCAGTGACCGATTACCAGGCTAACCGTCAGATATCTGAGCAGGATGAGAATAAGAAACTCGAAGACACCGAAAAGAAGGCTCGCCTTATCGTGAACGAACGTCTCGACTCTCTTCTGTATGACATCCAAGACGTCATGGCAGCAAAAGGAAACCCTCGCAATGAAAAGGTGGATCTGGAACTGGAGGAAGCGTAAGCCCCACTTTTCAAGCCTGTAGTCTTTTCCTTCCGTCTGGTACTAACTTCTCAACAGTCTTCGTGTGAAGCTAAAGACCATCAGCGAGCAGTTTGACACTCGTGAACTGCACTACAAGAGTCTGCTCCGTAGCAAGGACTCTGAGATTCAAAGTCTGACCACCAAATACGAGGAACAGCGGAGGATCGCTGAGAATGAAACTGCCCGAGGTCGAGCACTCAGCGCACAAGTTTCCACTTTCTCGCACACCGAGGCTGAACTGCGAAGTCAGCTCAACATCTATGTGGAGAAATTCAAGCAGGTATGCGATTCTGAAGATAAAGGGCCGCAGGGAGTCTGCAGGGATCCGACGCTGACAGTCAAAAAGGTGGAGGATACACTCAACAACAGTAATGAACTCTTTCTTACATTCCGCAAGGAGATGGAAGAAATGTCAAAGAAAACCAAGCGGTTGGAGAAGGAAAACCACACCTTGAATCGGAAGCACGAACAGACCAATCGGAACATTCTTGAAATGGCAGAAGAACGCACTCGGAATCAGGAAGCATTAGAGGGATGGCGTCGGAAGTGTCAACATCTTGAAGCTCTGTGCCGCCGGATGCAGGCTCAAGGGCGCGGTGCAGGGCTGACAGAGTGTGACGAACACCTGGACCACGACGACGAAGGCACTGAGAGTGAATACGACGATGATTACGAGGACGAGGAAGAGTTAAGTGAGGAAGGTGAGCTGGATGGGCCTGACCGTGACATTCCTCGTACCGAAGGGCCTTCCGAACGGCCTGTCTTTGGACCACCTCCCCTCCCAATCTGCTTGAGGCACGGGCATCGCAGAATGCTCCTGTGCTAAATGGTTGCCATTGATTCACATCCGCTATATTTATATGATTACAAATGCACACTCCTCATCAGAAAGTGCTTTTTCTTGTTTTGTAAGATTCAACGCTCCCAAATTTACTAGTTTTAATTCGACTTCGATGTCGAAAGCTTTTCCCTTGTTTGATCTGTCCAGGTGCTGACGAAGCCACTTCTGAGGCCGCTGTCAGCGAATACGACATATAGGCAGGTAATGTATTCGGATGTCGCACCCATGTCTCTGGATATCCTTGTAACGAAGCATGTGATGCGTCTGTCTTTCTCCCGATGGAGTAACTCTAGTACTTGAGCGATTTTCTGTTTGTATTATACCTTGTATCTCGTCGAGGGCCAACTGTGGATCTGTTGAAGTACAATTGTTTCTGTACAAGTACATGTCTTATTATCAAGCCCAGAAAATAACCCACTATCTTCCTCCAGGTCCGTAAACAACATGTTCAAATCTATAGTTTGCTTCCCTGGCTGCTGCCAACAATATATGCGTTATTCATCTTCATCACATCCACCGCCTGTTGAACCATCTCCCTCACAATGTCCCCAGCAGGCTTGATCTCTTTTACGATGGCAGATACATCACCCATTAGGAAAGGCATGTCGATATCCTTATCGTTCTCCAGATCATGCATCATAGGCACAACACCTTTGCCAGTCAATGCTGCAATATCAGCCGGTCGGCTCTCCCACTCCTTCACATAATCATTCGGCAGCATGCGCAGCGGTCGACCAGAAACAACAAGTGTCCGACGAGTCTCGCCATACTGCGCCCCAACCACAGCCTCCTTATGCATGCGACTCGCGCCACTCTCCTCGGACGCAACGAACCGAGTACCAACCCAAACACCAGCAGCACCCAGGGCCAACGACGCAGCCAAACTGCGTCCATCATTAACACCACCAGCAGCGACGACGAGCGCCGGCTGCCCGGTCAAGGGGCTGCGATACTTCCGCGCGACATCAACAACAGCCGGGATCAGGACGGAAAATGGGACATCTCCAGTATGACCGCCACCCTCACCACCCTGCGCACAAACAATATCCACTCCACGCTGGAAAGCCTTCTCGGCATGCTTCGGCGCACCAACCATGTTCATCACCAAGATGCCGGCGTCATGAAGGCGCTTGATCACTATCTCGGGTGGGACGCCAACGGCCGAAACGAAGAGCTTTGCGCCGTGCGAAATCGTCACGTCAATCAGCTCGTCCAGCTGACCGTGCGTATAGTCGTGATTTGTGGCGCGCGCACCGCCTCCGACCTGCGGAAGCGCGAGATCGACGCCAAATGGCAGTGAGGGGTCTTTCAGGAGAGATTTGAGCTCCTTGAGCATCTCTGATAGCTGCTGCGGTGTGTAGCCCAGTCCACCGACCGTGCCGAGGCCGCCAGCATTCGAGACGGCTGCGGCGAGGGGGGCGCTCGAAGCGCGCGCCATGCCGGCCAGCATAATTGGATGTTGGATTTTCAAGAGGGAGCAAAGGGGTGTTTGGATCGACATTGTGACTGGAGGATGTGATATGCGGAGACAGAGGAGACTTGAGCGTTCGGATAGGTGTCGTGGGCAATTGAGAGCCCGTGGAGGATATCGTAGACTCGGTTCGGATTCTGTAACACTCGTGAACAGTCGAAGGATAGTGCTAGCGGTAATAACGGTGCTGAGTGTAGGGTACTCGGCGTGAAGCTATATTTGATGGAAAAATGCGGGGAAGCTCAGTTTGGCCGGACCGAGGCATTCTCATCGCGGCGTGGCTTATGAACCGCGCACATTTTATACACCGACGATCGACCCCACAGGCATGAAAATGTGATGGCAGATCGCCTTTGTTGGCCTGCACTCCTCATTGGCTTGTCGGAGTCTCGTTCGTCTTCTAGTCCCTGCCATATAGCCGACTTCTTGCACCCGCTAAGTCAGTTTCTACTGTGCCTGATGGATGGTAGCTTAATTTTCCTGGGCATTAAATTCTGTAGCCAACACTATTATCTAGTTGCTAAATTCATATTCATAGAAAACAAATCATCCACACTGTACACGGACCAGCCGAAGTGGTCTTGAAACCCCTTATATTCTTCATCTTGATTTCAGTGGGGTTGAACATTAATGCATGGGGTATAGATGAATTACGCAAGTGTTCCACGTGTGCCGGGCGCCTGGATGCGTAACACAGTTACATTTGTATAGTATAGTTATGGCGCTATATTTAAACACTTTGAGTTTTCTTTCTTGAATGCTATCTTCTTAGTAAGGATCAAAGTGTTATCTATGTCACAATCATACGTGGTGGCGATATGGGGTGGTTGAAATCCAATCTAAATACTGAAGTCATTCATCCCATGCATATTTTGTATATATTGAAGAGGGGAACGCTCGATGGCAGCAAGCGAAGAGACGTGCGGGTCGATTCAGCAGAAAACCACCACAAAACACACGCGTAGCTGTCAAGAAATAGCGAGAAACCCAAATGTAGAGGTCAGCTCGGGGAGGTGTAAGAAGGTGTATTCTAGAACTAGCTATCCGGCCACCGTATACTGCCGGCTATATCACATAGCCTGGATGGCACCCATGTAGGGGGAGGGGGTCTCCCCACTACAATATATAGTCAACAAACTCGTCAGTCGAGTCAGTCACTCAGATAAAATCCAAAGATATGAGGACTAGTCCATTACTATAATTGATTTCGGATATCAAAGGACTTAAAAGTCATTGGTACGTCGTGAAAACGAGGCAGAACTGTGGCAGTAGAGATGGTGAGGCCGGGCGGAGCGCCGAAAGTGGGAATGTAATTACGCGCCAAATCGCGTCCGCGTCCAAGGCAGCGGACCGCATCACCAACCCAACTCTCCCACCTCCCCTCACCTCGTGCGATCATCGCTCCAAAATGGCTCTAAACGAGGAATCCGACTTCTTGCGGCCGCCCAGGTATGTCATTATCCGCAATGTACCGTCTTGGCCTGGGGAAATCACCCTGGCCCCGATGATTGAACGTTAGCTGACCATCGCACGCGATCTGTTGGATAGCAACGAGGAATACGAACCAGTCTATCGCACCCCCTCCCACTACAATCCTCTCGAGACCTTCAAGCTGCCTGTCGGTGGCGATCGACATTACCAGCAGCAATATGGCGACATGTACTTTTTGCGGTTGGCGAAGCTGAAGCCGGCCGCGGAACAGGTCGCGCTGGCGGCTTGGGGTGGACTCAACGTAAGGGCACCTGCGGAACACATTGGCTCTTGTACGTGCAAGTTACTGATGGTATTGTTGAACAGATTGCCGGTGAACATGCGCGACGCGTGGATCGAGTGCTGGACGTGCGGCAGGGCGAGCTGTGCTGGGTGGCCGGCACAATCTACATGGACATGCCGATGAAGCCGAATATCTTGGAGGATCTCACAAAGGAGGTGTGTATAGCTTTTGATCATTCTCTGAAGGTTCTAACGAGCTCTGTAGAACTTCACATTGGCCCCGGCCCCGCGTCGCACCTACACCGATCCTTCAGACCCTTCCGCGACCCAGATCATGTTGGAAGACGAGTCTGGTCGACTCCGCCTTGTTGGCTCCTTTCTTTCAGCGACACACTTGGTGACAGGCGCTATCATTGCAGCTCTAGGAACGGAAAACTCGAATGGTGATTTCGAAGTGATCGACATCAAGGTTCCGGACCTGCCCCCGCAGCCTCAACGATGGGAGAGAGATGGAGGATCCCCACCAGACACACAAAAGGGCTCCGAGAGAGGTGGCAAGATTGCCTTTGTTAGTGGACTGGGAATTACAGGCTCGTCAAGTGATACGCTTTCTTTGCAGCTGTTGACAGACTACCTTTTGGGCTATGTGGGATTCTCAGGCAGTGATGAGAACAGCCCTTCTGCGAATGCCTCCAAAATCAGTCGACTCGTCATTGCAGGAAACTCACTGGGTGCAAGCGTGACCGCCGAAGCAGCAACAGCAGGCTCTGATAACGCTGCCAAGAAGAAGGCCGCGCCGAAGAAGTACGGATATGATGCTTCTGCTTACAATGCCTCGCCCATTACACAACTCGACAACTTCCTCGCGGAAATCCTACCCAGTATTCCCATCACTCTGATGCCCGGCGAACAGGACCCGGCGAACTTCTCTCTACCTCAGCAGGCCATCCATCGCGCTATGTTCCCTCAATCCAGAGCCTACTGCGCACCTCCAGCATCTGCGGATTCTAAGCCAGAGCCAGGCTGGTTTGACAGTGTCACAAACCCATGGGAAGGTGATGTAGAAGGATGGCGTATTTGGGGCTCCAGTGGCCAGAATGTCGACGATGTACTGCGGTATCTCGACTTTGCTGGCGAAGACGGCAATCTTGAGACTGATGACACCGATGCACGAATGCGCATCATGGAGGCCATGCTCCGCTGGCGATGCGGCGTTCCCACGGCTCCCGACACCCTTTGTATGTTCAGCCTCTCCTGACCTGATGAAGCTCTTGCTAACTCTTTCAAAAGGGTCCTATCCTTTCCAAGATATCGACCCGTTCGTCCTCGAGACTTGTCCGCACATTTTCTTCACCGGAAATCAGCCAGCCTTCAAGACCACAGTAATCGAAGATATCATTCCTCTTAATTTGGACGGCGGTGATACCGAGATGACCGACAGTGGCACTACTGCCCCAGCCCGGGTACGGATCATGTCCATTCCTCGCTTCCAGGAAACTGGGGAGCTGGTCTTGCTTGATACTGAGACTCTGGAAGTCGAGGTGGTTCGGTTCGGTGCATTTTCGGGAAAGGAAGACAAAAAATAAATCAATATAATTAGCGTGTGCCTTACTGAATAATGACGACTGCGAAGATCAAAGATCAAACTCGTGGACTCGTCCGGAGAAAGGATCTACAGTAGTGTGTTAGCAGAAAAGGTTGAAGCTTGGCGCTGCGGCATTACCAGCCTCCCGGTAGGCTGCCAAAGCCCCACTCTGAGGAAGACTCGGCGAAACTTCGACTTTGCAACAGCGCATACCCGTGGACTTCCAATCTCTACAAAATACAACTAGAAGAGACAATTTGAATATTGATAGACTATCGCTCGATTTCCGTGGACTTTCGAATTCTTAGTCCGACCCCCCGCCGCCATGTTGCTGAATGCCGAGACCGGTACGTACTCCTCCCATGTGACATTCCATCTATATACACATAGCAGCAGAAAGCATTTGAGAAAGTATTGTGTCCGATTGCTAGCTGACATTCCCTATGTAGCTATTACATCCTCTAAAGTCCTACTTGTCCCGTACTCAACATGGCATGTACCCCGCTACCACGAATGGATGAAAGACGAGGTAAGAAACAACAATACCAAAAAGAAGAAGAAAGGAACATCTAACGCGACTAGGAAATCCAACAAGCAACCGCCTCTGAACCACTCACCGTGGAAGAAGAATACGCAATGCAGCGCAGCTGGCGCCAAGACGCAGACAAACTCACATTCATCGTCTGCCGTCCTACACCAACCCTGACAGAAAAGAGTGACTCTCCCGAGAACATGGTGGGGGACATCAATCTTTTTCTTCGAGTAGACGACGGCGAAGACGGCGACTCGCCACCGCAGATCGTCGGTGAAATTGAGCTCATGATTGCGGAGAAGATCAATCAGCGTCGTGGGTTCGGGAAGGCTGCGCTATTGGTCTTTTTGCGGTATATCATTAAGCATCAGGAGGAGATCTTGGAGGAGTTTGTGAGCCGGGGTGTTGAGGCTAAGATGGCGGAGAAGGTGAGGGGTGTTGGGGATCTGGCGTTTGAGTGTTTGAGTGTCAAGATCGGGCAGAATAATGTGCGGAGTTTGGCGCTTTTTGGTGGGCTAGGGTTTGTGAAGCTTTCTGCGGAGCCGAATTTCTTCGGGGAGTTTGAGCTTAGGAGGACGGAGTTGGGGGTGCAGGGGGTTGTTGAGGGGCTTGCGAAGGCTGGTGTTGAAGGGTATGGGGAGGCGGGTTATATGCGGAAAGAATAGATAGATTTAGACATGAGCATTTAGAGTCTCGAAGAGAACTTCATTCTTTCAAACTATCGACATCCACAACCAGCAGTCACAATGGGAATACACGCGGCTATCTAGGAACTTCTCACGGAGAAGGCTCTTAGTTGCTGCTGTACAGAGCCGGTCCAGGCATGACATAGTTCGACAAGGTAGTGTAGATGTTGACCAGGATACCCTTGTCGGACTTTGTGTATAGCTTCTCGCCGAGAGTACCCTCAGGCTCATCGCTGCCACCACCAGTGACCTTCAGGTTCAGGCACTGGGGGTAGTTCTGAGCGCCATTTTCCTGGCCAGCAGAGTGAAGAGCGATGATCTCGTGGCGCATGACATAGTTGCCCGCAGAAATGGAGGAGGGGATGGTCACCGTCCAGCGGTTTCCAGCATTGATGAGCTTGTCCGTTGCCCAGGTGCCGGGCACATTGCTGCCATCAACGAGACCAACGGCGTCGATCTTGAAGAACTCCAGCTTCGTCTTGTCGACCGTGCTGCAGTCGCCGTCACAGGACGCGAGGTAGGTGATGACAGGGCCGTGGTGCGACTCCGGCCACTCAGTCCACTGGATCTCCACGTCCGAGCCGGCCTTGACTTCGGCAGAGAGCTGGCCATTCTTGCCGTTGCGGTGGCAGATGATGTTCGGGTCGGAGTACTCGGAGGGTTCCTCGAAGCCCAGGTCGGTGGCGGTGGTCGACCAGCCGACGCTCTTGGGTGGGTCGTCCTGGTAGGAGTACTGGTCGACGAGGTAGCCGGTGTAGCTGGAGAGTCATGAGCATGAGAGGGAGAATATCAAAGACAGAAGAGTCGAGACATACTTCTGGCCGTTGGCGACAATGCTCGAGACATAGCCGTGGCCGGCGACCATGGTGGCCGATGCCAGGAGAGCGGCAATTTTGGAGAAAGCCATTGTCGTGAAATCCTTTTGTGCTGAGGATGCGAAGTGGTCGAATTGATCAGATGGAAGCTGCGAACCAGGACCATTTTATACTATTCTATCCATCGACAGGACCCATCGTCATGTCTCAATGTCAACCCATTTCCCCTGACAAGCTCCGTTCTGATACTGGATTAGTCTCAAGCACATTATCCGGAGTAGTCTCGGCTATTTGTTTCCAACCAGCCAAGTGTTTCATACTTCCTGGCAGCTGTGGGGCGGTCCACAATATCCGGGTTCTGCAGATGGTCCCTGCGTAGAATCAGGTGAAACCCTGTCAGGGCATATGCCGAAGGAAAAGATCACAAGGGAAAAACAAGTATGTGCACATCGCAAAAAGTCATGGATGTCGCAGGCGGCTGAACCCGACAATCCACGTTGATAATCCGGGGAAACGGCCCAACGCTGTTTGGATAAAGTCAAAGTCAGAGTGTCGCCGAATCGGGCGGGAAGGCCAAGAGTGATGCGACATGCCAAGCCAGCCGGAGGTGTAGAGAAGAGCTCCATTGCCGTGGCCTGGAGAGCAATGATCAACATGGGTCTGCCTTCTGATTCGAGGAGGCCTGGGCATATCACGGTACTGTTTCCCACAGTGGCAGTGGTGTCGGTTCAACAAACAAGCTGGGGCCAATGGGTGGTCTATCGATTCAACACCCTTAATCTAGAGGCCTTTCAGAAGACAAATCAGAAGACAAAACCTGTTGAATGCCTGGTTCCGGGCCTTCTGAATAAGAGTGAGACATCATATGTTTCGAATTCTGACTCCATACTCTCTATTCTCACTTGTATATGCTGAATTGAAGATAACTCTCACGTTCTACGAGATAATATGCAGACATCCACTCACAATGGTACCAGAAGGATGTTTGAATAGCCCTGTATTGGTGGATTGACTAATAGAAAGAAGACTACTCGCATAAATTAATAATGCCATGATACCATTTAATGGCCCGTTCCAGCTCTCCAAAATGCCACTGTTTGGCCGTATCAACAGCATGTCCATGTGCCTTCTTGCCCATGTCCAGGTAGTAGCCCACCGAATACCCAATGTGGAAGAAGACATTGGAGACGGCAATGCACTTACGAATAGCCCGCTGCTCATGCTCTTCTCGAAATTTTAGAAACTCGCCATAACCCATATTCGAAGAAACGGCCCTTGTACGAACTTCATCCCTGAGACCCATAGCAATGGATCGGAAAAACACCCCCGTGATATAGAAATTATGCTCATGGGGTTCGGGACAAGGAAGAAGCTCCTCGAGCATAATCTCACTTTCAGGTGAAGAAAGATATGCAGCAATAAGGCCAGTCTCGTCCACCCCCCATTCGTCGACGGTCATTCCCTGGCCTTTTGAAAGGAACCATATGAAAGAGTCGAGACGGTTCACCCACATTGAGTGGTGAATAGGGAGGGCGCCATCACGATTCCGACAGGCGATTCCCTTGGGGTTGTGCTTATACAAGTACTCAAGGAATTCCGGTCCATTGTGAACTGCAGCGTGCCATGGAGAATCGTCGCCGTCGTGGGTTTTCCAAAGCCGAATTCCTAGCTTGGTTAGCCATTCTGCGGTGGGGACAGTGACATACTTGCAAAGTAGAGCCTTCTCCCTAGAGAACAAGGCTGTGCGAAAGGGTACACTGTCATCGTGCAATACATCTCGGATGGTCATCATATGAGGCCCTACGAGGTTGAGGACCTTTTCGGCGAATTCTGGATCTTGTTGGTAGGCCAGCATGCCCAGTCCTGTACAGCTTGGCCTGCGACAGTCGGCTGAAGAAATGAGAGCGATAGCTGAGAGAACATAAGAGATTGAAAAATCGCGTTGCACGAAAAGATGTTCGAAGATGCGGTAGGAACTAGAGCGTACAGCAAGGGAGATAAATGTCAACCCGTCCTCGTTGCATCCGGCATAGGCCCGGGATAGACCGGGCATATGCTTGCAAAGTGATTCATAGCACTCGAGACAGTCGTCGGCAATTACCTCTGTGATCACATCACCTTCTCCATCGGGGTTGCGGGTGTTCGCGGAGTTCAGCAAGCGAACTTTAGCTTCGGAATGAGTTTGGTACCATCTGACACACCGATTGTCATTCCAGTCCTGAAGCTGTTGTCGGAAATATCTCAATACCGATTCGCGTCTCATGTAGGAACTTACCATTGCCTTCGTGTGTTTGTTTGCTAGGCGGAGTCTAAGGAGGCCATGGAAGCCTTTGTGTGTTAGTCTGGAAGTGTTTCCAATGAGTACTTCGTCGAAAAGATCATAGACGAGCTCAAGAGGCAGTTTATTTAAGTTACTTGGGAGCCATGTCGTGAACAGGGGATATGGTGAGGCTGATCGATATGACGATGAACAGCTGGAAGCAGGCGTGGCAGCATGGAAGCGATCATCAAATTCGGGCAACAAGCTGGATTCCTCGTGGTCGCTGCAGCTGGACTCCACCTCCATTGAGCTTGTAGGACTGACGCTGCGACCGTTGTCGGCTGAGTACAGATTGTAAATTCGTTCAATAACACTATAATTGACACTCTGAGGAGCAATGTTGTAATCCGGAGCAAGGTCCATGGGTTCGACGCCTTGGTTGTCAACGTCCATAACGTTGAGAAAATCGTCGTGGTGGTGGTAAAAGGTGAAGTTTGGGTTAGAATGCATACGAGCTATGGAAGATGCGTGAAAGGGAAGCTTTATGAGAGTATATGGGTGAGAGATGGGCGAGAGATAGGTGAGGGATAAGTGAGAGAAGATGGGTGATGTGCGAACCTCTGAGAGCTTCGATGGCAATCGAGTAGCTTTTAAAAGGTGGGTATCGAGCACGAGTCCCTCACTTGAACGAATGGTAAAAGAATGTCTCTTTCGCATTCATTTGAACAGCAACAATAATTCACTTGTGTATCTCATAATTTGCAAATCAAAGAGTTGATCAGTGACTTGAAACCGTTCATTGTCGAATACTTTGTCTTGAAAAATTCATTATCAGCTCAAAGGGCTTCGAAGGACCTCCTCGCTCGCTCTCCTTTGTTTCCCTAGCAAAGCCACAGCATGTTTCTCTTGATTTGAAACCAAGTCACACAGGGACATTGTTCACTATGAATCCTAGCCAACCAGGTATGTCGTAGTTTTATATGCATAGTGTCCTGTGCATCTGCCCAGGGCCGGGCGTTGGGAAAAAAATTGCATTGTCAAGACCGAGGTGCTATACTAGTTCCCTGTCGAGGATCCTTCTAAGTCGCACAGACGAAGACTGGCGATCTACGTCTACGATCGGGGCGCGATGAGACAGCAATTGACATGCGCTGGTTATGGAAAGGAAAAAGCGTCGGTAATGCGAGCCAGGAAAGAATCCAATTAAGGATATTTCAACTGTTTTTTTAATTGTTTAAAAAAATTGAAAAGCTCCGACAAAGCGTTTCCTCGAGTGCGTCCGAAAGCGAGTCGCCTGAATCGATAGAATGTTCACCCTAGCGGTTGACAGACGCAGGGAAGCGCAATAAGCCCCGTCATCCCTGTGCCGGCTCGCAGAGATGTCCAGATAAACCTAGGTGTACCTCCAACAGTTGGCCTTGCATACATCAAAACCAATTGCGCCGCACTCCGAGCCTCCGTTCATTTCATATTTATGAATGCATTTACAGAGACTTCTTCTTGTCGCCCTTGGAGACGTCGACGACCTTCAGAGCTGTTCGGCGGAAGAGATACGTTAGCGGAAGCTGAAACCAAGATAGTTGTGTGGTATGGTGATTCAATTGCACCGTCGGGAGCTCCAACGGTGACATTGGAGATGACACGAGGAATCGCGGGGAAAGGACATATTTTGTGGGGATGACGTACCGGGAGGCAGGGACTGCTTGAGCTTGTCGGCCTTGTCGGAGTCCTTGAGGACCAGGGTGTACAGGTTGCGGTGGCAGCGGACCTTGAACTTGATCTGCTGGGACTTGCGGTTGCGCTTGATGCGGGCAGCTAAAAGACATATTTCGTCAGCGGTTAGTCTCCCGAGACCTCCCCGTCCTCCTACACGGGTTCTCCGCCCGGAAAAATCGGGGATCACGTACAGGAGGCGTCCTTGCGGCGGCAGATCTCGATGAACTGCTTGATATCGGAGACTTCGGAAGGCATGATGGCGGTATTTGCGGTGATGTGGTGAAAGAAGCACTGACGACACCCGTAAGTCCAACTGTGTGGATAGCTTTAGGGTTTGGCCTCTGCGAAGCCCTGGCGGTCACGTGCTGTGGCGTCGTGGCTGACCGTCGCGGGAGTTGGCGGCGATGCCGTTGCGCGCTCAGGCGGCTCGTGAATCGTTGCGCCGAAGAAACTGAAGGGGTGGTTGAGATTGATAGGTGCTTGCTGCGAGGGGGTAGTTGGGCAGGTTGGCGTACGGAGCATTAGGCACAGGCTGCATCGACACCGGGCTCGTGATATACGACGACGCCCACCGGCGGTCGTTGTATTCCGGGCAGCGGCGATTTCCCAGGACGGTGTCTTGTCGCGAGTATGCTACCCGTGATGGATTGGCAATCAGTCGGGATTGTGTCGGGTGCAAGCTCTTCTAGTTCTCGGCTATGGATCGAAGGCGTCTTGTTTGAGATCTTCACGCGAATGCGATAGTGCTTCCAAAAGGTGACCCTGGACGTATCAGTGGCATGGCCCAGAAGCATTACAATGCGAAACTGTATCAGACTTACCCCTGGATGATCGCGCTGCCCACTGCGATCACAAATGTCACGGAGGTGAGGAAGAGGACGGCGTCCATCATCCTGAGTGTCGAAGCCATGGACCCATGTAGGCAGAACTCGAATCACATGAATATAGAATGCTGTAACGATCGTAGAGGACTCAGAGATGTGTCTCGAGCCCGAAACCAGAGACTCGAGGTGTGGAGAAGTTAAACGAAGGAATTCCACGACGACTTCACAAGTGTTGGAGTTCATCTTCTCTCCAGAATTTCCGGCAAGGGCGACGGTTGCATAGATCGGATCGACAGGCAGCCGCGGATGTGGCGTGGAGGTGGCGGTGCCGACTATGCCGGAGTGTCGAAGTGTCCGAAGCTGCCTGCTTCCCGCATCGTCTGACGACTATCTGGCAAATACTCACCTATCGTTACTGCTTGGTTACCTCAAACATTATTTGAGACTTGCTGGTTGTTGCATAGTCTTATGTCGCAGAGATGCCTACGCAGCTGGATCGAGCTCTGAATTCCAAGGTACGTGACCCACCCAGTCAACGACTACAGTCTACCCAAGAGCTAACAGTGTCTAGAATCTCTTACTGGGTACTGAATTTCACAAACTAGCCAACACAAGCGTGTAGATTGATGGCAGCAAATATCTAACACATCCAACGCCAGGCTTCGCAGGTATGGTGACCGCGGTTGCTGCCTGGTCTATTTGGGGAACCGATGTCTTTCCCGCCGAAGAAGACCCAACTGGCAGTAAGTTATTATCCGAATTCAAGTACTCTCTTTACAAGAAAAGGAGATGTGTGATCGAATGCATTCTGATGACAAAAGATCCCGAAAACTGGACTGAGGATGAACTGCGGCGATGGCTGCGCGCGGTATGTTTTCTGTCCTTTCGCTTGATCATCCAGGGAACCGTGGGCACGAACGTAGGCACGGTCAAATGGGAAAAACACAGACTAACAAAAGGTCTATCATAGAGGGCATTGTTGCCTAGTGAAAATGCGACGCGCGAGGACTTGCTGGAAAGGGTCAAAGCGAACATGCGGATTCCGCGCACTTCTCAGTCAGCAGCGACGAAGTGATTGTGGACTGCCAGGTTTTTGCCAGGTTGTTGCCGAGATTTTTTCCGATTTGCCCATGTTGTGCATTATTCATCGAAGATTTCTTCAACGGGGGTTTCCTCATCTCATGTTCGAAATCGTGATTGTTCCGTGTCTAAATTTCCGTATTTGTAGTGGGACATGTCGTAGTGCAATGCAAAGTTGTAGATGGACTTCAGACAACCAAGCGGAAGTTGTGGCTTTGGATGAGCCAGTCCTTGCGGTGCTTGCCCCGGTCCGACGCGGTGGGGTTCGGGATCATGACGAAACTCTCGCTGAACGCGCGCTGCGGAAGGTCGGGGCCATCGCCGTACGTGACAAATCCGCTGACAAGAACCAGAAGCGACATGTCCTTGATACCCATCTCGGAGGTGGGCTTGGTACCGCCATCGGCAGTCGGGGTGGGATACGCGCGGTTGATGATCTGGGCGTCATAAGACTGGACCTCGTACTTGGCGGTAGGCATCTGATTCACGAAAATTTCCTGGACTGCAGGACCGTCTGCGACTTGGTTGCCATTGAATAGGATCGTGGTGGGAGTCGCAGAGTAATAGGTTGCGATCGACTGGCGGTTGGATTGAAGTGCGACGTAGAAGGATTTGACCAAATCGGAGGCCGCTTGACGGACATGGCTCAGTTCCGTAAAAGAATAGATTTTATAAATTGGTCATTTATGCTTACCTTCCGTTGACACTTTGGTCAAGGTGTCGTCCATCACGAGGTCGTTGGTCATCGCGACGGGTCGTTGACAGGGTTAGTGGAAGTCGGTTGTTGTACTGGTATTTGGTAGGTCGGCAAAGGTGAAGGAGTGAAAATGTAAAACGGTCGCAAGAAGGACGTTGGAGATTTGTTGAAGTTGGGTAGAGTTGCAAAAGAATGAAAAAAAGCAGAGGTCCCGCGGGGACAAAAAGAAAATGACGGAGCGGCCGCGGGAGCTTGGACCATCCGGCGATCGCGATGCCGGAGAACATGCGACTTCCTTTCTTTCCTCCACAACCACCACAATGGCCTCCAGAACACCCCTGCGGTCTTTCTCGAGAGCCGCCCAGCTATTGGGCGACCGGATACCGTGGACATGCTCGTCTTGCAGGACTGCAAGCTTCCGGCCTCTACCTCTCCGGCGCGGAGTCGCGACAGCGACGAGTACGTTCAAGAAGCCGTACTATGTCACAACACCAATCTTCTACGTCAATGCCGGTAAGCAATATCCGACAATCCCAACCGCAAACCTCAAGCCTTACGTTGCCTTCTGATAGCGCCGCATGTTGGTCATTTGTATACCATGGTCATCGCCGACATCCTGAAACGCTGGCAGGTCCTCCTTGGTGACAGCGACGCCCAATTATTGACCGGCACTGACGAACACGGAATGAAGGTATGAAGGAAGGATCATATACGAGAGGTCTCGACGGCTAACAGGCGGCGTCAGATTCAACAAGCAGCCCTCGAGGCTGGAATGGACACCCAGGCCTTTTGCGACATGAATTGCCGAACCTTCGAGGTGCGCAACCCCCCGACCGGACTCTTCAGTCTCAGTCTGGAATAAATACTGATTTTCTTTGAGTTGTAAAGGCTTTGGCAAAGGCTGCCAACCTCGACCATGATCATTTCATTCGAACAACCGACCCGGAACACCGCCAGGCCGTTCAATATTTTTGGGTGAGTAGCACGATCCAACTACTTTGTGATATTGCGACAGATCTGACGAGCGACAGGAAATGCTGGAACATCGGGGATATATCTACACCTCCAAGCACGAGGGGTGGTATTCGGTCAGCGACGAGACATTCTACCCGCAAACGCAGGTGCAAAACTCCCTGGATCCGTCAACAGGTAGAAAACGTATGGTAAGTGGTGATATGATGCATGGTGTCGGGTATAACCAGTTGCTCACTTTGACAGGTCTCGATTGAAACTGGAAAAGAGGTTGAATGGTCCTCTGAAACCAACTACCACTTCCGTCTTTCAGCATTCCAGGACCGCCTGCTCGAACTATACAAGAGACCGGATTCCTTCATCACCCCTTCAACATATGCAAACGCCGTCATCCAGTCGGTTTCTTCCGGGTTGCAAGACTTATCAGTATCTCGACCGGCGGAACGCCTGACCTGGGGCATTCCGGTTCCCGGCGACGATACGCAGACCATCTATGTGTGGTTGGATGCGCTCGTCAATTATCTGACTCGAGCAGGATACCCTTTCCCCCCGGGCAAGAGAAGACCTCTATCTGGCCTGCAAACGTTCACGTTGTCGGAAAGGATATCGTTCGGTAGGTGCACGCTTTGACCTAACAGATCCCTGCCTGCAGCTAATCACCAATTAGGTTTCACTGCGTCTATTGGCCTGCATTCTTGATGGCTCTGGACCTTCCTTTGCCCCGGAACGTCCTCGTGCACGGGCACTGGACAATGAATCGCGAGAAAATGTCGAAATCTACGGGCAATGTGGTGAACCCGTTCTTCGCGATCGACCGATTCGGCGTCGATGGCATGCGCTTCTTCCTGGCCTACCAGGGCGGTCTCGCGGACGACGCCGACTATGACAATTCCTTCATCACTCGTGATTACAAGAAATGGCTGCAAGGGGGCATCGGCAACCTCGCCAGCCGCACCATTGGGTGTGCCCGGGGCAAGCTGGGCTCGTATATTCAAGACGCCACATCGAACAAGATGCCGGCCCCGACTCCAGCAGACGTAGACCACCAGATCATGCTGGTCACAACGCCCCCGAGGGTTGCCGAACAGATGACCGGGCTCAACCCGCGTGCCGCGTTGCAGGAAATTATGAGCATTATTGAGAAGGTATGGAGCAACTGCCCCCGCATCTTTTCCCCCATTTCCACTTTCCAGTCCCGTCGGAACGAAGTAGTAACCCTTGATTTTTTTGCCCCGATCAGACCAACAAGTACTTCCACGCGGCGGAGCCGTGGAAAACACCGGACCCCCGATGGACCCTCTACAACGTGGCGGAATCGCTTCGCATCGCAGGCATCCTCCTCCAACCGTTCATGCCGGGCAAGGCGCAGGAACTGCTTGAGCTTCTTCGCGTAGATACCTCGAACCCGTCGAGGCGGTCCTATGCGGCGGCGGTCTACGGCTCGGACCCGGACTACGGTCAAGATGTCCAGAAAGGCTATCTTTTCCTCCCCCTCCTCACTGAGGACTAGAAAAATTCGGAGACCTCACTGGGAGCTTTCGATTTGATAAGAAGAACCTATCGGAGGCCAATCACGCGTGGCGGGAGGCCCCGTCTGAATAAAGATTTGCATGGTCTCCGCCTAGGCGCAACAACTCCATTGAGAAGATTTCCCGGGTCCTCCCCACGTTCCAGGTTGAACACGCCGGTCATGCTGCCCGTATGTCATCACTGATGGGTCCGTGATTGGGGCCGCCCGCAAGGTTATCGGCGGGAAAGAATGGGCCAGAACCGTGGATGTGTCCTCTAGTTCTGGCGCCGGACGGGAAACTCCCCCGTTTCCCGTCGGAAAACCACGCTGGGGATCTAGGGCTGGCTTTTGTATATCAAAACATGTCGCATTATTTGTATACTACAGGGTCGTCTATGCTGAACCACTTTTAGTACATGAACCGTTATCTCTCGCCTCGCGCTATTCTCTCTTCCTATCGTTTTTTCTTTTCTTTGGGCCCTGCTATACTTCCCCGGACAGCTCGTGTAACGACTCCTATCGCATCCAAAACATTTGTCCTATTTTAGGACGCCTGTCATTATATTTGACACTGTGGGATTGCCCCTCCTCTCGATCGAAATCCGATAAACGAGTTTTCTCGCATCCCCCAATTTTCAACACCATGGGGAGCATCATGCCTTCCGCCGACGACTACAAGCCGACCTTCAAGACGCCCTGGATTGAGACTCCCCTCGTCGAGTCCGCTGCCCTTTCGCGGGCGGCTGGCTGCCGGATTTTCCTGAAGTTGGAGAATGTCCAGCCCAGTGGCTCCTTCAAGTCTCGTGCTATGGGCAACCAGATCCTTTCTCATCTCCGCAAACCCGAATACTTCAACCGCCGTGTTCACTTCTACGCCTCATCCGGTGGAAATGCCGGACTGGCAGCTGTCTGTGCTGCCCGCAGCCTGGGTTACCCCTGCACCGTCGTGGTACCTCTATCTACCAAGCCCTTGATGGTTGAGAAATTGAAGGCCGCCGGCGCTGCGGATGTGATCCGTCACGGTGACAACTTCTTCGAAGCCGGCTCTTATATGAAGGAAGTTATTATGAAGCAACGCTCGGAGGAAGACAAGGAAGTGGCCAACATTGCCCTTCACCCATTCGACAACGAGCCTATCTGGGAGGGAAACAGCACGATCGTCGATGAGCTGGAGAAGCAGCTTCCCGCTGCTGCCAATACCGAGGAGGAGGAAGTTTACCGCGGGCGGGCACTTCCCTTGGACGCCATTCTGTGCAGTGTCGGCGGCGGCGGCCTTCTGAACGGCCTGGTCATGGGCCTTGAGAAGCGTCGGTCCCAGAAGGCAAACGGCCAGTCCGCCACTGGTCACTGCTACATGGACGTCTCTAACTCTGACTCCCACCACCACACTGCCACCACCAACCCCAGCCCTGTCCACCTCCTAGCCATCGAAACAGACGGAACCGACTCTCTCGCTGCTGCCATCGCGAAGAAGTCCCTCGTCTCCCTCCCCAAGATCACCTCCCAAGCCACTTCCCTCGGCGCCATCCGCGTCTCGGAAACCACCTTCCAATACGCCGTCTCGCCCCCTCCCGGCATCAAGGTGCATAGCACCGTCCTCTCAGACGCCGAAGCCGCCCGAGGTGTCCTCCGTCTCGCTGACGATGAGCGTCTCCTCGTCGAGCTCGCCTGCGGTGTCTGCGTCGAGGCGGCCATCGGCGACGCTGCGACTGCCACTACCGCCGCCACCGCTGTTTCGGCGAGCCCCGTGGCTGGAGGCCAAAGCTCCAAGAAGCGGAAGAGGGACTCTGCTGATGCTGTTCCTCAGCGGGACGAGGGCTACGGGGATGACCGGTCCTCGTCGACAGATAACGAGACTGACCTCGAGGCGGAGGCGGACGTCGGCGACGTCAACGTCACCTCGACGCAGACCCCCGAGTTCAGCTCCAAGTTGAAGCAACTCGTGCCGGACCTGAATGAGCAAAGCCGTGTTGTCATCATCGTCTGCGGTGGAAGTAATGTCACCATCGATATGGCGAGTGAATACCGTCGTATGTTGGCTGAGGGTTGGGTCTAATTATAATGAATGTTTATAAAGATTTCTTTTTTTCGGCTTTGCTTTGCCTCGCGTTTGATATATACCTCCTATAGTCCCTTTTCTCTTTTTACTTCATGGCTTTGGCACTTCATGGCTCTATTGTTACCTTTTCATTTCTATTGCATACAGGCCAGCACGTGTTTAGAAAAAAGAAGATTCATTTAATCAAATCTTGAATATCAACCACTAGCTAAGATCTCAAACGGCAATCTGCTGAATCCGGTAATCCCAATAATTCTTCCGAATAGGATCATACTTCTCCCCGAGGAGAGTCAACATCTCCACAGCGCGAGCCCCCTTCTCCCCATCCTGCGAATAAACATCCGCCAACCACTCAATGGCATGACTACTCTTCACCTCATCCGGCGAAACAACAAACTTCCCGGCAAACTCCTCCCACTCTCGAAGATCTCGTCCAGCAGCCCTGAACACCCCCGCGCATACCACCACGGACTCCGATTCTCCGGCGCCCTGATGATATGCATCTGAGCATACTTCAACTCACCATCAACAAGGTCCTCATCGATAACGGGCAAAACGCCCGTCTCACCCGTCGAAAATGCCGCATTGCCCGCATTTGCCATGCCCGCGTCGGGCGCGTCCTGGCGCGGTCCAAACTTCAGCATGTACCGGTGATTCCAGGCGGAGTTGTTGCGGACGTCTAATTTGATGAGGGAGTTGATGTCTTCGACTTCGCGGGGCGTATCCCACAACGCGAAGTGTCGGACAAGCCAATGCCGGTATGTCCAGACGTGGTAGTTCTTTGAGTCTTCGGCGAGCATTTCCATGAGGAAGTCTAGTTCTTTAGGGGGAGGGTGGGGAAGTGTGCACTTGAAGCCATGAGGACTTGGCGGTGGTGCCTGTGGGAATTAGTGGGCTGGCTCGTATTTGCAGGATACCTGGGATACAGACCAGATTTGGTAATTTTTGAGGTATTTTAGTGAGACGCCGTTTAGCCACTCCAGTTCTTCGAAGAGGTCTTTGTCCAGCGCGAAGAGGATCTTTGCGCGGTAGATCCTGGCGTATGTTAGGATTTGGCTCTCATTGCGAGGGATAATTGCTGCCCGGATAGTAGATATACATACCATACAGTGTAGTGTGCGGGATTCATGGAGATCACGTCCTTGGTCAACTTCAAGGCCCGCTCCGACATCTCATTCGCGGCCATCACGGCCCGCAAATACGACGTCGCCTCGAGGTAGTCGGAGGGATAGGCAATCGTTGCCAGCGGCATCGCACCGGATTCGGACCCATCATCCAGCGGGATTGGGGTGATGGATGCCCACTCCGGGTCATTGGCGTATTTTCCTGAATCCATCTTGGAGATCTTTTCAAGGTGCCGGGTATCAAATCTGCGGGGCAGCCCTGGACGGACACGCGGGAGTCGACGCTGATTAGCACTTTATGTTGGTGCTGGCACGTGTAGATTGCAGGATGCGTAAAGGCGTTAAATCAATTTCTGCAAATTATCTTGTTAGTCGAGGGGGACTGGGTTCGAGAAAGAGGGTGGCGGCTACCGTGGAGGTGGGGCGGCGTCGCGTTGTGGCCTGAGGCAGAAACAGAGGAACGAAGGAACAATGTTAACAAAAGCATTCATCTTTTAGCTTATCCGGACATTTGATTCGTTCCAACAAATTACAAGGCAATTGAAAATGTTAGAATGCTTCTAGGGTTGATTCGATATCCCATGAATTGGTTCCTGAGCTTCCTGACGCAAAAATATCATATATTGGCGTTTTCTACGAAGCACGAAGGTTCGGCCAAGAAGAATCAAAGGCAAGTAGACACGCTAAATTATATTCATGTTCATCAAAACAGAAAACAACCGGAAACAGGTGATCAATCATAGTACTAAGTAGCTAGCTCACAGGTGCTGTGCGTATTGCAAGTCCATTGCCGATGCACAAGGTTGTGTCTGAGTAACCTTGGTAGGGCTACGATACCCCATCACATTTGGAATTATATTACATTAGCAATGGTTTCCGAATACCCGTCAAGGTATCGCGGTTCCAGTAGAGAGGCGAAATGGACCTACAGAGTTCTGAATATAACGTACATGCATCTGATATGCGAGGAACTTTCTATTAGATGTATGTATAATAGTGAATTGATTTTTAATTTTCTGCCGGCAGAAGAAGGAGGGGGGATTGGAATGTAAAAACAGCCCTTTTACAAGGTCAATACAGAAATCTGACCCCCATTCATCCTCTATATATATCGAAGAAAAGTCCCTTCCATGCAGGCAAAAAGAATTTGAAACATCAAAATCGCCTTAAGTTCTCAAGGCTATACCCCACGGTGCCTACTGTTATGCTCTGAAGATGGCCAGTTTCAGTACATTGTCTGCTCATCCTAGGTGGGACTCCACGTGTCACATTGAGATCGTCAGTAAGTGACATGTGTTGCTGCTTAATCTTCCTGCAATTTTCTTCCTTTTAATACTTTTGAGATCTCATATAGCATCTAACGTTTTGACAGGTGCCTTGATAAGTCTATACACTTGTGGTGTAGCGTTATCTGTGAATCAAAACAATTCGGCCCTTGGAATCCACACCAATCCGCTCTTTGAATGCATTCCATTTGTACCATGGAGAGGTATAAGTTCCACATATGATCAGGCCAGTGTCCACATTCATATCTTCAAAAGTCATTTTGGAAATGACTGCATCTCTTGGAGCAACTCATGAGCCGGCATGACTGGCGAATTCTTGCCAAAGAAGTCGATTTAGCGAAATCTTCAAGTGGTACAATTGCTAATCAAGACTTTCCATGAGCATTCAGTATCTAGGTGGCGAACAGTGCTGCTCATTCCACTGTGTTGATACGAATTCAAGCGTCAACAACTGTAACGCTTGCAGGAAAGCCGTGCGTCGTCTCGTGTTATTAAAAAGGTGAAATAACTCACCCTCAAAATTCGCAGTGCACAGCAGGCTTCATCTGCTGCAGTGGATCTTGCATCAATATTAATAGTGATTTAAACAACTGTGGCAGATGCGTGCATAATGTGAGCTCAGTCAGATCTTTATGCTGATGTGAAAACCATCATTGATGAAAGCGTCCTGCTAGTGCCCAGCAGGAGCATCCTGTCAGAACGGAACCTGTCTATGTGCAAGCTTTTGCGCGTAGTCTAAATTTTGGGGTCGAAAATGGTCCGTTTGCTGTCGCGGTGGGCGACTTTAACGAGGATGGCAATCTCGATGCGGTGAGAACAAATTATGCCGACAATACGGTCAGCCTCTTATTAGGGACTGGACTAGGAAGCTTCCACGTAAAGACCACATTTAGCGTTGGCGTAGTTCCATTTGGGGTGGCAGAGGGCGACTTGAACAGAGATGGCCACAGCGGCGATAACTCGGTCAGCGTTTTTCTGGGAACTGGATCAGGGAAACTCCAATCACAGATTACATTCAGCGTGGGCTCAATTCCGTATGAGATTGCGTTGGGTGACTTCAACAAAGACGGCCACATTGATATTGTGACTGCGAAACAAGACATGCAGGCCAGCAGTAATGACACAGTGAGTGTCCCGCTCGGACCGGGATCAGGGGGCTTTCAGACTCAGGCCGTATTCGGGGTCAGGGAAACACCAATTTCTGTTGCAGTGGGAGTCTTCGATAAAGACGGCAATCCTTATATTGTGGCCACAAATGCCGTAAGCAATACCGTCAGCGTTTTGCTCGGGAATGGAGCGTGGGACTTCCAAACGCAGGTCACGTTCGACGTGGGAATGTCGCCAGTAGACGTTATAGCTGACAACTTCAATGGAGATGATTATCTGGATAATTTGGTTGGCAATGTTGGTGAGAATACCGTGGGCCACTTGCTCGGGAAGCCTTGTGATTCTTAAAGTATCCTGTGGTGGGTGGTTAGCTGGGGGTGATACCTTGCGACATGGGGGGAGGTCGAGTTAGCAATTCCTGTTTGAAACTCGAGAGGATCAACTTATCAAATTGAATGTTGAAGGAATTTTATGCGTTCTACCAGGAGCCACTGGCAGTATTCTGTTCACTGCTTGAGGTTCAAATGCTACTGCAAAGTCCCCGGAAATAGCACCGGGCACGTGCCGCGTACCGCCACCAAGGAATACGAGCAGGCTCACCCCAACATACTCAGCACATCATCTCGATGACCTGTCGCTAATACTTGATACCCACCACTACCTCAGGTGCCTTGAATACGGTCGCAGTTATATCTAGGTATACTCATCGCGTCTCGATGGTCAGGAAACCCACAACCAAATCCCTAGAGCCTCCTACACTCGGCCAAGATGCCGCGGAGCGCAAGCGTGTGCTGAATGTTTTAGCACAGAGACGTTACAGTATCGTGTCTTTCTTCTTTTTGTCTTCCATGCACTAATCGGGTTGCACAGGACGACGAAAGCGAGAGCGGATGCAAGCGCTCGAGGCTGGCGCAAAAGACCCTACAGTTACACAATTTCATTCAATGACGGTTGACGAGACTACTAAGAGTTCGGCAACTAATAATACACGAATCGTACCTGTCACTACCACTTGCGACCCTGAGTTGAATCTGACTTCCAGTTCGAACTTACTGGCTGATCCCGAACCAAATTCAACATTGTCTCTGCCCATTTTCGATCTGCCTAGTTCATCAACAGACAGCTCTGTGGAAGAGCCAACAGGCCTGGACATGGCCGAGCCATGGGCAGTCTCTGACGCTATCACAAATCGGCTTTGGTCATTTGAAGCCATGGACGCAGACCTAGAAACAGAACTACACAATTTGGGCGACCTGAATAAGCAGTTCGGGAATGGCTTCACAAGCTTCCAAGGCAGTGATACTTTCAACATCTCGGAAGAGCTTCAGGCTGACGACACGGCGTTCTTCACATTTCCCGACGATCATACTCTTGAAGTCCCGTCGCTCACTCTTCTCAACGCTGCTATGAGAGTCGCCCAGCAGCTGAACGTCTCTGATATTATCTGGGACATGACAGCAATAAGCCCTTTCTATCAAGGGCTACATCACAGTGACTCCGATTCGTCACTCTCGCCACCATCCCTGGATTCCGGTCTATCAACATCTAGACCATCGCCCACAAACTCCAGTTTACAGATGGACCCCAATGAGCTACCTTTGCATCTACAGCCAACGAGAACACAGCGTCTCATTGCCCACCATCCGCTGCTAGACCTTCTGCCCTGGCCCAGTACCCGCGATAAAATGATTCAAGTTTTCAATCTCCCCGTCCACATGCGACCGAGTAATGCACAGGACCCGATGGGACTTGTTCGGTTTGTCTATGACATGGAAGACGAAAGTGGAGAAGGGGTCTTGGTCACTGGGCAGAATCCGTTTGAGCCCGGAACATGGGAAATCGGTCAACTACTTTTTGAAAAGTGGTGGTGGGCATTCGATACGGCTGTTGTTGAAAGCAGCAACCGTTCTAGGAAGAATCGGGGAAAGGCGAAGCTAGTAATACGTGGATAGAATTTGTTCAGAGATGAAAGCTATTGGAGTACTTGTTTCTGAAGGACTGATCTTCTAGCCCACCATTGTTATGCATCTACAATTTGTTCCTCAAAGAGGATCTCCAGATTCAACAGCTTTTCCCGCGCGCAGAAGCGTCCAAATCGGGATTGAGACACTCCAAGCCCAGATACCTGTACGAAGATAGCTCGCAGCCTCCGATTTGACGCCCATGTATACGGCCATGTATAGAACTCGTGCGGCCAGGTAGTCGAAAGCCAAGTAATTGAGGTCTTTGGCGGGCAGCTTTGCCAGATTTCCTGCGAGCTATCGCATTGATTAGACGGGTATTGTGACAAAGTCACCTGGAAGAAAGGATTCGTACCATTGCCGCGGCAAACATTGGGATTCCCTCCATGGCATTCAAATGTGCTCCTCGGGCTCTGGCGAGCTTATCCCATACTTGGGTTGAGACTTTGCCTTTCAGATTAGCTAGGTTCTCTCGTGGTCTGGGCATTTGTTAATAGGCAGTACGTAAGGGTGTCTCCGTCTTGGCTCACAGGATGTTGCTTGATTGGTCCTTTGCGTTGGCCATCATCTTCACGAGATAGTAACTGTGGGGAGCAATGCCCAGGCCGTAGGCCGCGATGATGGAGTGGATTGAATAGTTGTTGCTGGACATGGTTGGAATAAAGTGTGGGACTCCACAGAGTGCTTATGATTTGTCTTGTGTTTGTTTTGAAGATATCTGGCAATGGATTCGGCCTGCTTATAAGCGAATAGGGCATAACGGTAAGGGCCAGGATCGGATAGGACTCTCGGGGGGGAGGGGGCTGCATGTCGATCTTATCTCACAAGAAAGTCACTCTGGCCCCTCGCCGCATGAAGACTTCGTTATTCGCAGGCAGTTTTGGTCGAAGGCGACGTATTGGTCATTTCGTTAGGGTGACTGCGTAGGGGGTCGGAGTAGTAGTGTGAGCATAACGTTATGTTCTTGGCAGGGATTGTTCCCCGAGATGTTATGCCCGTCTCGGCGACGGCCTGAAAGATTCTGAGGATTTCGCACCGTTCATAGTATTTCGCACATGCATCTTAAGACAATAAAAAGAAACAAAGTGTCTTTTTGGCTCTGCGCAAAGGGAAACAGCCTCGCGATGATTATTAGGCCGCTCAAACGCCATAGCACGTTTGATTCCTTTCCTGAAAAATACCGGCAACTCTGATCACGAATGGACGTACTTCGACAGAGTCTCAGTCATAACCGAGTGCAGGCATACTTTCCTTGAACTCGGTCGCGTTCAACAAATTTTCTCGGAAAGAGAATTTACCAATACCTCCGAATTGCAATGCAATCGATGCCGCTGGCTGCACACTGCTTCCGGTCTCATCGACACACACGCTCCTGTCTTTCGGGATCTTGATATGCCGAAAACAGCCCTTCAATATGGAGTCATCCCTGTGTTGGTCTTGCACAATGAGCCTGACTGGTTTAAGGAAGTCCATATGGTAGCACGTGAGCGAAATGAAGTTGCCGATGTCAAGTCTGCGTGTTTGGCGCTACTGTAAAGGACGAACGGCCATCTGCAATCGTTAGACTGATATCTCAAGGTTCCGATGTGCATTTTTCGAAAAGTCTTGAGAGGCAAGTCCCTGATGAGGTACAGATCGAGGATCGCATTTCGGAATGATCAAACCTAGTCGATAGATCATCGGTTAAGGCATTTGTTAAGAGAAATCAAGCAGCTGGTGCCAGATAAACTGAACAAGACGCACATTTGAATGCACGTCCTGCTAATCATTTTATCCTAGCTTCATCAAGCTCATGCAAGAGAACGGTCAGGCGATTGCTCTCTCTTTCCGGAAGTCCCAGTTCCAACGCCTTCATTAGAGCTTCAGAAATGCATCGTGGGCACGGCCCACAAGAAAAATATGATAACACTGGCCCATGCTACAAACAACCACTTCATGCTCAGTGTCCAGGAGGCGGGGTCCGATGGTCCGCACATGCTTCATTGGAGCCTGTCAACAAAAAACAACACTTTTCTAATTCCCACTCTGGCAATACTTGCATCTTTAACTGGCGAGGAGAAAGAAAGTCGCGAGAAAGTTCTTAGATAACCTTCAGCCCGATGAGAGGGACCACATGTGCGGGCGCCTCTATATCAAAAAGCAGGGTGTTTCTATCGAGGCAGCATACGAACAGGTGCATGCTTTGAAAGAAGCTGGCATCGAATTGTTTGGTAATATTTCTCATGGCACTTGGACTTTCGGTGCTGCTATTCTGACTTTTTTTTAGTGGAAGCGATACATAGACTCATATAAAGGGTACTCGGGCCGGTGCTTCGGTTCATGATGAGTTGTGAGATTATGTTAATTGGTGTGGCTTTACTCCTCCTGAGGCTCTGGTTTCGGCAATCTCAAAAATCGCAGTCCGATTTGGGTTCTCTGATCGTGGCAGGATCGAAGAGGGCGGACTAGCAGATCTTGTGCTGGTATCAAGGAATCCAATGGACTCTATTGATGCTCTCTCCGATATCAAGGGTGTTTGGAGAAACGGAGAGCGGCTTTTGGTAAAATTGAGAGATGGTTTGGTATTCACATACGAAGCTCAAGAGTCATCCAACACCATTTGCACCAGGGTTTGTATGTAGATTTAGGTGAATGTCTCTCCGCCATTCTTCAAATATTCAATCTCTTCCTTGGTCGACTCTCTTTCAACCGCTTGGTTGCGATGTGGATAGCGACCAAACCGCTCAATGATAACCTTGTGTCTCCTCTCAAAATCCAACATGTTATTCACATATGCTCGCACGGCATCCTTCTTTGCAAAGAGGATAGAGTAGCATTTTTGTTCGTCTTCACTGAGGGTTGCAACATCCTTCTGGAAGAGTTCTTCAACGTCCTTGGCAGTGTCCTCGTGAACTTTCATAGCCTGCTCGTGAATAGCAAGAGTTTCCGAGTGCATCAGAGGCAGATGGAACCAGAATCGATACGCAAGTCGATAACGCATGTATGATGACTGCGTGGGGACACTGGATTCAATGGCGCGTAGAGCGATCCCTTGCGCGAGCGGGTCAAAGCGGTTGAAGACGATCTTCGATGCGTCGCCCCGGTAGCAGTTTCGGGGTACCTGGTCTAATAGGATGACCAGGCTAAGCCATACCAAAGGTGAACTATGGTCAACTGCATCTAGAATATCTGATGCGGATGCATTGGAAGCAAGAATGGCCTCCAAGGCTGGTTGAAATTGGGAACTGGGAGGTGTGAGTTGGCTTGTCGAGGTTTATAGAGGAATCATGACTTACATGCAAGCTTCGTCAAATTCAGAGTCTCTTGTAAACCACTTCATCATTTCAGTTTGTCCCGGAAGGATCAACGCATCCTCGTTGCTGAAATGCGCGAACCAGAAGCTCCGGATATCATCGAGGAGCGCAGGGGTGATGGTCCGCTTTAGCGCCGCTGCTGTGTTTGCCATGGTCGACGTAGATGAATGAAAGAACCGCTGGATAAATGCAGGTCTGATTTTGTCATGCACCTGGGGTTGCCTGGAAGCTTGTCTCCGAGGAGATGTAGAGATAGACCCTGGTTGCAGCAATGATGATTTCTGTGACAGGCTCAATTGGCAAGTTTTCCTCGCGGGGAACTGCTCCTGTTAGCTCTTGTTTCAGAACTCAAGGACAATTCGCTGACGCTTACCCTGCTCGGTCGTAACAGGTGGGCCATAAGTTACTGAGTACTTTGAAGGACCAACTTGCGTCGTCGTCCGCCGAGTCCCGTCACGGGAGCCACACGTGATGTGAGGCCAAGACCGCGAGAAGACGACGCATTCCACTCGACTTGAACATTCATGATTCGGGTGAGTGAAATGTAGAAAACGGAGTAAACTTGCCTCGTCATTCTTTTAGTCGGAATGGCACCATTGTCGGCAAAGGCTAAGAATACCATTTGTGGTTGTGCAGTGAGTAAACATGTCAATTTTTACCTGATTTTCGCTCAATTTCTATCACTATCGAGTATATTGCCCTAGTTAAATCAGAGAATGATAGGATTACATAATTCGTCTCTAGATAAGACAGCAGATCAGCAGGAAATCCTGCTGGATGACAAGTCCATCCTGCAGCCTCGACCTGCGCGGCGGCTGAAAAAGGCAAAACTTTCCCGTTATCTCGCGACAAGCTTAGCGCCTCCCCGCATTTTACGCGGGCGGCCAACTTGAACGCTAACGCGGCCCATGTCGGATCTCTTCCTCATCAACCTGCGTGATGCGGCGAGTCAAGAAGTCACGCAACGGGTGTGCCCGGTGCAAGAGTAAGCGGGTGCGTGGTGGTCCTCGGATCGTGATCAAGATGTGACTCCCACTCAACGACCTGACCCTGCTAACCCCGGATCAACAGGTCAAATGTGGAGAGGAGAAGCCTCACTGCAACCGCTGCACCCGCCTGGGGGTCCGATGCCCCGGCTACGTTCAATCCTTGCGTTGGGTAACCAAGTATGATGAGCCCAGTCCTGGTGCTTCGTCCGATGGCAAGGCTGCAAGTCCTGCGACCTCGCAAGCTCAAGGCCCTGCGAAGTTGCCTTCTGGATTGTCAGAGGAGGTACTGTCTTTTGGAGATGCCAATGCGGGGCCTCCGCACAACCCTGATCCGTCCAGCTTTAGCCTTGATGGGCCCCTTGGTCTCTGTGACAACCTGTGGGATCTGCCCGGCAGTGGATCATTGCCTGAACTCACGGATCTATGTCCAACGTCTCCGATCACCTCATCCTCGGCTTTTACACAGGCTCAGGAAGCTGTTCATGACTTTGTGTCCTCAGGCGATACAACTGCAGACCTGTCGCACTTCCTATCGTTGATCGGTCCGGCTCATGGCGAAGAACAAGGCTGCAGCACCAGTATATACCGAGACTTCTCGCCATCGGCCATCGTACGCAGCTATCCGCCTGCTCCCCAACAGTCAAGCTCTCGAGACTTCATGTCTATCTCTCGTCTACTGAATAATCCGTCATGGACGTTGATCGAATATTATTTCAAGGAGGTGGCAGCACTATTCTCCAGCTACGACAGCCAGATGAATCCATTCCGCACCACAGTCTCTCGACTCTGGGGCTCGTCGCTAGCCATGTGCCGCACTATGCAAAGTATGGCCGCTGCTACGCTCGTGAATGATTTCCCACAATTTGGGCCGATGGGCCGCAAGATGCGCGATGAGGCCGTCGACATCATCACCCGTGAAGCAGTCATGGACGATAAGGCGCTTCTCGCCTTGCTCATGCTCGGACAAACTGCAAGCTGGCATGACCCCAAAGATCTAGGCGTCTCTTTCTTCAACCTTCTCCGCAAACAAATCAACACCATAGGCTCCAATAGCCACGAATATCAAAATGACTTTATCAAAAGCAGCAGTAACAACTACCGCTTTTTCGAAGAAGCTCTCATCTATTGGGAAATGCTCCTTTCCTTCGTTGCTGATAACGATATGGTCTTCTCCGACGACTCGCGTGCTTCTTCAATGGGTGAATCTCTCGTTCTCCAACGAGTTCCACACCCATGGACTGGCATTGCCCGCGACACGCAGTTCACCGTCCACGAGGTAGGCCGACTCGTCCGACGTGAGCGCAAACGCATTCGAAGCCGGAGATTCACCTCACAGGAGGAAATCACCCGCGCTCAGGTGGCCATTGAGAAGGCCCGGGAACTTGAAGAGAGACTCCTTGGCCTCGCCCATCCGACTGAGGCAGAGATTGTCTCCCCGGGCGACGACGAAACACCCGTTTGGCACCTTCTCACCATGGCCGAAGTATACCGCTGCATCGGACTGATGCAACTATACCGAGTCTTCCCAGACCTCCTCCGCAACCGCCTCCCAACTCCCGGATCAGCAGCGACCCGAGACCCATTCTTCCCAATCGATCTAGACAGCATGAATATGTCAACGGATTTCTGCGACACACACCATAATCACAATCACACAAGCGGAAATCCCGGTCGAGCTCACAATACCCAAACCTCTCCCTCCACAACATCTAATACCTTCACCACCGCCCCGGCAGATCCAGAGCCCGACACGGACACGGACACCGAATCACTATACAATAACTGGCTTACCGAGTTCGCCATAACAACCCTCTCCCGACTCAAAACCATCCCCCTTGAATCCCGCACAAGATGTCTCCAACCTCTCCTCCTCGTCGCGGCAAGCAGCGAACTCCGCCTCCCACACCCATCCGCCCACACTGAACAACCCTCCCATCAAAATAATCAGAATCCAAACCTCAACCCCGAATATCCGACCAATTCAAACGGCCCCGAGGACCAGGATGAAACACCCAGTATTTCGATGGACGCCATCGAAGTCTCTCGCACAAGAAGATTCATCCTGGGCCGTCTCACCTCCTTCATGCATGTCCTTCCGCCGAAACCGATTAATGTCTGTCTGAAATTGGTGAAGGAGGTTTGGAAGCGGATGGATGCCGGGGAGACGGATGCGTACTGGATTGATATTATGATTGAGAAGGGGTGGGAGACTACGATGGGTTGATTTTGTACCCGTCTTACATGTAGTACAAGTAAATATGAGCTTTCAACAGATACGGGAGGACACGTTCCACCCTGCTCGGGTACCAAAGCAAGTCCAGTTACGATGAATGAGCTACGAATTTGCAATAGATTGGAACATACACAGCATAGTCTGCTTTCTCTTAAGACTTAACCTAGAGTACGTACTATTACTGCATTCACAAGTCATCTCAAGTGGAATTGTATTAAGTATCGCGCACAGCCCACCCCAAAATGGACAGACACCAGCGCCAGACATGCACATGCCAGACCCGAAAGGTTTTTGTTATAAATAGTAGTAGTAGTAGTAGTAGTAGTAGTAGTAGTAGAGAACAACAAAGTCCGAAGAAACAAAAAAGCAAGACGTCAACGAATCATTGACATGACTTCGAGAGGTTCGGAAAAAGGGGTGTATAATGCAATAGAGGGTAATGTGTACACAGAATGGGACAGAATGGAAAGTTAGTACCAAGCAACCTTCAACGAAGGTCGTGAGGCCTGAAAAATCTCATATAAGAGGGAAGGATGGGAGACAAAGAGGCAGAACTGGGACGCTCATTGCGTAGCGCGTTTCCAGAACTTCCAGCCCTCTCTTTTCTCGTGGGTGCCAACACCAACGAGTCTCTCGATGCCCTCGGGGCCGTCTGCGTTCTCAAATTTCTGCTGGTCGATCTCCTCGCCGCCCTCTTCGTCCGAGCCGTTACGCAGGACGGCTGGGTACAGTACACCGACGCCGTCTCCGCCTAGAGTGGACTCGTACTTGGTGAAACCTTCCTCGGCCAGCTTGGATTCCAACTCGCGTACCACCTCGGGCTTCGCGTCTGGACGGAGCAAGGTAATCGCACAGCCACCACCGCCGGCTCCCGTCAACTTTGTCCAGCCAATGTCGGCGTAGTCGACCAATTCGCGGATCCGCTCGAGACGCGGGTGCGAGACACCCAGCGAGACGAGGAAGCCATGGTTGATGCGGATGAGGGTACCGAAATGTTCGATCGTGCTCTGGGGGTTGCTGTCCAAATTGGGGGACTCGATGAGACTGTGCGCAGAGCAGGTGACCTGGTCAATGGCGTCGAGAATGGATTCAGTCACGATAGGGTGCGCTTTCTTCAGCTCGCCGACCTTGGCGACCTCAGTCGAGGTTGAGCGGGACTGGCGCGTATCCACGAGGAGGAGGGGCAGTTCGGGGAAATCGGGGAGGAAGGTGACGTCCGGGGGTTTGAGGTAATCTGAACGTTTGAAGATTACGGCTTTGCCGCCTGCGGCTACTGTGTTGTCGACACCACTGGGGTTGCCATGAATGCAAAGCTCGCCAACAAAGGCCCAACGATTGATCCGCTCAATTTGAGTTTCTGCTTCCTCGGGCGGTTGATCAGGATGGGGGCCAGCGAGCGTGCGAATCTGGAGGAGGAGTGCGGAGCTGAGGCAAACGCAGACGCTGGCGGAGCTGCCGAGGCCTGCGCCAGTGGGGATGTTGGAACGGAGGGTATAGATTGCGCCGGGGCTTTGCTTGGAGCCGAGAGAGAGGAAGAGGTAGAGGAAGGCGGAGGCGGAGCGGACGTGGTTCTTGCGCTGTTCGTCAGGGACGCCCTTGGAGACGCCCTCCAGGTGAGGTTCGATGGCCGCGACGAGTTCGGGGTCCAATGCCGTGACGAGGTCGTAGTAGAACTTCTTCTTGGACGGTTGCTGGAAGATGTCCCACGGCAACTCGTCAATGTTCCAGGTATGAGCGAGGCCCAGGTCGCGGAAGTTCAATGTGATGGTGCGGTGAGACTTGGAAAGAGTTGTGACGAGAAGATAGGAGCGGAGCGAGATGGCGGCGGCCAGGGCAGCCCTGCCGTGCACGACGGCGTGTTCCCCATACACAATGACCTTGCCCGGTGCGGAGACCATAAAGGCCGGGGCCATGGGCGACGAGGCCTTGCGAGACATATTGGGCCGGCGCGGCTTTGTGCCGTTGGTGGTGGTCGAGCTGGTGGACGAGGAGGCGCTGTCGGAGTCGAGGTGGTCGCCGTGGCCGTTCATGGCGGACAGGGAGCGATCGGGCAAACTGGTGTGCAGCGTGTCGTCGAAGTGTGCTACTGGGCGACGAGCAGTCGAGGGACCTCTGACGCTGCCGTTCAATTGACGGGCGCTGGCAGCGGACATGGCCAGAAAGGAAATGGGGAGGAGGAAAGGGGGCGGCGGGGGCGCAGTGATTTAACGGCAAGGGGGCGGCGGGCAGGTGGACGAGGACATGGGCATTGCGCGCACTCTGCAGCCAACTCGTAGAGAACAGCCACAGCAATTACTCCGGGCTGTTGTTTGCTTTGGGCAACGTCGCAGGATGGAATAGTAATCAGTGCTCCCAGCTACGGGGTATCCCACGGCACGCGAGGACCCAATCCGGAGGGGTACATTGCGCATTGGTCAGCGGGGCGGCGGATTGGTTTAGCGGAGGCAAATGTCATTTCTTTTTTTTGGTTTAGTTTACGTTGCTAATGAGAACTCGGCAGTTTGGTACCCTAGAGGCGCTGGCTTTGTGGGGGTCCAACCGCTGTTACGCTGTTTCATTGATTGGGAAGGTAGTTAGGGCAATCCTAGGCGACCAAATATCCTATAGTACACTCACGTACATGTATACACCTGCATAAGTTCTGTAACAAAGACATTAATGTGGCTTGTACTTAAACACTAAGAATAGGATATACTTACCACTAGCCCCTAGGCATACATAATAAGTAGCTTGTTCCTGCCTCGACCCGCTGATCCCCGGTGGCGTAGACCTGCAGCTTGCCTTCCAATCGTTCTTCATCGCGTCTAGCCGATCCGAGGTGACACCCAGTTGGTATTACTATAATTGTATATGCCCTAGGATACCTGTACATGAACTAGCTACCCTAGGGTAGTGTACTAACAGGCACTACATACTGCAGTGGAAATAAAAACCAGACAAAAATTGTATTTACTCCATAACAATGATATGACAATGATATGACAATGATATGACAATGATATGACAATCCACACGCTATGTATCAAAATGTTACAGGTTCATCGTTACGGTCATGCTGTTGCTGTGCACAAGCAGGCACGGCGGGAGTCCCTGCCACAGCACTGCCAGGTCACTCAGGTACGAGGCGGAGTCCTCCTCGCTCTTCGAAGTCCCCTCGACCGGCGACGGCAGCGTCGTGAAAATCACGGCTGTGTCACTGCTTTGCTGCACCATTAGCTCGTTAAGAATCAGATGCTGGGCCCGGCTAGGAAGATCGTTGAAGGACAACGGTACGGAAGCGGGGCCCGGGAAGCCCGATGCCGTCTGGCTACTTTGCGCACTGGGAGAGGTCGGCGAAGGCGCGGAGGGATGACGCGCATAGATGGAGTCCACCGGCAGCTTGTTCTGGAATCGCGGCGGGGAGGCGTTGGCGGCAAACATGATACTAGGGCCAGCGCCCTCGTCTGTGTTGACCCGGGCTTCGGGGATAGGTGACGAGCTGAACCGATTACTAGAGGCATTTCGGCTGATGGGTGGACGCGCCGTGGGCTGGCTTTTCGGCGAGGCGTCGTCTCCGGTTTCGATGATCAAAGGAACCGTTTGGCTGGCGGAAGATTCATGGCGGGGCGACGACCTGGACTGGACAGGTCGGTGGGGAGACGGGCTCAGGCTGGGGCAGCGGTCGTCGCTCTTGGACCGGCCTCTTGGCCGCAGCGGGCCGGAATTCTCGTTGTCGTTGCGGCTGCTGGCCGTCTCGGTGGGCGCAAGGCTTCTTTGCTCATCCTCATCGATGTCAGGGTCATCGGCATAATGATCAAGATCGCTGTCATCGCTACTCTCACTCGACGAGTTGTCGCCGTCGTAGTCGACAAAGGCATCGAGCAAACGGTGGGTCTGCATGCCTAGACTAACGCTGCCCAGAGCCCGGAAACTGGAGACGGATCGTCGGCGCTTCGAAATCAACCTCCGCAATCCAGTGACACGCTGGTGCAAGGGTCTGTTCCCACTGTCTTGGCTGGTCGGGCCTTGCCACGTCGACACGCGGTCGAGGTGCAGATCGTCACCTGCGGTCTCTTGCTCCTGCATGTGCTGGAAGCGGTTGCGAGCTTTTGTGACTCCCTGCCACCAATCCTCCTTTTTGAGGACGATGTGGACATTCTCCTGGGCATCGGCCATTTCGGGCGAGGTGTCACCATTGACAATGACACGATAGGCCTTGAGATTCCCGCAGGCAAGCCAGAAGACGTGAACCTCGGCCTGAATGCGTAATTTTTCGAGAAGAGCTTCCACTCGTCCACGCTCATCTGCAATGTCGGTTTCGTACTCAACAAACACAGCAACTCGCAATCGATATGTCTTCTTCCACGAGGGCACCGTGTTCAGAATACAACCCAGTTGAAGAATCAGGGTGTAGGTGTCAAAGTTCGTAGTCAGAACATTCTTCTTGCTCTCGATGTCCGCACCAAGCTCTGCAGACATCTGAATTGGCCACAGGTCAATGTACTTCTTGGTGTGACGTCCATGTGGATCAGGTAATTCCAGATGCTCGAAGCCCTTAGCGACGGCAACATTGATGCGGAGTTTGAAAAGCAGATCCTCCAGGATGGTAACGTAGCTTTTGCAGTCCATGCCTTTATCGGGCAATTCGGCGTCCGAGCTGTCAAACCGAGATCCCAGGACGGATGATCTTCGCCGGGATTTTGAAGACTCCCTGCGGTTGCTGCTAAGAGACAAACTTTCGACTAATGATTGATCTTCCCTATACTGATCAATAACGACGATGTTTGGCCTCATACCTCCCAGTCCGGAGTTGAGCACGATGTTCCGCATGCCCCATTCAACGGCGGGAGAGATAGCGATGTTGACGAATGCTTTGATTTTGGAGTACTCGACGTACTTGGTCCATGCCGTTTGTTGGCGACGAGCCTCTGGTACAGCTGCGGAGAAGTCATCGGTAACCAAGACATGGCCCAGGACAAACAAAGCTCCTTTCTTCAGGGAGTTGCAGAAAGAGACCATTTTGTATTGTCGGTCCAGATCGCTGACGAAAAGCAAGATCTGAGGGCGCCAGAATTTCACGTGCTCCTGCCGTAAACGAAGCAGATACTTGCGCACTTGGTGGTAAATCAGACTCTGACTGACATCACCCCAGGACTTGGGCGGCGAGGTATAATGGATCAAGAGGAAGAGGATGACGAGAATACCCACACATCCACCGGCATATAAACCATCCACAAAAAACATGCTGACTCCGCTCACAACTGTCCCTGTAGCAGCAGTTTGCCAGTTGAAGTAGTGGAAAGATGGCCGGAAATTGGGAGCTGATCCGATTTTCAATAGGAAGCAAGCCAGATTTGTCACGAGAAAAGTCATCAGATAAGCCATGGTCACGAAGGAGGCGATACGATTAATATCGAACAACATTGTGATCTGGGCAAAGACGAAGGTGACTATAATGGCAAAAACGGGGTCGTCGCTCTTCTTGGTGCCTTGACTGAACACACTGAGTCCGGGAAGCAGGCTGTCTCGGGCGATTGCCTGAAGAAGCTTTGCGGAACCAATAACTCCCATGAGTGCGGAGAAGAAGCTAGTCGCAAATTCTCCCAGGAGGATGAGGCTTTCAGAGGCATTCACGACTTGGATCACGTTCGCATTGTTATAGAAAGATTGCCTGGTAATGGAAGAAGCCATTGCAACAATCACCAGTGCGTACGTAATGAAGGTCAGGGCAAGGCCTGACAGAGTACCCTTGGGGATTGCCTTGCTCGGATGCTTCAGATCGCCTGACATGCTTGCGCCACTAGCATGGACGTTAGCGAAAGTACATTTAGACACTGAAGAAATCTTGTTGACTTACGCAAAGATACCTCCAGTCGCAGGGAACAGAATGCCGAAGAGATCCTGGAAGTTTTCCCTCCCCTTCAACTGGCTACCCGCCGCACCCTTCGTGAGGTGGGGCTTGAGATTCTCCATCAGGGTCTGCAAGCTTAGACCCGTGAACTCCACGCGCTCCCTTGGGGAATAGAATGGCTTCATGAAGATGGCGGATAGCGGAATGCTGAATGTCGCGACGAGAAGAATCACAAGAAGACCATTGCTCGCTCTTGCAAAAATAGAGCTTCCTGCCAGGCAGATGGCCGTACAGAGAACCAGGATGACAGTTCCCCACAGATACTGCCACCAAAAGCCCTCTTGGAGGAAATTGGCCATGGAACCACGGTTGCTACCGAAGTTCTCCGCAAAGCAGTCGATCAAACCGACCGCGTTCATACCGGTGTTGAAGACATATCCCAGATAGAACACGATGCCGATAGATCCACCGAACTCGGGGCCGAGCGATCGCGAGATCAGGTAATAGGCACCTCCACCTCGGACAGTACCATTAGACGCGATTGCAGATAGAGACATCGTAGTCACTAGGTTAATCATGTATGAGGCCACCAGCAGTCCTGAATACTCCTTTTAGTCCCACTCCGAGCTATGTACGCACCGACCACACTCACCCAGTATGCCGAGTAGCCCTGCCTGACCCAAAATGAAGCCGAAACGCAGGAACATAAGAATACTCAGCACATTCAATGTTGTGGGCACGAAGACTCCAGAGAATGTACCGAGTTTCTTTGTCTCCTCTGCTGCCCGATGCCGATGTCCATTCTTGTCCTTCTTATCCGCGCTGGAATCGCGGAGGGGCCCTGCCGATAGGGATAGTTGGGATACCTCATGATCACCATTGTCTTGACGTTCATATTCAGCTTCTGTTCCTTTGTTCCACCATCGCGTTAGTCCCCCGAGGAAGGTTGTCGGGGTAGAAGTACGGCGGCTTTCTGCGGGCTGTGTCGGGTTCACTTCGTGGTGCCGAGGCCAAATATTGGATGGCCAATGCAGCAGTCCCCCTCCTTCGCCTGTAGTATCTCCGTGTTCATTCGGGTCGAGACGAGAGACGTCTTCTTCGGCGGTGCGAGTCGAGAAGTTCGGGCGTCGACGAGACATCACGGTATCTCTGCACCTTGGACGACCGAGACACTCAAGTTGGAGCTTTGAAGGCCAGGAAACACCACCGCCGACCCCAATCGATCTCAGCAAAAGAAATAAGAGGCGAAAGCAGACTCGCAAGGACCTCACCACCTGCGTCACAGCGCGTCGGTGACGAACTGCGATTGGAAGATAACGCGGGGAGCCACAAACTTGCAAACAGTGCAAACTGTCGATCGGGCTGGTCGCTTCCTCGAGGCGGACTTGTCAGCTGTCACTCTCCGACTCGTACTGTGACGCTTCGAGCTTCTGCATTCGGAGTCATCTTGCACGTACCTGAACCGCTCATGCGTCGGGATTCTTGGCTACACCTTGAACTGATGCCCGTTGAGAGTCGCCAGTCGACCTGACCCCTGACCATGGACAACGGAGAGAGCTCCTCATTGAACCCGCCCCGGTCGATGCCTATTTCCACCTCGTCCATTCGATCCACGTCGCCGGCGCCGGAGGCAAACCGACAGGCCTCGATTGCTCGACTTGCGTCGCCGATCCCTTCGCCATCGCTGGGGACTTCGCTTTCATCTCGACCAGGAGTCCCCGCCAACCGCTCCGTCTCCATATCAAACACCAACACCGCCTTCAACACCGAACAAAATTTCCGATATGTGGACAACCCGTCCTCGCTCCCGGGTCCCGGTCAGTCCATGATTGCTTCTCAGCTGCAAGAGAGCTTCGGCCGCTCGCCCCCGAACTTCGGGACTCCATCCCGGGTGGCTGCGTCCCCCGCGCTGCAAGCGGTTCACGATAACCGACCTGTAGGCTCTCAATATGGCTCCTTCGACACCAAGAACGACTACGAGTCAAATGGGCCGGCACCATTTGAAGATCCGGAAATTGTGAGGAGACATCTGGTTATGCCACCGAATGTCTCGGAAAACCGAGACGCCCCCTCGGAGCTGGGGACCAGCATCGGCGACGACGAATTCTCCAGCTTGCAGCTCCAGGGTGGGGATATCACCCGGCAAGTGTATAAGTGGGCCGAGGATGCGGAGGCTGAGGCCGCAGGTCGTTTCGCCCGCAGCAAGAGTTTCAGCGTCAGTCGGCCTACCCCTGAGGTAGAGACAGAAGATATCCACACGATTCGGGTTCCTGGTGGTTTCCGTCGAGATTTCCTGCGTAGAACGGCGGGAAGCCCGCATCGTGGAAGTACTCAAGGGTCAACTACGGGAGGAGCTCCAGCACCTCCTCAACTTCCCACGACAAGCTTCATCGAGTTTTTAACACTTTATGGTCATTTTGCCGGTGAGGAGTTAGAGGAAGATGATGAGGTGCTTGGTCCAGATGAGTACTTTTCATCGGACACCTGGGATGAGCAAGATGAAAGCAGACAGTCTGGGGAAGATGCTGCACTGCTTCAAGGGGACATTGCCGGTCGTCGAAAGCGCAAGCATAAACAGCGTGCCCCTGCTGGCAACACTACCACAACCGGTGCGGTCATGTTGCTCCTCAAGTCTTTTGTGGGAACTGGAATTTTATTCTTACCCCGCGCATTCTTGAACGGAGGTATGCTGTTCAGCAGCATGGTGCTGCTGGGAGTCTCGTGTCTGAGTTACTATGCCTTTATCCTGCTAGTAAATACTCGCATGAAGATCGAAGGCTCCTTTGGTGACATTGGCGGAATCTTGTACGGGAAACACATGCGACGCATCATCCTGGGATCGATTGTGCTGAGTCAGTTGGGATTCGTTTCGGCATATATCGTTTTCGTTTCACAAAACCTGCAGGCGTTTGTCCTTGCCGTGAGCAAGTGCAAGTCCTTCATTGACATCAAGTTCATGGTGGTGATGCAACTGGTCATCTTCTTGCCTCTCTCTCTAATCCGCGATATCAGCAAGCTTGGGTTCACCGCACTCATCGCAGACGCGTTCATCCTGCTGGGTCTGCTGTATATCTATTACTACGACGCCAATACCCTTATTGGGAATGGCGGCATCTCGGATATCGTCGACTTTAACCCGGCCACCTGGTCTATGTTCATCGGAACGGCGATTTTCACCTACGAAGGTGTCGGTCTCATCATTCCCATCCAGGAATCGATGAAGCAGCCCCATCGGTTCCCTGGTGTTCTTGCTGGCGTCATGGTTGTTATTACTTTGATCTTCCTGTCGGCCGGCGCTCTGAGCTATGCTGCCTACGGATCAGCCACGAAGACAGTCATTCTCCTCAACCTGCCTCAAGATGACAAGTTTGTCAATGTGGTTCAGCTCCTTTACTCGCTGGCGATTCTGCTGAGCACACCATTGCAACTCTTCCCTGCCATCCGTATCCTCGAGAATGAGCTGTTCACCCGCAGCGGCAAGTACAACCCATTTATCAAGTGGAAGAAGAATGCCTTCCGGTTCTTTTTGGTTATTTTGTGCGCTATCGTCGCTTGGGCTGGTGCCGATAATCTAGACAAGTTTGTCGCACTAGTCGGAAGCTTCGCTTGCGTTCCCTTGATCTATGTTTACCCGGTAAGTCACTTTCCTCTTTCCTTACAATTTCAAAGGGTAATTGCTAAATATTATCTCGCAATAGCCCCTCCTTCACCTTCGAGCCTGTGCCAGATCTCGACGCCAAGCAATTGCCGACATGACCCTGGCTGTTTTTGGTACCATCTGCTGCATTTACACAACCGGACTCACTCTTCAAAACTGGGTTGGAGGCGAAGTTGCCCCAAGCCCTGGCTACTGTGATTCCGTTTAGACGTTTTCTATGCCAGGGATACCACAGTTGGTCTGATGACTTCTATCCTTGTTTCAACACTAGAGTGTCGCATGGCATCCTTTCTTGTTTCACATGCATGGGCGAATAACTATGCAAATTTGGTGTTTGGAATTTTCGACAAATTGTCCGTATTTTTGGCGTCTGCTTTTTTATGGGATGATTTGGGTCTTCTTTTGTACACATATGTCTTCCTGCTTTCCTTTTCAACGTGGACTCTCAAAGTTTAGAGCTTCTGTATGCATAACTTCCAAGTGTTGTTTCTACTTCCAAGCCAGTACTACTTAGTCATGGTTTGTACAATGCGAAGCAGGTCATATCCCTGCATCGCAAGCCCTCGTAGTGATAAGCGAAAAGCAGCTGTTCGAAACACTCGATTTAAAGCACAATATAGCCTATGTACAGTGGCCGAGACTCAGGTTGACTCTTACTCCCAGCCGAAAACCCCCGTCCCCATTCGCTCCATCATCTTCTCAACACTGCAATCCCTCTATAGAAACCTCTATCAACTTTTTCTTTCCTGTCCGTCAAGGACTGAGCTCAAAACCAGTAGACAAGCGGGCGTATTGAGAAATGCAATGCTGCGAAAATGAGGTCCATGCGAATTTATATCAAAAGTACACACCCAATGCACCTTGTTAAGCAGTGGGCTCCGCAGCCTTGGCGCCCTCTGCAGCCTTGGCAGCAAGCTGAGATTCCCGACCACCCCAGCTGTTTAAATATGTCAGTCAGGTTTCCAATGTGGATAGCATAGCTTGATATCACGAAGCACTTGTTGTGGAGGGTAAACGCACTTCCAGTAGTTCAGGTAACGGTAGGCTTGGACGGACTGAGCACCGAAGTTGGTCATGTGGCAAGCGAAGAGGAGGTAGTTTTTGGGGGTGATGGCGAGAGAGTAGCGCATGAAGGTAGCGGCGTAGACGAGCAGACAGCCAGTCATGGTACCGGAGATACTGCGGAGGAGTTAGCGTTGACTCGGCGTAGATATCCAACGAATGACGACGAATTGTTCAATCGTGAAAGATTTCGCGGGAGGAATGATCTCGGAACGTACATCTCAGGGTCCTTCTGTGTATCCATCACAGCGGCGAAGGGGATACCGAAGTTGGAGACAGGGCCCCAGAAGTCTACGGCGAGGGATTGTCAGCAAATCAGCATTCTGGCTTTAACCATATGGTATTCGAGCCGACGAAGACAGTGCAAGGTAATTGCCGGCCTCGGGTCAAAATGCTCAACTCCAATTCCTCGGGTCCCAAGTCACCATCTTGCGCAGCGTCCTCTTCATTAAGGTACATCGTGCTGGCCGATCTCGGGCCCGGAAAGCGCGGCGGGAAACTTGTCACTGGTGGTAAACGTACGGGTTGAGCAGACATAGTCGGCAACCTTGTTGGAGCGGATCTTGGCGTTCAGCGCCTTGATAGCAGCAGCCATGACGAGTTGCTGGGAGGAGAGATTGCACTGGAAGAGGTCGGAGGGTTGAGGTTGGGGTCTGCGGGTGCGGAATTACTCGACTCACCCGGCGATGACCACGGGTCACGTGCCCGACGAGGCCTGTGCCGGAACCACGCCTATTGTTTTGAATTCGATGGTATTATCCCACAGAAGTTAGCATGTGGACTTTGGCTTGAGAATAAATAGATTTTGACTGCATCAATGTGTCAAGTTATGCGTGCACTGGGAGCTACAACGGTATGACCATCCGATGAATGTACTAAGCGACTGCGCAGATTGGCCTGTCTCTTGTCTCAGATATATCTAAGACCTATCGATTGCCCACTAGTGTACAATACACTACCACATGCATGACTGGTGCTACTGCTGTTGGCCGTGGTGTGCTGAAAATCATTAAAAAATTGTTTAATTTCACATCCAAAATACTCATTTCACGCAACAGCTGCAACTTAACACTCCACCAATAAATGCATCGATATGGTTGTACCGCTATATGGTTGTACCGCCCATGAACTGTTAGTTTCTACAACCCCGGAAATACAACAAAACATTACGGTAGAACGGAAATAGAACTCGCGCTTGAAAAAATCGTATTCTGGATCTTGGACAAGGCTTCAGTGTGTGATGGTGCACACCTGGTTCACTTAACAGACAAGATCAGGGAACTAAATGTCCAGAAAACAGGGGGAACCTTTTGACCTTTTTTTGGTTTTTCATTTTTTTGGATTCCCACCCACGACCTTCATTCCATGCGCCACAACGCCTTGCCCAGTAAATGTGACATAATTGAGCCTGCACGAATTTTGCATTCATTGAACGCAAGGGTATCGGTTCCACATAGCTCTGCACCGCCTTCTTCCTCAACGACTGCAAAACAGGCTGCTCCAAATGAAGCATAAAACCTTTCGAAAAGTATTTGTCGGATTAATGGCCACCGAAGCCGGGAGGGTGGCCACGACCTTGGCCGGGAGGACCAGGCTGGAAACCGGGGGGAGGAGCAAAGCCGGGAGGAAGCTGCCAGTTAGTAGGGGGGAGGGCCACCTGGGAAGAATCGCACGGGGGTTAGAGCTGGAGGTTTGATGATGATCAAGTCCATGGGGCTTCCGAACTCACCTGCAGCCGGAGGGCCTTGGAAACCGGGAGGCGGGAAGAAACCGGCTGTGAAACATGACAGTTAATAAACGAGTAGATTGCTGGGCTGGATTGCAGGACTTACGGGGACCGCCAGGTCCTCCACGGCCAGCAAAGCCAGGAGGGGGACCGCCGGGGAAAGAGTTAGGAAGAGCGGGCGCAGGGCCACCGACACCAGCAGCAGGACCAGTGAGTCCAATGGGAAGACCGCGACCAGCAGGGCGGCTGACACCGGGGCCGGCGGCAAGAGTTGTAGCGGCGCCACCAGCACCTGGGCCCTTGGTAGCAAGACGAGCAGTGGGATTAGCGGGAGGCTTGCCCACAACGGCGATAGACATGACTTGGGAGCCACGAATGATGATCAAGCCGAGGGTCCGCTTTTCCTTGGGAGGGTGGTCAGGAGCATTTCGGCCAGACTGGGGCTTGGGAGTGCGGAATTCTTCGGCGTCGGCGAGAACAACGTTTTGGTGCTGGGAGCAGATCAGTGTTAGCTTGGAATCGAGCAATGGGATCGTGGGAAAAGCGACAAACCTTATCAAAGGTGAGAATCTCGCCTTCGATCTCGCGATCATCCTTAAGGTAGACTCGCATGCGGTAATTGATCTGGTAAAGTAGTTAGTATAAGGGCGGAACGATTTCGCATCCGTGAATTCAACTCACAAGGTCTTTCTAAAGTGGACAGTTAGCGACAGTCATTGGGGACATGACGAGAGAAAACGGAGGGACCAAAACTTACCAGTTGCTGCTGCTTAGGAGCCATGATCGTAAGACAGGCGCGCACGAATGCGACTTGGCAATCTCGAAAGCTCTGAGGAGAGCAACGATGCTCTTTCGAGGGGGGTGCACGGATGAAGAAACTTGACGCGGGGATCCGTGAGGGAGCTCCAGCTTTCATGTCGGACTCAAGTTCAATCTGGATGTTGCATGACTCAGCAGGCAACAAAGATCACATGATCAAATGTCTGAGGGAGACACCTCTTACCTAATCAGCCCTCTCGCTTCCGACTCCCGTGACCGCCGCCCACACAAACCGCTTTTGTGACTTTTCGCAGATTCTCCATCTTGTCGACAACCACTCCACGCCACAACACTCAGTCGCCATGGTATGCTACACCACCTTCCTTGCCAATGAAAAATCAGTCGCCTAACAACCATGCAGTCGGACGGAAAGGACAAGAGCGCCAACCCCATGCGCGAGCTGCGCATCCAGAAGCTCGTGCTGAACATCTCGGTCGGTGAGTCTGGTGACAGACTTACTCGTGCCGCTAAGGTGCTCGAGCAGCTGTCTGGTCAGACCCCTGTCTACTCCAAGGCCCGCTACACCGTCCGTACTTTCGGTATCCGCCGTAACGAGAAGATCGCCGTCCATGTCACCGTCCGTGGCCCCAAGGCTGAGGAGATCCTCGAGCGTGGCCTGAAGGTCAAGGAGTACGAGCTCCGCAAGCGTAACTTCTCCGAGACCGGCAACTTCGGTTTCGGTATCTCCGAGCACATCGACCTGGGTATCAAGTACGACCCCGGCATTGGTATCTACGGCATGGACTTCTACTGCTGCATGTGAGTTGCACCCAGAGTGGGAAAGAACAGATCCCACTACCGCAAAGAAAGCCCAAGGCAAAGGTAATGAACTGACAATTTATTTCTTTAGGACCCGCCCCGGTGAGCGTGTCGCCAAGCGCCGTCGCTGCAAGTCCTCCATCGGTGTCAACCACAAGATCAACCAGAACGAGACCATCAAGTGGTTCAAGAACCGCTTCGACGGTATTGTCCGGTAAATGCCTTCACGAGTGTTGAGGGAAGCGGGATGGAGACCCGGTTGAAACTTGTGATTTACGATGCATCGAAGGGAGCCAAAAATTTTTCTCCGAAACAAAAATTCGGCCCAGGACGGAAGACCCCGTCGACCCCGGCTGGGCTCCCGATTCCTGCGTCGGTAATGGTGTTCTGAACCCTTTTCTTTTTTCTACCACGGCAACCAGGATAGGCGTGTTAGAGACATGAATCTACTACCTTGCAAAACCACCCCTTTTTCCCCTTTTCACAATGCAGGCTGCACGAAAGGTGTTGTTATCCGCATAAACATTGTTGAAAAGGATGGCGGCACTAGACTTGTCTGTGTCTGCCAGAACTCGCTTGACTGGTATATTCTACCGTCGAAGAGTCGGTCTCCCCAAGTTACTTTGTCTTGTACTAGTACTTGGTCTCGAAGGAGTACCATTTGGCCCATCTCTCTCTTGTCTTTTCCTGTCTGAACCTGGTGTCGCTTCTTCTCGCGTAGCAGTAGCTCGTAGCCTGTATTTCGTAAGAACAGAATTCTCGAGACCGATTCTCTTTGCCGCACCTCCACCCTGCCTTCAAGAGCCCTGTGAACTTGCATCCAAACCCATGGTGAGCCCTTGCTTGTTGACTGGGCTGGCTAGATCATCGACTGCCCCACTGATCCTCATCTAGTGGTTTACTTCGTTTTTTTGCGTTCTCTATCTAACCCCACACTCCGCCTTCTTTGAAAGTCTGCATTGGTCCTTACAAATTCGATTTGCCAAATAGGCCATGCAGGAATAGAACAGTCGCATTTTCGAACTCAGGCTTTTCCAGGTGGTACGTTCATTTGTCAGTTGCCACAGCTGCCCTGTTCCACAGCCAGAACTGCAATATGTATTTTTGACGAGTATATAGAGAAGGTGACCAGGCAGCTCATCATATAGGTGACTCGGTAGATAATCTAAATTATTGGATATTGTACCGGACAAGGAACCAAAAATACTATTAGAATATACCGAAGTAAAGTGGTCAAAGTAGTGAGAAAATGGCAGGGGCGGCAATGAATATCAAAACCGTCGGTCGCCATTTTGACTGTGCCTATATTGATCCCTTTCAAAGGAGTCTCTGCAGCATCCGCAGTATTGCTGGTATGCAAATTTCGAAGATTTGTCTGTGGATATTTCTTGTAGTGTTGGTCTGCCGTTACCCCAGAGTAGGTAACATGTGCATATGGACGCATGGATCCAGTATATAGAGTCACATGACCCGCCCCACTATGGCTTTAAAAAGGATTCGTATATTTCGGTGCCCACAAGCACCCACAATTCTCTCAAGAGGGAGAAAAAAAGAAGTGACCAGACCCGGGCTCGATCCGAGGACCTTATCGGTGTTAACGATACGTGATAATTCGGGAGTGACGGTGGAAAGTCCACGGACATGCGTGAAGTCTTGTCAAGAAAGCGTGGCGTTTTTTGAAGAACCCGTGGTGTTTCCATCGTGGCTTCCTATGGCGCTATCTCCCTTCGGGCCGTAGCGATCCACTGCAGCCCTAGCTGACAACTGCAACTGTAACTCGGCGGCTCCATCATGAGTCTACAGGCAATCCCTATAAATGAAGCTTCCTCAACGCTCTTACAAACCTGCATCGGTCTGGTTTCCCAAAATTATGACACGTCGCGTTTCAAGACATCAAAAGCCCGCAAGGCTCATCGACTGACTGGTTCTAGAAGTCCAGTGAGTGCCGGAATTGAGTATATCTACATGTTCATCAGAGATGACCTACCAATGCAACATATTCTGCATCTTCTTGTAAAAAACTGAATGGTTTCATTCACCGTTTCATGGCCACAATCCAAGGGGTCGAGCAAGTGGTCCACGGCGTTCGGATCCCAACATCCATATTTAGGTCTGAGAGCTGGATATTTCTTGGTGGTATTAAATATTTCTTTTTGAAGGCCGATTGAGAACGATGGTAGCCTCGCCACGACAAAGGATTCTGGAGCGTTCTAGCAAGCGCGACGAGAAATATATAGTAAGGATCACCTCTTAACTCAATCTGTTTTTCTCGGCCTGCATTTCTGCAGGTTCAGATAAGAATGGCACCAGAAGTGGCCTATTCATCGCTTCATCAGTACACCGGTTGGTAATCCCCATGCATGAATGAGACGAGGGATTAACACCAAACAAGCTATGTATTTGTGGAACGCATGTCGGCCTTACCCATCGGCACCTTCTGGCCGACCTTTGAGATTGCAAAACTCGATAATAGCACACAGAACTTCCCGTTTGCTTTTAGGATCTCTCAGGTAGAAGAGCTCGATGTCCCGATAGCAAACAGTGTTCGGAAGGTCATCCGATGAGCTGTACTTAGGAAGGTCACTCTGGAAACCCGTTTGCGTTTGCCCAAAGTGAATGCCCCAAGACTTTTCCCCCACTGTTTCGACGTCAATCATCGACCCTTGCACCTTTTAATTATGCCATCAGCCTGAATTATGAAACCCTGATTCAAAAAAAAAGTCATCATTCGATATATTGTGGGGAGCCCGAAGCCTCTACCTGAGGTAAAGAACAGTGTCCTAAATTCGTCAGAACGATCTAAATAAATCTTCAAGCATTACCCAAGTACTGTCCAACATAACCTCCCATTTTGCCGCAGCCATCGAGACGCTCATAGTTCTCACCATATCCATCGGCCTCGAGGATGGTACGCCAATAAATTACGGCCTTCTGCGCTCCATTTGCCATAGATCGCTCGGCCATACCATACCAGTCACTGCTACCAGCCTCGGCGTGCTCATCCCATGCAGATGCAATGGCTGCGGGAGCACCTGCGTACTCGTCCTTGCTGACGGCAACACCAGTACGAGCGAAGACAACTTTGACACCCGCACCATCATGTCTCTTGGTCAACGTCGCGTTGCCGCTTGTGAATGGGACAAAAGTATGCGAAGATCCATCAGCGAAGTGGTGGAGCTCGTAATCGTGAGCCTTGGTACCGTTCACATTTCTCATATTTTTGAGGCGGTGATGAGCGATCAAGGCTGGGATATCATCCCGTGCCTGGTTGCTGCCTTTTGAAATGGGGATATCCTCGATAGAGTCGAGAGTCCAGCCGTGCTGTCTAAGAGCATCTCCAGTGCTCGTGAGCATATGGCTTCCGGCAAACGATCGCTTGACGTCTGCCGCGCCTGGTGCATCCACTGGATTGAGATTGAGACTCGGGGTACCCTCGGGAAGATTTGCGACTCCCCCAGAGACGGCTGCCGTAAGAGCGAATATCAAGTCGAACACATCTTTGATATCGTCGACCCACAAAGCACATTCTTTATTGTCATGTCTTTGACATATACTTTTGGCAACCTTGGTGGCGCCAGTAGCAAACAGACCACTAATATCATTGAGAGAGGCGTCAGTTCAATATAGAAAAATTAGAAAGTTATAAGCAGTTCGTAGACGGAACTCACGCTGCTAGCAATCTTTTGCCACTCCAGATTGTCTTAGCAATGTTCTGGCATAAGCCTGCCCTTTTTTCGAGGTCCGCTAGAGCAATACCCGAGACAGAGGGGCTTTGGTCAGGCGCATATCGGCTTTCAACAGTGTATCCGGCCGGGGCGGCAATAGCCACATTGCCAAAGATTGGCAAAGAAAGAAGAATTGGAGATAGCTTCATCCTGAGGGTTGAAAGATAAATAGGCTAAGAAATAAAAGCGAAGAGACCTTGTCGAATGAAGTAAAAATATACATTGAGGTTGAACCGAGCATATTTATATCCGTAATCATAACCATAGAAACCATCCCCCACTTAGCGAGAAATCAGGTAGAGGCCAAGTTTTGATGAGGCATTTTCAAAGAGTTGATTTTGCGGTTTATGTTAGTTGAACCGCTAAAATGCGATTAGAATACTCCGTAGTTGCATTGCAAAGGGCCTCGAGTCGTGGAAGGGAAGCGATCGTAGGGTGCCTGTCTAGGATGTACTAATTCAAGCCATGGTCACCTCTAGCTTAGGAGATTTTTTTGGCCCCAATGGGGACAGAAGTTCCTTCAGCCATTTAGACTTGATTGAAGAGTAAAACTGATATGTCTCAAACTAGACCCTCAGGTCGGTAGGGCTCCGTATGGAGTAGAGAGTTGTGCTAAGTGGACCACCCCAAGTTCCTGATTGGGTAAAGCCCAGTATAAAATTACATGTACTGTATTAATGTTCATTTTCACTCACACATCACTTTTATCATCCTCATAAAATAGTACTTTGACTAGGAGAATTTTTTTTGTAAAAAAAAAAAAATTACTCAAAATACGAAAGGTAAATACTCTTTATCATTTTTAAAGGAAATTCTTTCTACTTTTAAATAGGAATTCATGAGATTTTGACTTTGAACTTCAGCGCTGAGCTGTGATTTTCACTTCCTTGTAATACGAAGACTGGTATATCCTTCTTTAGGAAACTAGCGGCAACCACATAGTGGGTGTCCATTCAGCACAACTCTGGAGTAGATGAGGAGTGTTTCAAAGTGGATATATGTAGAACTATGGAGTACCCAGAACACCACCTCTCGCTTAGGAATCAAGGTCCCCACCATTCCGGAGCTGCGGTCAAGAGATCCGTGAAATCAGCACACTTGGGCTGGGTTTAGCACATTCTTGGCGATTAGAGGGTCAGCAGATAGAACTAATAATGATGTTGTGGGTACCCATCGGAGCGGCCAAGAAGTTGTTACGTCCACGTGAATGGGCTTGTGAGGAGTTGAAACAAAGCTACTCCGTACTGAAGACTTTTACTTGATTGATTGGCAAAGAACTCTGGCGTGATAAATTATTGTCTCAACTGAACTAGATACGTAATAAGGAGTGAATAAATCAGCGAGGAAAAATGTCATGGTAGGACCCTCCTAAATTTTCTTTGGTTGCACACCTTGTTGCTGCGTCTCTGTTGTAGATACCGAAAAGGCTCCCTTCTTTCGATTCTCTGCACGGAAGATGAAAAAGAAGAAGATAAAAACAATTACATAAAGAATGATATCACGATAATCGCGACATGACACTGCATCACAATGTCGAAGGCAGGCGGGATAAAAAGCCACCCAAGGAGATGCGAGAAGACAAAGCATGATCCTTCAAGGTCCAAAGTCAGAATTGCGAATTAAATAATGTTCAAGGAAAGGAACAAAGACGTACGTGATTGGATAATGATAGAATCCCACCTTCTGCAACATGCGCTCCGGAAGACCAAGAGGAGGCAGACCAGGAGAGCGGACATTCATTGTATTGGTAGATGTCGAGGACTGGGCGGGAGATTCTGTACCCATATTGAGGTTCAGGATTGCATAGAAGAATGGAGGAATAGCAGGAACAGCGGAACAGGGGGCGTCTCGTAGAATCAATATTGGTGCAATCGTCACACTAGGGACCGGATCAACAAAGCTTATATAAGCGTGCCGTTATGTAACGTGATAACGTATTGCCCGAGCGACCGAATTGACCGAGCGGCCCCACTAAAAACCCATCTCAAAAAATAACATATCTTGTTTACCACAATAATCATGCCCCCCCAACGGTCTGATCGAAAAAGAAAATTAATAGAGCAGGAGGGCCGTCTTTTATTAGCTATTAAAGCTATAAAAGATGGTAAATATCCCTCTGCTGCAGCTGCTGCGCGGTCTTTTGATTTACCAGTCTCAACTTTGAAGGCCCGCCTTAATGGGCGTGAAGCTGCTTCTGAAAAACGACACAATCGCTTTATTTTCTCTGAAATTGAAGAGCAATCGATTGAAAAATGGCTATTGGATATGGATACCAGAGGTGCTGCTCTTACACTGCCTATGTTGAGAGATATGGCCAATTTACTCCTTCATGCCCAAAAAACAACCCCCTCTACTGTTGGTAGAGATTGGGCATCTCACTTTGTCAAACGACATCCAAATTTGTCCACACGATTATCTCGAAAATACGACTATCAGAGGGCTCTTTCAGAGGACCCTCGAATTATCAAACCATGGTTTGATTTGGTCCAAAATACCGTTGAAAAGTGGGGTATCACTTCGGATGATATTTTCAACTTTGATGAGTCTGGTTTTGCTATGGGAGTTGGTACCACACAAAGGATTATTACCTCAGCCGAATACCATGGAAAAAGAGCTCTCTTACAAGCTGGAAATCGCGAGTGGGTGACTTCAATTGAGTGTATTAGAGCTGATGGAAGTGTCCATCCTCCACTCTTCGTTTTTAAGGGGAAATTCTTTCCTGAACATCTACGCATCCCCCTTGATTCAAATCAACCTGGATCTCGTCTGACTGTGAGCAAAAATGGCTGGACTACCAATGAAATTGGTTTATGGTGGTTGAAATCTCATTTTATCCCAAATATTGGGAAAAGAGTGGGAAAATACTGCCTCTTAGTCCTTGATGGTCATGGGAGTCATTTAACCCCTGAATTTGATCGAATTTGTGAAGAAAATGATATCATCGCGATCTGTATGCCTCCTCATGCCTCTCATCTTTTACAACCTTTAGATGTGGGTTGTTTTTCGGTTTTGAAGAGGCTTTATGGAGGAGCGGTTTCAACCATGATGCGGAATGGAGTCAATTCTATTGATAAGGAAGATTTCCTTGAATTGATTGCAGATGCAAGAAAGGGAGCTTTAAGACCTCTAATATCCAGAATAGCTTTTCTGCTACTGGATTAGCACCATTTGATGCTAATAGAGTCTTGGAAAAGCTTAATGTATGCCTGGATGAACTTCCTCCTCTTGAGATCCTTCCTACACGACCACCCTCTTCTGGCAGTGATAGTGATCCAAATACTCTCTGGACTCTCTCAAAATTCTCAAAATCGCAATCTCGGATCAAAAAATGTCTAGAATCTTCTTCTTCAATCCTTTCTTCACCAACCAAACGGGAGATTGAGAGGAACTATGAAATGACCATAAAAGTGGTCCATCATCATATTTTTCTTCAGAATCGCTGCGACCAATTGGAGGCTTCTAATAAGAAACAGATCAAAAAACGAGCAATCAAGCATAAGTTTACTAGCCAGAGGGGCATTTTCGGGAGTCGGGAGGATGGTCAGGATGATGTGGTTGTTGAGGATGATGGTGATAGTGAAGATATATCTTTGCTAGATGTACCTGGAGAACCACCTGCAGAACCTGCTTTACCTTCCATGCCTATGGTTAGGCGGCAGGTCACCTGCTCTGGATGTGGGATTAAAGGCCATACTTATGTTAAATGCCCTACACGTATTAAATAACAAAATTTGAGTTATTTTTGTGGTATTAGTCGTGGTGAAAAATTGAAGGTTTTTTGATTTTTGGTGGGGTCGCTCGGTCAATTCGGTCGCTCGGGCAATACGTTATCACGTTAACGAAAGAGCAAGACAGTTTTGCAGCCTGATATGATCAGGCTGTCCAGTCAATTCTGCTAGTTATCGCCTAAATCGTTTAAATATCTACAATGGGACGATCTGCGGGTGTGAAAAGTGTGAAAATGAAACGTGGGGGCCGGGATCTGTCCGAGGGCCGACGACACATCGGCATGGGCACATCGGGCCTGCCAGGATCTGCCGAAGCTCCCGTGGAGCTCGTTTTGAAGGTGATATGCATAGTCTGGTAGCACCTGCATTCGTGCGGGCCAAAAAAAAAATGACCAGACCCGGGCTCGATCCGAGGACCTTGTCGGTGTTAACGACACGTGATAACCAACTACACCATCCGGCCAACTGTTATATTTTGGATTCACATTATTAATCTATCAATGTCAACATTGTAATGGCCAAACGGCCTGAATGGTCAACACTCGGTGTAACCCCCTACAAGTGTCATAGTTTCACCGTGACGAGCGGTATTAAATACTACTTGCATATGCCCAAGATAATATTGTGCTCTCTCGCGTGTTTCGCGACTCAACGGGATGCCACTGTGTCCGAAGAATCTCAAAGAAAGCAAGCAATTTGAAGCAAGCTCTCCAAAGATCACCTATCCTCCCCGCAGACTAACTGACTCCGTAGATACAATCACAGCTCACATCCATGTCCATTAACCCTCGACGACCGCTTGGTTCCAAAGCTACCCGTTGCTTCAGACACTGGTACTGACACTGGCACTCTTTGGACACTGGCTCTCTGTGATAGGACCAAAGGCCCAAATATCTCCAGTCCCGATTGTCTTGTTTGTTGTCACCACAGCGAGAACACTTTCCTAACTCGCTGGAAGTATTTGTGACCTTTCCTGCCTGAGCAGACCAAGCAGACCCCTGAGAATGCGGGACAGAGCCCGGCCGTTCCAAAGCTTGAGGAGAGCTATCCGAGCGCTTCTTAGTCTCTCCCCAATGTTGATTCCCCCCCGGCTTTAGTATCATCAATCCCAATGATGTAATTTTCCATGTTGGTCAGGACACGAGTTTAAATCTAGCTAGGTGTCTGGAGAAGGACAAAACCATTAGCAGTCTCGTTGATGATATATATATATACGTTCGAGATTTCAGACTCATTAATGACTAATATTCTGACGATACGCACCTATATATACGTGGCGGGGAAATAGGAGAGCGCAATGCTAGTGAAATGTTGGTGATATTCCGTGGTAAGCAGCAAGAAAGCCTGAGTGAGGACACTTCACATTCAGAGATATTTTGGGTTGCGTGATAGATTAATTTCAATATCTCCAGGAGCACGAAGAAAAACTTTAGATGTGAAAACGAAGGAAATGAAAGTGATCCGGTACCTAAAAAAGTTGCGAGAATTTGACACATGTTGTAGTGGCTGAGCATCCAAAATCAATGTATGTTGAGACTGTGTGCATCACACGTAATGCTCGTTCTGTCTTGTGACTGGTACCACGTCATAAAATTTGGCGCTTTCGGTGGATGGCCGAGCATCAAAATTAAAATTGTTAAAGAGCGGTGTAGGATGCATGAGGGACAGTGCAGTTCTTCGTCTATGTGAATGCTGTCACGAGTTGCAACCATCAACTCGAAAGGCAGTACGCTATCAACAGCCATAGTTTATAACGCGAGTCGCTGCGCAGATATTATTGACTTTGCTGAACGTCTGAAACGATCTTCCCAAAGACGACGGTTCTTATCTTAGCGAGTTAGGTATTATGGTTATTTTGCGTAATCCAGGCGACCGAGACGAAGAACATGCGCAAGTCAGCCAAGCCGAGCTTGACGAAAAACCGTGGTAATGTTAGAAAAGTCGTTTAAGAAAGCCATTCTCACGAAATAAAACAGGAAGTATATTGGCTACAGAGGTTTCGCAGGTTATATGGCTCTGGATGGCGACTTCTTCATCCTTCGTCGTTTTGACAGACTTCATTCCCGAGCTCTACTCGCACATCAGGATCGTCTCGCTCAGCTTGAAGAGGGCTTGGACATCCTCGACACCCGTTTAAGTGCAAGGGAAGCTGGGGATGTTGACAATGGTTCCTTTCGAAACGACCAACGAGAGAGAAAAATTCTGCTGGGTAGAATACAGCGTCAGTTAGAGGTTTACGGTGACTGGAGGACACCTTGATCAGTATCAATATCTGATAAGTCTGACTTGGGCAACACAAGATAATTTGCTCCGTCATTATTTGCAATTAAAAGCTCAGCCACCGGCGTCTAAGCGGAACATTAAGAATGTCAAAAATTGGCTTTTTAACAACAATGGTCCCATTCACGAGAAGGAGATTGAGTTCGTCGACAAGGAAGATTTGATCACCATTGCAATGGGAAGGAAATCATCCGCAAGATACCTCTTTGAACGGATGATCCTTGTCCCAACAAATGGATTGTTTGGTCTATTTACAGGAAAAGAGAATAAAGACACAAGCCTATGCGACCGTCGGACTATAGTTCAAGGAAAAGATGAACATATAGATGTTCTTGCAACACTTGCGATCTTTTTGACAGCAGCAATGATGCTGATTGCGCCCCTGTGGATTCTAGCCGGGGTAGGCGAAACTTATCAGAAGTTGACGGTCATGACAATTTTCTTGATTGTCTTTCTGTCAGTGTTGAATTGGGGGACAGTGGCAAGGCCTTTTGAGATTTTGGCGGCAACAGCAGGGTAGGAGTGAAACTCTCTACAAAGAAAAACTTTACTGACTTTCTTGCCACAGATATTCAGCTGTTATGGTGGTCTTTCTTCAGTTAGGTGCGCAACAGTATATAAGTAGGCATTACAGTGTTTCTATTCGTACGTGTGGTTAAGGTTTTTTTTTTTTTTTTTTTGACTGTAAAGGGCTCTTATTATATTCTCGGATGTAGTTGTCGAGCTGATTCACGTAAACTTGAGGTTGTCAGGTAGCAGTAGAACGCCCTGCGCCAAATTGCTTGCTGTCCTTAAGTATTCTCTTTAGCATCTAGCGGTGTATTTCGAATATATCCAGCACGCCACGGCGGAAAACGAACTCCTCGACAAAACAGCGACGCAACTTTTCTCTTGCCTACAAAGAGAGTCAGAAAAAGGGAGCCAAAATCAGAAGGCTCCGCACGAAATCTGGCGACCGTGCTAATACACTGTATACAGTGCTCTGGCACGATATCCTGCGAAAGATGCATTTCTAAAGGATGCAACTGAATCTACAATCCAAGCAGTAATCGTAGATCGAAGGCATATATTGCTGAGATCTTGGGTTTTCACGCCGCTCTTTGCCGCATAATTTCCACAATTCGCTCGGGGACCTTGATGAAATCTCTTGCCTGTTATGGGAAATTCAAATTTGGAATTTAGATCAAGAGGCAATTAGTTACCTCACGCAAGATACCAGCTGAAATATTCGATCGCTCAGTAGCTTCGCTCGTTCGTTTTTTGAGGACATACACACTATTGATTCGGTAAAATCCCATTTTTATGGGTTGAACTTCCCTCTATCGCTAGACGTCAATGTGCAAGGAAGGTAGTTCCAATATCATTGTAGGCATCTTAAGATAGAACGGAACCAGGTTACTTTTGTATATATTTTGTGCTCAGAATATGGCATTACAATATATATTTCTTCGACGCATGCATTATAAAGAATGGACGGGTATTCAACAAGTAGAATTTATTGGTCCTTCCATAACATCCGCTTAAATTGGATTCTCATGAGTTTAGTTTAATGCTCTTTCGTAGTCGAAAGCCATCACAAGCAAAGGCTATCACCACAACATAATGAACTCCGGCTGCGGAAGCTTGGCAGGTACTCAGGGCCGATCAATTTTCACGTGTCCGCTCAGCTAGGGTAAACGAATGGCGATCGCGCGACCCGGGGTGATTCTCAGGAAGATCTCTCACCCTTATCAACACTCACCCTGAGTCGCGCGACCGCCAAGCGGCGATCACCTGTTTCTCCACTAGGTTCGACGGAACGATTGTCAAGCATTGGCATTCAGCGTGCGGCTGTTGGCAGTCAGGAGTCTGGTGCGTGTCGCCCATATGAGAATAGGGTGGGCGCCGCTTTACGGGCGCGACCAGGAAGAGAGTGGTAAGAGCGCAGTAGATGGGGTTAGAATCTAGGTGAGAGCGAGTGAGAATTAGTCCCCCGTCAGACAACTATCGCATTGACCTTGCCAGCTGAATTATCCTGTATCATTATTGGGCCACCTCGATGCATCTGAAATGCCGGCCTCTTGGTATCTGCACATAGCCACAATCTGAGGGCTGTGTTGGCTGGGAGAGATGGCCACGTGACCTTCTCAGCCCATTCCTGGCATTCTATACGGAGCACGTAACTTGGCTGTGCCGAGGGCATCTGTCTGCCTTGCGGCGTATTATATTCGCTACTAAGCTCTATCGTTATTATCTTCTTTTCCAGCCCTTCTCTACGAACACCCCTAAACACGTTGTGTTGGCGTACCCTGTGCAAAAATATGGAACCTGCGGGGCTGGCTGTCGGGTTCCTGGGACTCGCCGGTCTATTCAGCTCCTGTCTGGAAGCTGTCGAGCGATTCGAGTCTTGGAGGAATTTCGGGGAGGAGTCACGTTCTCTGGTCACTCATTTTGAGGCTGAGAAGCTGCGCCTGGAGAGATGGGGCCAGGCGGTCGGGTTTAACCAAGGAGCGATATCGCGCATCCACCACGAGGCTCTCGATGACCCGCGAATAATCGAGAGGATAAGAGAACATTTATCAATCATCGGAAATATCTGCAGCTTCGCAGACAGCGCATCTCTGCCTGTGGCCGGAACAGGCGCTGGGAATGCCAAGCACGGACTGTTTCCCAGAGGTCGTGTCCGGCCCCATTCAAGCATTCTGTCGGAATCGAGAAACCAAAGGGTAAAGTGGGCCTTGAGGGATAAGGTCAAGTACACAGAAACAGTCCAGAAGCTCAGACAGCTAGTGCAAGACCTTCACAACCTAGTACCTCCCGATGGATCGAAGTGTGCACGAGCCGCACATGGGAGGGCTGGTGAGGATGTTCACGGGCACAGAAATGGTACGCATGCTCATTATTTCCTTGGATTTTGAAATTAACTGAGGACTCTAGATGCGTCCGCTAACAGGGATAATTTGCCCGTTGACTTTCGGCAGGTTCTGGTCAGAATCGAGAGAGAAATCGCAGGTTAATTTTCCCCACCGCCCCCACCCCAACTCTTTGGACCCTGCTAATTAGCACAGCTGAGATGCGAGAAGATCTCCACGCGTGGCTGCTCGGCCGTTATACTCCCAACGAACTTTATGACGATGCTGTTCAAAAGAGGCTGCACGGAACCTGTGACTGGATGTTAAGACGGGCCTCGTTCCTTGACTGGGCCTCCCCCGACTTCCCAGCAGAGACGGCCAAGTGTCTGTGGATCAACGGGCCCGCAGGGTTCGGGAAGACCGTTCTTTGTGCAAGGTTAGCCGACCATCTCTCATCTATAGCCGACCTACCTATCGCGCATTTCTTCTTTTCTTCCGATTTCGAGAGCCGTAGAGACCCATATGTTGCCATACGGTCATGGATTTCTCAGGTAATGGCTCGCCCAGATGTGTTCGAACTGGTGCGCCAGGGACGGGAAGCCCGGTATAGCCGGGTAGCCACGCGGGCTGATGTTGTCAGGGTCTTCCAAGAGGTCGTCCACGGCATCCAAGGGTGCACATTCATTATGGATGGGCTGGATGAATGTACCGGCATGGGAGAAGACGGGAATTTTGATGATACCAGCTCTGTGGCCAGTTTCCTCCGGATGATCCAGCGATCAGTTGCCGATACGACTACACGGATCATGATCGTTAGTCGCGATGAGCCAGAAATTCGAGAATGCATCGTACGCAACGCGACCGTAACGACTTTTGAATACAGAATCACTCCCGAAGATGTTCAATCCGATACAGAATTGTATTCGAGAAGTATTGTCGACAGGAGGTTGCGCAATAAAGACGAGACCGTGAAAGGCGAGATTTCTCAGAAGCTAGCTGAGCGTTGCTGTGGTCAATTTTTGTGGCTGAAGATGCAGGAGACGTCACTACGGGGCGGCAAAAACAAGAAGCAGCTTGAAACTGCTATTGACAAGACTCCGATTGGACTGGAGCGTCTTTACGACCGGAACTGGGATAGGATCTTGGGCTTCCAAGATGATGAAAGAACACGCGCTTTTTCCCTGCTGCGGTGGGCAGCATTTGCGGTTCGGCCCCTGTCAGTCTCCGAAATCACGGAGGCAGTGCTCATTGATGAAGACTGCGATGATCTCCCAGTTGATAAAATGCCAGACTCCATCGACGAAGACTACATCAATAGCGAGATAGTGGAGCTCTGCGGATCCCTCGTGGAAATTCGGACCATGGCATCTGAGCCCAACATCGGACTGAGAACCGTGCACCTCACGCATTTCTCCGTCAAGCAGTATTTCATATCCAAAATGCTGGATAACGGGAGCATTCTGGTGACGAACGAACGTCTTCGGTCCTCGAACGAAGCGATTCAAAACAGTGTGCTCGCCAAGTCGTGCCTGTGTTATGTAAACATCGCTAGCGTCTGGAAAGAGGCCTTTCACGACGACACGAACCAGGTATTGGGATCTTTCCGAAAGTATGCAGCAGCCTCATGGTATCAGCATGCGAAGGCCGGCGAGCCAAACGATGCAGATGTGGTGAGGCTTACGAATGCTCTGTTTGAGGAAAACAATACCAACTGGGATTCGTGGAGAAAATGGTTTGATTTGAACGACGAAGAATCAGCCAACGAAGAACCGCCAATGAATACCAGAGTTTCCAGCCCTTTATATTACGCATGCCGGCTCGGTTTGAGTGAATCGGTGAAATACCTCTTGCACGGGTGCAGGTATAATGCAAACGAGAGAGGTAACTCAGGGAGAACAATACTTGAAGTCAGCTGTGCGAAGGGGAACATACAAGTAGTAGAAATACTACTTGACGCAGGAGCCGACATTCTGATGGCTAGCGAGGATAAATGGACACCTCTGAATGCGGCGTCGACCAATGGGTACTTTGAGGTTGTTAGGCTACTGTTGGAGAAGGGTGCGGATGTCACGGCTGACGACAATGAGGGATGGACGCCGCTGAACCATGCCTCAGACCAAGGACATGTTGAGGTGGTCAAGCTGCTCATCGAAAGGAGAGCCGATATTGCGGCTACAAATAATTACGGATGGACACCGCTACATGGTGCTTCATATAACGGACATACCGAGATAGTCAAGCTACTTCTCGATAAGGGTGCTGATGTTACGGCGGCCGATAAGGACGGATGGACACCGCTAAAGTCGGCCTCGAATGGTGGACATGCTGAGGTGGTCAAGTTGCTTCTCGACAAGGGAGCTGATGTTGCGGCTGTTGATAAGGACGGATGGACGCCGCTAAATGAGGCTTCATACAACGGGCACACTGAGGTGGTCATGTTGCTTCTCAAAAAAGGAGCTGATATTTCGGCGACCGATAATAACGGATGGACATCGCTAAACGGTGCTTCCACTGGCGGACATACTGAGACAGTCAAGTTGCTTCTCGAGAAGGGAGCTGATATTGCGGCGGCTAATAATAACGGCTGGACGTCGCTAAACGGGGCTGCAACTGGCGGACACGCTGAGGTGGTCAAGTTGCTTCTCGAGAATGGAGCTGATGTTGCGGCCGTTGATAAGGACGGATGGACGCCGCTAAATTGGGCTTCATACAACGGGCACACTGAGGTGGTCAAGCTGCTTCTCGAGAAGGGAGCTGATATTGCGGCGGCTAATAATAACGGCTGGACGTCGCTAAACGGGGCTGCCACTGGCGGACACGCTGAGGTGGTCAAGTTGCTTCTCGACAAGGGAGCTGATGTTGCGGCGGTCGATAAGGACGGATGGACACCGCTAAAGTCGGCCTCAAATAGTGGACATGCTGAGGTGGTCAAGTTGCTTCTCGACAAGGGAGCTGATGTTGCGGCCGCTGATAAATACGGATTGACACCACTACACGGGGCTTCATACAACGGGCACACTGAGGTGGTCATGTTGCTTCTGAAAAAAGGAGCTGATATTTCGGCGGCCGATAATAACGGCTGGACGTCGCTAAACGGGGCTGCAACTGGCGGACACGCTGAGGTGGTCAAGTTGCTTCTCGAGAAGGGAGCTAATATTGCGGCGGCTAATAATAACGGCTGGACGTCGCTAAACGGGGCTGCCACTGGCGGACACGCTGAGGTGGTCAAGTTGCTTCTCGACAAGGGAGCTGATGTTGCGGCTGCTGATAGGGACGGATGGACGCCGCTAAATGGGGCTTCAAATAACGGACACAGCGAGGTAGTCAAGCTGCTTCTCGATAAGGGAGCTGATATTTCGGCGGTCGATAAGGACGGATGGACACCGCTAAAGTCGGCCTCAAATAGTGGACATGCTGAGGTGGTCAAGTTGCTTCTCGACAAGGGAGCTGATGTTGCGGCTGTTGATAAGGACGGATGGACGCCGCTAAATGGGGCCTCATACAACGGGCACACTGAGGTGGTCAAGCTGCTTCTCGAGAAGGGAGCTGATATTGCAGCCACTGATAATAACGGATGGACGCCGCTAAATGGGGCTGCAACTAGCGGACACGCTGAGGTGGTCAAGCTGTTTCTCGAGAAGGGGACTGATATTGCGGCAGCCAATAAGGACGGATGGACGCCGCTAATCGGGGCTTGTACTGGCGGGCACGCTAAGGTGGTCAAGCTGCTTCTCGAGAGGGGAGCTGATATTGCGGCCGCTGATAAATACGGATTGACACCACTACACAGTGCTTCATATAACGGGCACACTGAGGTGGTCAAGCTGCTTCTCGAGAAGGGAGCTGATATTGCGGCGGCTGACAATAACGGATTGACACCGCTAAATGGGGCTTCAAATAACGGACACAGCGAGGTAGTCAAGCTGCTTCTCGAGAAGGGAGCTGATATTGCGGCAGCCGATAAGGACGGATGGACGCCGCTAAAATCGGCCTCGAATAGTGGACACGCTGAGGTGGTCAAGTTGCTTCTTGAAAAGGGAGCCGATATTGCGGCCGCTGATAAATACGGATTGACACCACTACACGGGGCTTCATACAACGGGCACACTGAGGTGGTCATGTTGCTTCTCAAAAAAGGAGCTGATATTTCGGCGGCCGATAATAACGGATGGACGCCGCTAAATGGGGCTGCAACTAGCGGACACGCTGAGGTGGTCAAGCTGTTTCTCGAGAAGGGGACTGATATTGCGGCGGCTAATGATGACGGATTGACATCGCTAAATGGGGCTTCAAATAACGGACACAGCGAGGTAGTCAAGCTGCTTCTCGAGAAGGGAGCTGATATTGCGGCGGTCGATAAGGACGGATGGACACCGCTAAAGTCGGCCTCAAATAGTGGACATGCTGAGGTGGTCAAGTTGCTTCTCGACAAGGGAGCTGATGTTGCGGCTGTTGATAATTACGGATTGACACCACTACACGGGGCTTCATACAACAGGCACATCGAGGTGGTCAAGCTGCTTCTCGAGAAGGGAGCTGATATTGCAGCCGCTGATAATAACGGATGGACGCCGCTAAATGGGGCTGCAACTAGCGGACACGCTGAGATGGTCAAGCTACTTCTCGACAAGGGAGCTGATATTGCGGCGGTCGATAAGGACGGATGGACGCCGCTAAAGTCGGCCTCGAATGGTGGACACGCTGAAGTGGTCGAGCTACTTCTCGAGAAGGGAGCCGATATTGCGGCTACAGATAATAATGGATGGACGCCGCTAAATGCGGCCTCGACTGGCGGACACGCCCAGGTGGTCAAGGTACTTCTTGAAAAGGGAGCTGATGTTGCCGCTGCTGATAAAGACGGATGGACGCCGCTAAAGTCGGCCTCGAATGGTGGACACGCTGAGGTGGTCAGGTTGCTTCTCGAGAAGGGAGCTGATATTGCGGCTGCTGATAATAACGGATTAACACCACTACACGGGGCTTCATACAACGGGCGCACTGAGGTGGTCAAGCTGCTTGTTGAGAAGGGAGCTAATATTGCGGCGGCTGATAAGAACGGATGGACACCGGTAAAGTCGGCCTCGAATGGTGGACATGCTGAGGTGGTGAAGCTTCTTCTTGAAAAGGGAGCTAATATCGTGGCTGCTGATAATAACGGATTGACACCACTACACGGGGCTTCATACAACGGGCACATTGAGGTGGTCAAGCTGCTTGTTGAGAAGGGAGCTGATATTGCGGCGGCTGATAAGAACGGATGGACACCGCTAAAGTCGGCCTCGAATGGTGGACATGCTGAGGTGGTCAAGTTGCTTCTCGACAAGGGAGCTGATGTTGCGGCTGTTGATAAGGACGGATGGACGCCGCTAAATGGGGCTTCATACAACGGGCACACTGAGGTGGTCATGTTGCTTCTCAAAAAAGGAGCTGATATTTCGGCGGCCGATAAAGACGGATGGACGCCGCTGAACGCGGCCTCGACTAGTGGACACGCTGAGGTGGTCAAGTTGCTTCTCGAGAAGGGAGCTGATATTTCGGCGGCCGATAAAGACGGATGGACGCCGCTAAATGCGGCCTCGACTGGCGGACACGCCCAGGTGGTCAAGGTACTTCTTGAAAAGGGAGCTGATGTTGCCGCTGCTGATAAACACGGATGGACGCCGCTAAAGTCGGCCTCGAATGGTGGACACGCTGAGGTAGTCAGGTTGCTTCTCGAGAAGGGAGCTGATATTGCGGCTGCTGATAATAACGGATTAACACCACTACACGGGGCTTCATACAACAGGCGCACTGAGGTGGTCAAGCTGCTTCTCGAGAAGGGAGCTAATATTGCGGCGGCTGATAAGAACGGATGGACACCGCTGAACGCGGCTTCAAACAACGGACATACCGAGGTAGTTAATCTGCTCGTCGATAAGGGAGCCGATGTTGCGGCTGCCGATAAGGATGGATGGACGCCACTGCACGCCGCCTCTGCTAGAGGGCGCATTAAGGCGGTAAAGCTGCTTATTGAGAAAGGAGCGGGAGTTTCCGTTTTGAACGATCGGAAACGCACTCCGCTGAACTTGTCATCGGCCAATGGGCATCTCGAGGTGGTCAAGCTACTTCTCGAGGAGGGAGCCGACGTTGAGGTTGTGGATATTTACGGATGGACGCCGCTGCACTTAGCATCCGCTAATGGGTACATTGAGGTGGTTAACTTCCTTTTAGAGAAGGGAGCTAGCGTTGAAACCGAGGATACCTGTGGACGCACGCCATTTTTCTTTGCCTGCGCGAGAGGTCAAACGGAAATCGTACAACAATTTCTGTCCCGTAGGGTCGTGGTGAACGCTCAGGATCGCTACGGCTCAACTCCACTGTTTGCGGCTGCAAGAAATGGGCATGAGAAGGCTGTTTCCTGTTTGCTTGGTGTTGGGAGCGTTTGCGTCGACTTTCAAGACGGCTTCGGTCGGACTTTGCTCTGGTGGGCAAAAAAGAGCGGGAACACTCTAGTCACTGAGGCTGTGGTTCAATTTACTCAAAGAAGAGCAATCGAAGTCTGCGAGAATGACTTGACTGTGGAGCCTAGCACGATGGCGAGGGGTGGATCGACGAGGTGGTGCGATGTTTGCACTCGATATATTTCGGCTGGGAGCGCCTACTACTTATGTTCCATCTGTCAGGGTGGCGATTTCGACATTTGCCTAGAGTGTTTTGAGATGGGCGCCGGGTGTCAGAATGATTCTCACCAGTTGGTTTTGCATCAGCCCACTGTTTTCAGCGAAGCTCCCCGACCCTAGGGGCTTAGGGAGGACTGGGACATATACTGGAAGCCTTCTCAATAACAAACATTACTATTTCTGCTTGTACATTCGGGGTATATTTGATAAATTTGAGAAACTTTCGATTTTCCTAGATCTTAGAGTGCAGGAAAACGTCTAGATCACACTCTTCAGCAGAGACTCGAAAGGTCTAACAAAATCAACAGGGAGCTCTATATTTTGATAATTGTCTGGATGCAAATGACGAAGGACATATAAGAAGCATAATCTGTATTAAGGAGGGAAAGCGATAGATCGTAAAGGACATAAAGATCATCAAATTGGGCAGTGTAGTGGAATCGTCATTCCCTCTATTCAGCAGTAAGGGTCGAAGAAGTCATGGTGCGATGCTCTTTTCATTCACGTCAATCGGATTGGATTTTAACAGGCCTTAGTTCCTATTCGCGGGTTTGGACAAAGGAGCGTAGGAGATCTTTGTTTTTATTAAAGACTTTGACTATGATTCCAGAACAGCAGGATTTCGGCATGCCATTGATGAGTTGCCAGCTTTGGAAAATCCTTGACGATGTGGAGTCAGCATTATTTGAAAAATGCCATGCTGACGGTCCCAACAGCCCTAACACAGTCTATGATGAATGTCTAGAATAGACTTATTATGATCCTCAGAAAAATTCGGAACTCTCAATGTAACAAGATGCATGTGAATGGTTTCCCTCAAGGATAGAGTATTACTGGCGAAACGGGATCCACTCAGACCAGGTGGAATTTCTTGAAACTAGCAACTTTTTCTCAACATAGGCAAGTGAGACATTAAATTCCGTCTCGTATGTATCTGAATAAGTGCTATAGCACACTTGTATGGCTCCAATTAAGCTAGTCATGTTCCAAATTACTCATGCCAACTGCCAAGAGACAATCAAGCTGAATACTGTCTATGTCAACTTCAAAATATCATCAGCCTGACTACGCAGAACCAGACTCCGCACAGTACTCAGACTCGGAATTCTTCAGAATTTGGACTTCGGTTTTCTATCATTCCCTGACACTTCCAGACACCATCACCAGTATCAAAGAAAGGAAGACTGATAGCACCCACGTCGGCACATGGTTTCAAAGTAGATCTAAAGCTCCTGATCGGCGGCATCCCCGTAGAAGATCATGCCACCTTTCATCACCTGAGGCGGGATTTTAGTCTTAGCGAGAGTCCTAAATATGGGAGAATGCTGCCCAGGTAGCTCCTTTGCACATCACCCGGACCCAAATTCTGGAGCGATGTCTAAGACTTCATAGATAGGTATTAGATAGCCGCAAAAATAAAACCTGATTTTGTGAAACGCCGAAAAATATGACATAGGAAGGCCAGACAAAAGGTGTTTACAGGATGCCCAGCTGACATAACGGTGCTGCACTTGCAAGCATCAGGTGTTTGTGAAATTATAGAGAGTGCAGTAGTACCGTGACTCGCTGTATTTTCGAGAGTTGCAATAGCTCCTGGCTGGCTATGGGTAACCATTTGCGAGGAACTGAGAATGATGCTATTTTCCGTCGGTTGGGCTGTATTGCCGGGGGGAACATCGTGCATCGCGGTGTCTTGATGCTCTGGTATATGGATGACTTGTGGGATATTCCTATCATTTTCCACGTTGCGCATGTCTGCTATGTCCTGTATCACAGTGTCTTGGGTGCTGAACAGAACCTGCTGGTGTCACTTTGGAGTGTAACCTCCTAATATAAATATTTCCTCGAGATGTTCTAGCGGTTTCTATGGTTAATACATTTTTAGGAAAAAAGGATCTGAAGGTATCCCGCTTCACGGCAAACGACGTAACGTTTTCCCGAGGCTCATCTTGGGGTCAGAAAAAAAGTGTCCGTGTCTGTCATCCCACAACGGAGAAGAAGAGCCCAATTCTGTGCCGCATCAGTACTTTATAGGGCCGTGGTGCGATGATGAGGCGTGGTTTAATTTGCTCTAGGACAGCTACCAGGTGATTGCTGTTTTCGTTCAAGATAGTATGGTCATATTCGAAAAGATCAGGTCTCAAACGGGAAAGCAGCGCTTAGATTGCCACGTATGCTGTCTTCATCGGTGCTCGAGGATTCTGGGGCCCATTAAGAGTGAACCCCAAATGATTAAAGAGAGACTTCAATCGCTTCTACAGATCCAAACACTCAAGCCTTTGTTGGGATTGAGAAGATTGGATATATCCGCGTGGGTGGTGATCAGTGAGTCCATAAAAGTGACGCATTACGAACAGAAAGCATTGTCGATAAGCTGACCAAAAGAGATCGTTGTGGCCACTCAATCCCCCTTCTTCGAAGTAGTTCTCTGAAACCTGGATTCGACTCTTCGGGGTGGGAACAAAAGATCGCAACATAGCTTGTCGGATAGTACCTTTGAATTTCGAGGGCAAGGATTTCTTCTCGTTAGCTTTAAGTATTTGATGTCCTCAAGGAATAGATGTCAAGAAGGTATAATTTCCCGGTAGTTCAGTGAAGCCTGCAGGAGTTTTGATAGTGAAGCAGGATCACTGACGCGAGAGAAAGCCAAATTATCCTCAAATATATGATGAATAAATCTTCGATCATTCAAAGAGAGGCGGGGATAACGTCCATGAAGAAGTTCGAGTACCGGGGTCTAAGGCTTCAGAGGAGCCACATATAAGAGAATCCCACGCAGGGTAGATTTTGTGGAGGTAGGCTGAGAGTTCCTATTTGTGAATTAGTCTTACGTGATAAAAATGGGGGTTGCAAACCTCTGGGCAATTCAAACTTGTCAAATGAGTTCTCATAAACCAATAGACCCAAAGAGCAGGAAATAACAGTAATGCGTCTAGCTTATTTGTCAGAATCTTCGTTTATCCTTGCTGATTTTGGGTCAAAAAATTCGGTTGAAGTCCTGGCACTTAGTCGGAGACCATTTCGCCAGCCATTTTTACGCAGGCTTTTCTTCACCACGATGTTGATAATGACGAACATCTTGAAATATTTCTCCATCAGACCAAACAGTGGCTCGGCTTGCGAGTCTCTTTTGATCGTCATGTGGGCTAGCGACCACTTTCCAGCTGTCGGCGGGCCTGACAGCACTCCCGCATAGCAGCATATATATAGAGCGAGCTACATCGGGCAAATGAATTCATCATCATCATCATCATCATCATCATGATGTTTTGGTGTTTTGATCAACTTTTGAATATTCAGTAGTGGGTCAGGTAGTTAGCCGGCTCGCGGGAATTGATAAGGACACCCCAAATTTTTAGTAGTTAATGAGTTGGGGTGCCGTTACTAAAAAGTTGGAGTGTCCTTACCAATTCCCTCTCTTCAAGTCCACTTAAATCCGTCGCTCCCCTCATTTACTTCACAAGTCTTTTTTTAACTCTGTTGACTCATCAAGTACCCCCAAAGCCCCAGTCGCCATGCCCGAGAGTTGTTGGCAGCAAGTGCGCACCTATGCGGACCATCTGGGTCATCGCGTGGTGCTCGAGCAGTACGTCTCGCCGGACTACGAGCCAGAGCCCGAAGACATAATTCCCATCCAGGTCTACAGCCTTGTGCCCCTGGACGACGACCACAGAGAGCTCCGAATGTACCTGATGCAGACTTTCTGGAATGACGAGGTCAAGCCTCTGTTCGAGATTTATTCATACTGCCCGCCCGATGGATTTGCCTGTATTGAGCATAACCGCATTGAAATCGCCCGTCGTAAGCAGCAACACCGGTCAGGGGTCGAGAATCCACTCCCGCTGATTCCACGATTCACCCGTCCAACTGACTACTCAACTGTTGGATTTTGTGTCTTGCTGCGATCGCACAGCTATCGACTGGGCCATGTGCAGAACTCGGATAAGCTTGCTGAGCTAGGCGAAGGCCCGGACTTGCTCTACTTCAACCGCTCATTTTCTAGCACACGCAGTGATGTTGACGCGGCGCAGCATTCAATTGAGGGCGGCGAGAGCCTCTCGTCAGAGGCATTTGAATTAGCCACCGAACGCCTCACGGACCAGATCTACATCGGGCAGGTTATCATTCTCGATATCTTCAACAACGTCGATGACCATCCGGAACGACACGCCTTGGATGTTGACGAGGGCGAGCCTCCCAGCTCGGATCTGCCGACAGAAGAGCAGATTCGCGACCAGCTAGGCCAGGAAACTTCAGTTGGCGGCTGCTCTCTTGATCCGACATTCCAGGTTTCTCAGGATGCCGACATTGTAACAGTCACCAATACTCCTGAGGGCAAAACCTCTGATATCCAATATATTGTCCATGCGGCTTTTCTCAGCTCCATCCGCGACGCAGCAGGGCCCTCTCTCTTGGAAAGCACAGCGCACCTCTTTACGGCGTCAATGTTCTCCCACCTCCCGGCCAATAAAACCCTCACTCTCAAATTCTTCATCCCAAAGTCTCCTTCTTGGTCGGCCATTCGCCCCGCCCAAAACGAAGTTCTCGAAATTCTATCACAGCAAAACCAAGAAGAGAACCGAGAAAATCCTTTTTCCATCGGCGCCCTGCACAAAGTTCCCCGCAGGCGACGATCAACCCCCAACAGCAAAACGAATTTCTCCTCAAAAACCCGAAAAATATATCATCAACTCAAAAGGGAAGTCCTGCGACCTCTTTCGCATGTTCACGGTTGTTCTCGATCGTGCCAAGTTTGTCTCCGAGGCCGGAGTTTACTTCTACATGACGGACTGGTCGTCCCAGTCCAGGGATCCAGACCCTTATTCGGAGGTCTGTTCTGACGATACAGAGATTGTGCGGGGCGTGGACATGAATACGGTTGCTGGGCGGTTGGGGGTGGTTGTTCTTGAAGAATGAGCTAGTTTAGTAGATCAATTGGCACTGTTTATATCCATGATTGCATTTAAAAAGAAGGTAGAGGTAGACGGAAAATCATAAGAATACTAAGGATATCGGCCTAGATGCTGGAAGAACAGTAAAAACAGGTAGCAATTAGACCTCGGCAGAAACATTTAGAGGACCGGTACCCCCGGCCCTCCGCCCGGCCCTCCGCCCGGCCCTCCGCCCGGCCCTCCGCCCTCACTTGCATAAAAAAAAGGCGACCTTTCCTAATTAGGGTGGATAAAGTTGCTGATTCATCCCATTAAATTATTAGTTAGTTAACTAGTTAACGTAATCGGTAAGCGAGCCGCGCATGTAAGCCAGTCGCGCACCCACCCCAAAACGCGTCTATGAATTAGCACTTAATTCATTCAACCACCCACCATGCCACCAATTCGTGCCAGAGGCTCTACAAATTCAACAGAGCAAGAGGGTAGGATATTATTAGCCATCCAGGCTATTAAAAATCAAGAAATATCCTCCGTTCGCAAAGCTGCGCGCATTTATAATGTGCCTGAAACTACACTTCGCGATCGTCGTCACGGCACCACAAATCGCGCGATTTCTCGCGCAAATTCGCATAAATTAACAGAAATCGAAGAGGAATCACTTCAAAAATGGATACTCTCTTTAGATGATCGCGGAGCAGCGCCCCGGCCATCTACTGTACGCGAAACTGCGAATCTTCTTCTCGCGGCCCGCGGAACTACACCAGTTCAAACCGTCGGAGAAAAATGGGTTTATAACTTCGTAAAACGACACCCAAGCCTATCATCCCGATTCTCAAGACGTTATAATTACGAACGTGCGAAGTGCGAAGATCCAAGAATCATTAGGGAGTGGTTTGATCTTGTTCAAAAAACCATTCTTCAATACGGCATCGATCCCGACGATATTTATAACTTCGATGAGACTGGTTTCGCGATGGGATTAACAGCGACCGCGAAGGTTATCTCGAGGGCTGAATACTACGGTCGGCGATCGCTTTTACAGCCCGGAAATCGCGAGTGGGTGACTACAATCGAGTGTACGAATGCTTCAGGGTGGGCGCTCCCTCCGTGTGTGATTTTTAAAGGCAAAGTTTTGATCGAGGGTTGGTTCGATAATCTTCCGATAGACTGGAGATTCGAGGTTAGTCCGAATGGCTGGACTTCCGATGAGATCGGCCTTCGTTGGCTCGAAAAGCTCTTTATTCCGTCGACTTCTTCGCGTGTGAAGGGAAGGTATCGACTTTTGATACTCGATGGTCACGGAAGCCATTTGACTCCGAAATTCGATGAACTTTGTGAAAAAAACGATATTATACCAATCTGTATGCCTGCGCATTCGTCTCACCTTTTACAGCCACTCGATATCGGCTGTTTTGCCGTGTTAAAGCGCTCGTACGGTCGGCTAGTTGAAACGAAAATGCGGAACGGAATCAACCATATCGACAAACTTGATTTCCTCGAGGCTTATCCTTCCGCGCGAAACGAAGCCTTCCGCTCCGATACTATTATAAATAGCTTCAGAGCAGCTGGTTTGGTACCTTTTTCACCCGATCAAGTGATCTTAAAGCTTGATATTTGTCTTCGAACCCCGACCCCCCTCCGAGCCGGGATAGCGAATCAAGCCAGAATTTTACACCAAAAACCCCTTTTACCGATAAACAAGTACGTCGGCAAGCTTCATCAATCAAAGCTTTACTTCGTACGGGGTCTCGAAGTCCACCAAGCCCATCAGATCGAGCGTTAAACCAGCTTATTAAAGGCTGCCAACTTTCGATGCAGAGCGCTACTTTACTAGCGGAGGAAGTCAAAGGATTACGGGCGGAAAACGAGAAGAAGAAACAAAAACGCACTAGATCTCGCAGGCAGATGCCTTCCACTGAGGGCCTCTCGGTTTTCGAGGCCTCTGCATTAAAAATGCAGTCGCAGCAAGCAATTGAACCCGCTCCACCCCCCGGGGATGGAAGGCCTTCGGAGGGTTTACAGCCACCTACGCGGGCCCAGCGAGGATGTGGAATATGTAGGCGCCCGGGACATAGAAGGGAGACATGCCCAGATAGACCAGCAAGTTAGCTGAATTAGATTAATAGCGTTTTTGTTGAAATAAATGCATTTAAAATTAATAGGTTGCTTAAGGTGCGCGACTGGCTTACATGCGCGGCTCGCTTACCGATTACGTTAACTAACGTTTAGTGTACCCGTGTAATTCTCCTTCAGCTTATCCTACGCCACTTGAGAGTTTCTAGAAATAACGAGCTCCATGTGCCCTTAGCGGGCGCCTGTTGGATCCTATCGTGGGCCATCTCACGTATTCTTCGAAAGATCGAGCTCCACGCGCCCCTAGCCGGCGCCTGTTGGTCCTATCGTAGGCCAGGCTACGGGTTTTCAAAATCTGGGGCTCCACGGGCCCTTAGTTGACGCCCGCCGGTTTTCATCCTATGCCATTTCACAGTTTTTCAAAAATCCGGAGCTCCATGTGCCTGTAGTCGGCGCCTGTTGGTTCTCGTCGTATGCCACTTCACGGTTTTTTGAGAATACTGAGCTCCACGTACCCCTAGCCGACTCCTGTTGGCTCCTGTCCTATGCCACCTCATGATTTTAACCCTCAGAAAGGCTGCTGGCTGGCATACGATGAAAATAGACAGGTGCCAGTGATCAAGGTGAAAAGGGAAACCCATCTAACATCTTAGCAGTATGTCGTCGGCCCTTTGAAGCCTTTTCTATCTGCGGCGGGGATGGACAAAATGGGCTTTCTCCAAATGATCTAATGATTATAATGACGCGTCTGGTGTCGGGATTCTCATGGATACGTAGGCAGGAGCCGATATGCGCGTCCCAGATCTTGACGGTCTTGTCGTGAGACGCGGAAGCGACGCGGCTGCTATCGTGCGAGAACGCTACCGAGCTGACCGAGTGGCCATGGCCCTCGAGCGACTGCAGGCAGGCGCCGCTATGCGCGTCCCAGATCTTGATGGTCTCGTCGTATGACACAGAAGCGAGGTGGCTACTTTACGCGGTCTTATTTATCAGCACTTGTAACCTGGCGTGGCCAAAGCAAAATTACCAAGGATGACGATGCTTCGGATCATGCTACATCTTTCGCACGTGTGGTTGAGAATCAAGCGGAGGCAAAATCGCAGGCTACCAAGCATGTCTCGAAATTTTTACGTCCATCTCGATAGAACTTACTGTTCCCTGCTACCCTTAGTCAATCTCAACTGTTTTATCCGAGACATATCGTCCTCGATTCCGCATTTCTCTTCTACATTTGTTAAGTACTATACTCCGCAAACAGGATCTAGGCTGCTGTCTCATGCTGGCTCCTTACAGCTATAATATTCTGCGCGCCAAAAATTCAGCGCTGTAGTGAAATATAAATAGACTGACAGTCCGACTGGTTCTAGTAGGCGATCAGCGAGCCGTTTGCTCTGACTTGACTCTTCTGATTCGAAAAGCAATACCACTTTGTTTCGGATTTATTCCCAAACGCAGTTTTAGCCGTCATGAATGCAGCACCTGCCCCTATCGCTATGGTCGTGAGATCCTCAATGCAGGAACACCGAAATGCTTCACTACCAGCAGTCCACCATGGACCAATGCATACAGCCCAGATTTGTCCGACTCAACAGAGACCACACGTTGCAATGGGTTGTGAGCATGTACGTTGTCATTAAGTTGTTCATACCTGGCTTCATTAACGCGTATGGGAATAGCTCACAAACAGATCAGGGCGAAGAACAAGAGTAATGATCAGCGGGGAAGTCTCTTGATAACGTTGTATTTCTTAGTATTGGGTGTCAATATGCATGCCTTACTTGCCCGCAACTACTTAACATCTGATGAGTTCTCAGCTACCCTCTTCACCCTCCTTAGCCAAGTCCCCAGATCAAATGTGCCGTCACTCAAGTCTCTGACATTGCCGACAAATTTAAATACATAACCAAAGTCATCCACGGGCTCTTTCCCGTCGGTATAGTTGATGCGACACGGATCGGCCCGATAATTGTCCGTTTCATAGCTAGCCAGCCTCTCCCCATGCTTTTCAGTCTCGACATGATAGACAGCCCCATAAACAACCTTTTCTGGGGCATCTAGAAGAGCTGGATACTGGCCCCATAGTTTGCATTCGTAGCCTGTAATGGTGGCGGGTCGAAGTGCTGGCTCGGTTTCTAAGCCAAGGACATCGCGGAGCATGGCGGGATCAGACAGGGTGCCGTAGAAGAAATAAGGGCCTGTGGGCGCAGAAAATGGATCTGCATGAGGTGGTGGCCTTTCGGGTTGGAAGAAATAGCCAGGAGGAGCAGACCTCAGCTTCATTACGAACGGGGAGACTTTCGAGATTGGATCTTCAGGCGGAGGAGGTGGAGGAGGGAGAGGGGCATAGCTAGCGGCTCCCTCGTCTCCTTGGTTGTCAGGCATTTTTTCAGTTGACAGCCAATAGGTTTTCTAAAGGCCAGAAGCGAGAACCAGCTGAAGGATGAAAGTTCGATAGAAACTTCTGTCTTGCAACTTGGCGTTTGTGTTTCTATGACTGCGCAGGGGGTATTTGTCGGGGCACCTCACTTTGTTCGGTAACGGCACCTCAAAACATTATTTAACGCAATCCACAACCGAGTCGGCACCACAACCGAGTTGGCACTTTCTCCGTCATCACTAGAATATCAAAGCATTTCAACCACCAACGTCATTAAATTAGACTATATAAAAGATAAAATAAATAACGTATTCGGTAAGCGAGCCGCGCATGTAAGCCAGTCGCACATCTTAAGCAACTTATTAATTTTAAATGCATTTATTTCAACAAAAACGCTATTAATCTAATTCAGCTAACTTGCTGGTCTATCTGGGCATGTCTCCCTTCTATGTCCCGGGCACCTACATATTCCACATCCTCGCTGGGCCCGCGTAGGTGGCTGTAAACCCTCCGAAGGCCTTCCATCCCCGGGGGGTGGAGCGGGTTCAATTGCTTGCTGCGACTGCATTGTTAAT